TTTACCATTTCCACTGAACAAAGGAAGCTGCCAGCTGGCAGCTTTCCGAATACTTACTGTCTGGGGTCCGCCCCTTTTCTCTTTAGTGTTCGTTGAAGTGTTTGTACAGTTTGCCGGAGAATCCGGCTCGGAATCAAAGAAATTAATCCATCCGTGTTCAACAGAAGCACGGTAAAACAAAAATCCGCTGAACCCCAGCATACAATCTGACCCAACGGCCCTCTTTAGGACCATAGCCCCAATAACTATTTACGAATCTCACTGTATCCGTAATAGATATGACAATACACGATGTAGATATGATGATACATAGATAATAGTAATAGATATGGCAAAGTTCTTCTAAGAATAAAGCAACGAAACCTCATGAAGTCACTGCATGCTACCGTTAAACACATACCTTACGGAACAGTTCGGTTCATATTCAGCAAACTTTATGATTTGAAAGCGCTTGTTGGACCTTATGGCAGCCGGACTTGCCTTGTCTGAAGTGGATAATGTGTGTAGAATTAGCGTTACATCATGTAGATTTGGATGCGAAAACAAATCGATGTTATCTACGCGGCAGCTGTGAATTCCCAACTTCTACGTTTCAGAAGATGAGGTTAGGATAGCCGTATTTAGGTTGTCTGCAGCAAATCTCAAAGTATCACGATATTCGCATAAAGCAGTACCGGATGAGCTTGCACGTTGCCTTACTCACCTTGCCGAGATGGACAAAGCTGCGCATATATTGAGAAAAAACTTATCTTCCTTTTTTGGTTATTTTGTACTTATTCAGAGTACATGAGAAGTGTTTTCATTTTTGACATGAAATCGCATCTGATGTGCTGTAGATAAAGGATTTCTCATTTCAGATAATCACCAAACGAATAATAATTAATAAACAATAAAGTAAACAAAATAAACAATAACATAAACAATAACAAATAAACAATAAATAATGTTTAACACAAGCACGGTAAAACAAAAATCTACTGAACCCCAGCTCATTTTTGGTGCATCGGCCGGGAATAGCCCCAGCCGAAGTACAAGTCAAATCTTGTAAAATCTTGTCAAATCAAGATGGAGTTGGTTTTACTGAAAAACCCTCTCACTATCAGCGCCAAGACGCTGAAAAGTTTAACAAATAACTTCAAAGAGTATACGAAGAAGCTAGTATACTCTGCAACAGATCAGCAGGCATACGAAGAAAGTCAAGCAGCCGCAGACTTAATAAACGAAGCAATACGGCAAATTAGCATCGCAAAAGAGGAACTAAAAGCTCTAGTCGCACAAATCAAACGCGACTATGACAAAATACAAGCACCAGGAGAGAGGGAAGACTTCTCCGATGCATAGGAAAAACCTGAATTTGAAATAAATTTCAATGAAATACTGGGAACCGCGACTGAAATGACTTACATGCTGAAAACAAGGCTGACAGAGGTGATAAGCCATCGAAACAGAATGGGACGTAGATTTTACACCTGCGGAACTGAACGCAACTGCAAACACTCAAACAAGCAAAAATATTAATCACGACCTAACTGAATGGATATCAGAAGACAGTAATGAAAATACAGAAGCAAACAAAATGCAAGGGTCACGAACCTTGCAACAACATCAAGCCTCCGGCTCCGATATTACCCAAATTCTTCGGAGTCGAAGAAGACTTTTCAGAATTTTGGGCTGTTTACGAAACACTGGTACACAAAAGTGCTACGCTGAGCACCGTGGAAAAGATGCTCCTTCTGAAAGACGGTCTGAAAGGAAACAGATAGCGCAATCAAAGGCATTCAACTAATACCTCAGAATTACGGTTGGATGATAGATGCGCTCAAAAAGAAGTATGGAAACAAGCCTATAAATCGCGCAAGAATTGTCCATAGGCTGACAATACTGACACCAGCAACAAAAAACGCAGAAAGCTGCGCATACGTCTTTGACAAAATTCAAATGTTAGTGAACCAGATGATTTCGGCGGGGCAAGATGTCCGCAAAACACATGATGCAATGTGGACGGAAATGATTTTGGATAAGTTTCAGTATGACATAGTAAAAAATGTCCTGATTGCGATCAAAGGAAGAGAAGAAGTTACTATTGAAGAAATGATGGAAAACATAGAAAAAGAAATCTCGGCAATAACATATGTACAGTCGATGGAATGTCATCAGAAAAAAATTCGAATCAACAACAGAAGCGAGACCCCCGAAAACAACAACGATCACTAGGGCCTCTTTGCGTATTCTGCAACAAAGCAGGACATTACGCCACGAACTGCAGATCGGTAGCAGACATACAAACACACCGTAACATAGTAATGGACAAACAATTGTGTTGGAAATGTTATTCTAACACACACAACGGCAAGGACTGTTCGCGATCAAACTGTCACATATGCGGAAGAGCGCATCAAGCTGGTTTATGCTTTGACCGACAGCAAAGTTCTAGCGGCACATCAAATACACAATCCGCCGCTCGCAAAAACAATTCGGCTCCGTTCAGAACGGAAGAGCGCACACAGTAACTGGAAGAACAACACTCCATACAACTTACGTCCGCGAGACAAATTAACAAAGAGAACCAGACCACCAAATCAAACCAACTTTGGTATAGAGAAAACAGTATCTGATAGTCAGTACAAAGAGCAAATTGTGCTTATGGCAGATGAAGGAATGATTTGGAACCACGACACGGAAAGTTTTGAAAAAATACTTTTCTTTTTCGACACGGGAGCACAGAAAACGGTAAATCGAGAAGAACTGGCCCAACGATTGGGTCTACCTGAATTACGCACACAAAAACATGCGTGATGTCTGATCTTTGCGGACACACAGCAATGTTTAAGAGTACTGTAGGTGTCAATCAAAGTTGGCTCCGCGTACGGAAAGGACATGTAAGCTTTGATACAGACGAAGCCGGTGATTTCAAAAGGTTTTCCTTCGGTAAAACCCAATGAAGTTGACAAAGAGTTCCTTCAGAAGGAGGAGATTTGCATAGCAAACACAAAATTGCGAGGCGAAATGCAAAATCCAGATGTTTTGGTGGGGCTTGACCTATACTAAAGTTTCGTGTTCAAGAATTCAGAAAGCATGCTTACGCCATCGGGTCTACGATTGGCAAAGACAATCTTTGGGCCCACGCTCTACGGGCGTGGTGCAATGGACGGACAAAATGAGAACGCAAGCGTCACATATGAGATGACAGCAATAATAGAATCGGAGAGTGAACTGTTGACCAAGCTATTCGAAGTTGAAGAGCTCGGCATTTCAAAAGACGAGTATGCGCGAAACAATAAAGTTTTCAACTACTTTGAAAGCTACTCAGAGGAAATTTCCTTTCAAGATGGGTTTATTACAGCTCCTTTTCCGCTCAAAAATAATGTAAGCGATCTTACAGACAACTACACAACTACCCGGCTGCTTACAGGAGACCTGTAAACTCATCTTACTCAAAACAAAAAGCAGAAAGATTGGTATTGCAAAATCCTTCGCGGATATGAGGAACAAAACATCATCGAGGAAGTTACTCATGATATCGCTAACGCAGCAGGCGTGCACTACATGCTTCACTCAGGCGTATGGCGCGAGCATAAAGCGAAACCTCTACGCGTCGTTTTTGATGCTTCTTCAAAACAAAAGAGATGTCTTTCTCTGAATGATGTCATACACAAAGGTGAATCGTTTGTAAACAAAACACACGATATCCTCGTGGCAATTAGAATGAGCAGTATAATTCTGCTTTGCGATATTGAGGCAGCTTTCACGCAAATTAGACTGCAAGAAACACATAAAGATTTATGCCGTTTTTTATGGCTGAAAAACCCAGATTTGCCACCTACAAAGAACAATATACAGTCTGCTTCAATCGGGATCAGGCCGAACTGTCGGCGTAAATTTGCGCGCTCGCAGCGCTAGCGGTCTGCGCTACCTGTGCGCGCTGTCGGAGAGAGCAAAACGATTGGAGAGACAGCACAGAAGCAGGCCGTGGGCGTGACCTCGAAACCCTTGAGACGCGGACTCCCGCCATGCCAATTTTGGCCTGGTTAGGATTGGGGCAGACTATAGTGGAATTTCGATACAATCGTCTTCCTTTTGGAGTCACGCTTCACCAAGTATACTCAATATGGCACTAGTAGCCTATCTGAACTCAAAAACTTCACAAATTTCTAGTGAAATCACTAAAAAATATCTATCTGGATAATATTCTTCTACATGCCAATACTCCGAGTGAAGCATTATTGAAATACACTCAAGGAAAGGCGCTCCTCGCCGAAATTGGTATGAATGTGCGGATGAGGGTATGCATAAAGTCAAACTAGACCATTTTTTTGATGCGGTTGGTGTCCTGACTTAAGACAGATTCGCCAATATGTCCATTTGTGGAAACCATCTCGGGTCGCCACTTAATGACGGAAAGAAAATGCTCCTGTACGTATGATTACCACTAATTAACTGCGACCTTCAGAAAAGTTTAGGGGTTGTTAAGCCAGAATATTTCAGATTCTAACAAGAATTACCTGAGCATAGGATATGAATAATAAAAAGCTACCTAAGCGTTACGGAACGGTCAATAGCTGAAACTGCAAAATTTTCAAGGATAGCGAACTTGATAGCTTATCTTCACGTCGCTGCACGAATTGCTTCACATTCTCTCTCGATAGTTTTTGAGCATGTCATACTTAAGTAGCAGTCGACTGAACCTTGTACAACCTATTTGCTCAGATTTTCTTGCAGTTCTTCATGGTAATGAATGAACAAGCTTGAAATTGTTGACAGTATCGAGCTCTCCACCCTCCTTCCACAAAATGCTTATGCTTTATGTATAGTAAATGGAAGATTCATTATTTAGATAATCATTGGAAATCTATATGGCGTAGAATGTGTGTTCTCGATATCATTGAAATCACAACGTTTTGCCCTTTCGCTAACTGGAAAAAGGAATCAGTTTGCAAACAGCACCCCACAGACTTCTATCAATAATTCTTCTATCGCTATATATGTACGCTACTTCAGAAATGAATCTCTACAGTCATGGTTCTGGGTTATTTGGCACGCATGTCACTTGGGAGGATGTTGAGAAGGACATGCAAAAAGCACTAGATACAAATGCTTTATTTGGCCCAAACAAAACAGCTAAGAGTATTGGGGACAATAAGGTGCAGTTGTATCTATATTTTTTTAGTCATTCGGTATTTAATGACGGAAAAAATGATAGGGTTTCCTTTCGAAAGTCATCCTTGTCGAAGCAGATTGGCAAAACAAAGACAAAACATTGCCCGATAGATTTGTTGTCAAAGTGGGTCCTAAAGATCAATAAATTTCAACAGCGAAATACTCTGTCTTTGAGATTGTTACCCAACTCGCAATGCAGCAGTTCACATCGGAGCTTTCAAACCAGATGAATATTGAGAACAAATTCGACACGGCGAAGTTCAAAGTGAATTTTGAGCTGCAACAGAAACGAGTAGGTTCATTTTGTAATGCTTTTATGAAGTGTTTAGCAATGAATTTTCTTTTAAATTAGTAGATTTTTAGGTTCACAACACTGAAGTCGCTGTGTACAAACTTCTACATGAGATAGCCAAGGAAAGGATACCACGTGCAGAAGTTAGTCCATAAATTGTTTGATTTTTCGATTTTTTCATACTCTTTCTCCTCTCTATCCTTCTGCTCCCCTTTCTCTCACGTTCTAGATTCTATAACAATGAAGAGCGCATCTTGAAGCGAGACCAGCAGACTCTCCCTGCTTTGCTTTCTTGTTGACCGTTAGGGTAGTGAACTCAGCCCTTTCCAAATTCAGACTTTCGAGATCTAGCTTTGAAAATTCGTTTAGAGCAATGCCAATATGACTGTGCAACAGCACATACTTTCTGATCATTCTGATGCGCAAAATTTGCAATCAATTTGCTTTAGGGCTCGGAAATTTTTGCCTTGCGGTTGCAAAGTCAAAGATCACTACCTCATTCCATAATGTGTTCTAAACCTAGCTTTGTGTGCAGATACGAGTAAAGATTTTGAAAATCCATTTAGATCTACTGCATGAAGGAGTTTTCCGATTGTAACCCTGTCAAGGGCTATATAATTATGGAATTTCTCGGAGATTTAGAATCCGTGGAAATTTATGAGAACATATCTCCAAAGGCTCTCAGCAAGGTATGGCTTGGACAATCAGGAAAATTCTATTTTTGCGCTCATTCAAGGTACTTCGAGCTATGGCTGTACTGCAAGCAGCATCTCTTGAGCTCAAAGAAGAGGAAAAATCGAGATTTACACAACAACCTTTTTCTCAACTTTACGCGGAAATCTTCAGTAAAGAGGTAATTTCAGGATTTTTAGCGTTTTTTTCATGCAGCCGAAAAGTGTATGAAATCTACAAAAAAAAATACAGCTGAACATATGTAGTAGTGTGAACAGTATAAAAACATGAAAACAAGTTTCAAGGTGGTGAAAATCATGATGAAACTATTACGTGGTTTTGCGTCTAAAGTTGAAGATATGGGAAATGAAGATATCGCAACAGATGTTGAAAAACTGGAGGAGATTCTCCCCGACCTCACAGACCTTGAGAGGGCGGATCAGCTGGCTGATGAAATGGGTAAGACTTTTTTCTAAATTTTAGTCTTTTACTATTTGATGCAGAAATGTTAGAAGAAAGCTGATCTAATTGTGAGATTAACAGGAATGCAGCGCGTTTTGTGTCATGGAGACTTATGGCCAGCCAATATGCTTTGGGAAAGGGATGGCGATAAAGCGGACATGGCAGCTCTTATTGACTTCCAGGTAAGCATTTTTTTGCTTGTATTTGTGCAGGATTGCTACTAACAATGAGTACAATGTAACCCCTAAATCGAGTAAAAAAACACGGACTGCGGATTAATTCTGGTGAATCCGTTTGACCCCATAATTAGCTTCAAAATGATTTTTATGAAAGTGGAGGGTGGTCTTGGAAAGCCGGGATCCAAGTGCTCAAAAAACTGCTAAATTTTCCAAACTTACTCAAAGGGTTTTCATTAGATTGCCCGACAAAAAAATCGCGACGACATCGTTGCACCCCATAACTTCTACTTAATGCCGCAGCTTTCAAATCAGTCGCCATTGTCGTTACCTGGTGAGCGGGTGGGTCCCAGTTCCGTCTTCACTCCAGTCGATCGATGCAGCACCGTCCCCAACACACGCCCATCTACATTCAATACGCTATTGAGGACAGGCGACCCCGCAGACGAGGTAACCCCATGCGCGCTTGCGCCTGGCCCTGGTCGGCGACACCGCCACGGGGGGGGGGGGTTCCGATAGCCGGCCCTTAGTTTAAGATGTGGCTGGTTGTGCTCCACCTTTGTGTTTGAGTATAGGGAATTGTTGGGATAAAGGGTGGGCATTTTGCATGTGTGATTTGTATAGATGCGGTGAGCCACAGCTCGGCTGTGGCTCTGGGGATATCTTGTGTCATCATGTCTATGTGTATCTTACAATCTCGCCTAGTAGGATAGATCAAGGCTGGCACAATACTAGTTAAGTGCCCTGGTTGTAAGTACATGCCCAACTGTCGATGGTTGGGAGTATGTGTCGAGTGAACAGGTGTCATGAACCGCTAAGTAGGCTGGTGGCAAGGGCCGCCCCTAAGTGTGCATGGCATGTTATGTGGCATTCGGAATTCGCATTCTCACAGGTAACCTTACCACTCGTCTCACTGTTCTACGTTACACCTTATTCCAGATGGGACCCTTGGCTCCTACCGCCGATGCAAGAGAGCCCCAATACGGGGGCGTATCGTTACGTGTGGACTGCCAAGGAAAACGTTGCGCGCGACAGCCTGCCAGTGACCGCACTTGGGGAATTCAGCCAGCATGGTCCGCAGCACATAGATTTTCAATTTTTCATCCTTTTTTAAGGTTCACAGCTATTATATATTAGTTTTGCTTGATTATTCAAAGTTCTGCCGCAAAAGTTGTAAAATGACCTCTTTAGAGGACAAAAAAGACACAAATTGAAGAAAATAGAAAACTAACAATATAGAAGAAGTATTGATAATCTAGTGGTATAAATCTGATAAGTTTTCTGCACTGCTGCTCCCCGCGCGCGGTTACTGTAACGCCGCGTTGCGACGTTTTCCATTTGGCAGTCCGCACGTAACCAGCGCCCCCCCCCCCCTCCCAATACCACTAACGTTGAGAGCTGACCCCGATCCACAACATGCGCGATTTGTTGCAGCAGTTCAATGAAAACTCTTTTGATATTAGGTTGATGCAAAAGTAATGATAGATTTTCCAAGCCTTTTTTCAGGACAACTTTTTTCCATCAATACTTCTTCTTTACAATAGATGTAGTATACCATCGCGAAGATGTTTTCATGCTCTATCGAACGGTGCTTAAAACGGGCTCTCATCCCCATCTCTTATAAAGTTACTGAGCTTCAAATAACCGCATCCAAATTCAGAATTTCATTGCATTCACTTTTCCTGCCAGAATTTAAGCGCATCAATGGCATTTTTTCGAAAATTTGGCTATTGTATGTAATAGAAATTGTCTACATTATGCATACTTAATTGTATTCTTTGAAGTTATCTAGACTGAAATATCGGTGCCTAAACATGGGTAACTGTTGCGGTCATTTTATGACCCATAATTTTCTTCTGACGAAGTCAGTCGCCGACTCAATTCTGTAAGCGTAGGGCTAGAACATTTATTAGCAGTTTTTGCAAAAACATCCAGCTATTCAGTACGTAGAAAATCAGAAAATTCTATATTCCGGACTTTGAGGCACACTGAAAAAATGTTGAAAAAACTGAGAAATTTTATTTCAATTTTTTTCTTTCTCGCAAACTTTTTTGTCCGAATTCTTTTTATTGTATTTTGTACCACTTGTCATTCATACTAAGAAACTTTGAAGGAAGTTATGAATTGTCAAAAACAAGGTTCTAGCAGAGGAACCTTTTTAATCTTTTAGTCCGTATTTCTCTTCCCCTTTATGGTTTGAGTATAAATAAGTATGCGTTGTATTGCGAAAGGTTTGCTGCTTCTGGGGGTCTTTACTGCATTCAAAAATGTGGGTCTTTTAGAAAGTTATAGTTGGCAAACCCGGCTCCGCCCGGCCCTGTCAGTAACATATTTGTAATCAGCATGCTCGATTACCCCCCTGTGCCAACTCCCAGCCCCGTAGCTCAAACTTTGCAAAATCGATAAAATCGATATCGATTCGATGACGAAAAGTAGCCTATGACACCCGCCGGGGCCCGAAGTGTATGTGTGCCAAGTTTAGTCCGGATTGGTTGAGAAATGGAATTTTCTATTCGGAACATACGTACAGACACATAGACACACAGACACGCAAACAGACATTCAGCTTTATATTAGGTTGTGTAATAAGTTCGTTCGCATTTTTTGTTTTGATTTTTTCTCAATATTTTACAAAGCATTGGCAAAATGTTTGTGTGCGTTCGGAAGCTTTAAGTCTGCTCTATCAAATTTCTGTTATTATGCTTTCAATTCTGTCAAAGTTGAACAAAAATGTGACTACAAACCGAAAAATCTGAAATGACAAAGAATAGATTTTCGACATCTTCTTCCTTCTTGGTTTTCCCGTCACTCATTGTTGAAATTAATTCCAAAAGCTTGACAACGAAGAAAAATAACTGACCAATCATTTATGCACTTACTAAAACTATTTACGATTGCCCACTTTTTTTCACCGATCGTTCAATGCAATTTTTCAAAAGTCGGCGTAGCAAGGCTTTGCCGCGACGGTATTCGTTTTCTCGCATACGTGGGCTTTGTGTCCCCCGAATTCTGAATTTCTGACTATATAATCCATTTATTCGATGATTTAGCGATCATAGACCACAATGTCTTCCAATTCCTGGATTGTTCGGCTACCACCCTTCCTCAAAGGTCTTTTAGATGCTAATGTCGACGCCAAAGAGAGATAAAAAACATACCTATTTTTGAGCTCACAGCATGAAATTTTGAAAAGGTTTTGGCACCTACAAGTAATCTGCGGGAGCTACGGTATTCTAATTTTGCATGTCGCAGAATTTTTGAGCTATTTCTTAAGCGCTCAAACCCATTTGAGATTCAGCATAACATAGTTGTCGAAAATGGGTTTTTCGCCATTTCAGATTCTTCGGTTTGTAATCAAATTTTTTATTCAACTAGTCAAAAACTGGGAAAGTAATGATAGTATTTTGGTAGAGCAAACTTAGGGCTTCAGAACGCATACTAACACTTTGCCAAAAGATTTGTAAAACATTGAGAAAAAATTGAAATAAAAAATGCGAACGAACTTATTACACAACCTAATATATAAGATAGCACGTCAAAATGAAAATTCGCAAATCGGCCATTACTTTTGCATCAACCTAATACAAGTAAAATTGGAAAGTCCTTGTACCACTGGCCTTCCAAAAACCACCGTCAGATTTCATGAAATTCATTTTGAACCTAGATATAGTGTCCCGACAGTTTTGTCAAGATACACCGCGTTCGTCTTTTCTATGCGAGTTGGCTGCATTGAACACTCGAAAAGGTCTACTTGCTAATGTATGCAACTGCACAATTCCAGGATGTGAACAGGAGTGTCCGGTGAGAAGTGCAAGAAATTTGGAGGTAGCGTCCACGCGAAATTTTGTCTTCCATATATTTACATCTTAAGGCCTTTTTATGGCTCTGGTCACTGATACGAAGTGCAAAATGTGCAAAACTCTCAAAACTCGATTTCTTGGGGGGGGGGGGGAGGGGGCTTATCCCGAAGGCACTAGCGACTGATGTGCGGAGCTTGATAGGGTGGGCGTGGCTTTGTAGCGCTTTTGTGGGCTCCAGGTCCATTATCGCCATTCAGAAACAATATTGAAGGACCGGACCAAGGCAGGTTTCCTTCTCATAGTGCCTACGTCCAGGCTAGGTACTAATCGGAGGGAGTTAGATTTTGATTAAACGCTGTCTTTACCCAATCGCGTTTCATATCACAAAATCGGATCATTTCGTGTGATCATGTATATCACTGCACACAGTGTCCACCTTAAGAGCCCTCATCCTGGATTCTAGAAAGAGACAGCCCTTGTGCAGAGTGTTTTTATGGGTTTTTCATGTTTTTCTCCTTGGTGCTAGTTTCCACGAAGTGATGTAAGCGGCGTCAATCGGTCGGTCTCTTGCGTTTTTGCGATTGCAACTCCAGGATGAAGACGCCAAAGGACAGTGACACATATAATCATGTGAAATGATTCGACACTGTATATGATGCATCGTGCCCAAGCAAGAAAAAATTTGAAGAAGAGAGAAAGCCATATTAGCAGCGTTGCCAACCCTTTTGAAAACGTGCACTTACACAATTTAAAAACAAATTAAACTAGAATCGAATGTACAATTCTAGGAGAGACATAAGTAGCAGTGGATCAAATACTACAGCAATTAAGATGCGACGTCGAAAATTTTAGACAGCGCATATGGGATGCCCAGCAGTTGACCTGGTAAGACTATTCGTTTCTTGTCTCAGTGGAAAGGACAGAAGACAGTACTGGGAAGCTCTGATTGAAGAGTTCTATGGTTACTTAGTAGAGGAAGTTGGCGACAAGCAGATGCCGTTTATGCTTGGGCAGGTACTGTAGCCTTTACCAAAATGCTAATTGAGCTTGTTGATTTTAGCTCAAGGAATCATACTATCGCTTCCTGCCTATGGGCGGTTTTATGATAATGCATAGTATTGGACCTCTCTTCGATGCATTATGCAAAAATCCAGACGAACTACAGAAAGCGAAAGTAAGCTTACTTGTGTTGTAGGATGGCATGATACATTCTCTTTATTCAGAACTTGGCTGTGGTTACCGAGAAAACAGAGAGTCTGCTGGATGACATACGATTTCATCATGCAATGAACAAATATCTCAAAAAGAATGACATACGGTATCATTTTACTGCACACCCGATACTTATTACACATTTATTGGAGGCTCGGAAGGAATATTGATGATTTGTCAGAAAAGGATGTAGCTATGTAGCTTGTAGCATCACCTCGAATGTGCATTGATTTCTAACCATTATTTCATTTTATAAGCAGATAAATTCTACTTAATAACACTCTTGCAAATGAATAACCACAAAACAGCAATTTGACAGAATTGTTGTGCCACAGCTTTATGTACTCATTCAAGCTCCAGATTTGGTCGTAGGTATTTGTTGTGCAGCCGCACAAGAAACCAGAGCTTGAGAAGAATGAACGAATATGTTGATCTGTTGTTTATGATATGTGATATAGCTGTATGCACTATATATAGGCATTCTTTAGTAAGTATAGATTATTCTTAGTTCCTTGTCGTCAAGTAAAAGACTCGGTCTCCAGTCGTCTTCCTACACACGCCATGGCAAACACAACAACAGGCGATCAGAACCCGAACCCGAGCCCGAACCCGACCCCCAACATGGATCCAACCCACCTTCTGATGCTGCAAATCATGGAGCTGCGGAAAGAAGTAAAGAAGGAACAAGGATCCAGCGAGGATTACGTGATGAACGCAGTCGCTACTCGCCTACCAGAGTTCCATCAAAACCCGAACCCGAGCCCGAACACGGACACGATCCACTTTCTAATGAAGCAAATCATGGAATTGTGAAAGTCTTGTCGAGAACCCATGGCTGAACTGACGAAACAAGAATCCAACGACGAGTACAAAGACTACTTGGAATTGCAGAATCATATACAGATGATCGACAAAGCCAAGGTACCTCAGGTCAGCGTGAATCAGATGAATGAGAAACCGCAAGTCAACGCGATGCAGCGAGACGAGAAGCGGAAGCCATTCATTGGTCACAAACCCAGAACACATCTTTGTATGAACTGCGGAGCGAAGACCCATAGGACCAGGAAGTGCAAGAAGCCGATCACTGAATGCAACTACTGCAAGAAGCGTGGACATCTAGAGAGGTACTGCCTACGTAAACTATTTGTCGATGAAGCCAAGGACGTCCATCCTGTCGTCATCTCACCGCCTAAAGAAACGAAGTCGTACTGCAATGTGAAAGCCAACAACACAAGTATCGAGTTACGACTTGACTGTGGAGCTGAAGATCGCGACACGTGGATTAAGACTGGCCGACACAAACTAAAGAACCCGAAACATAATTCGACTGCTGCTAATGGGACCAGCATTACATGCCATGGACACGGCACATGTGAGCATGCGCTAAATGGCATCGCCTTGAATGGTACCACAAATGTACTTGATGCACCAGCTCTACTTGAAGTGCATTGGAATCAGAGCGACTGTGCCTTTCACAGTGATATCGGCTGTCACAATTTGAATGCAGTGACCGCTACGAACGATACACTTGACAAGAATCAAACTCACCTGACCACACAGTTCACAGAAGTGTTTCAACCTAAAACAGAAGACGGTACGAAAGCAACGGCTGTCTTTGTGCTTGAAAAAGAGGATGAGAACAAGATATTCAGCAAAACCCGTCCAAAATCCAGTCAATTTGGAAGTGCCGAGGTACCTGTTTCTTATGATATTACTCAATTCAGAACAGCCGAAATCCGCGATTCTGGAAAAGCCAGACAAGTTCGACTCACTCTCCATCAGCAGTTCAATGAACAGGCCGAGAGAATCGTCGACAATTTCCAGTGCCTAGTATCCAAGCCGAAAAGGGAGGAGACGTTAGCCGAGGCAATGCAAATGTTTCCCATGCACTGTCGCAATATATCAGGCCCAACTTTGGATGACTGCTCCTTTGGTGAGATGTTCATTGAATACGAAGTTTATATCGCTCCAGGTCCACTGTATTCGGCTAACGAGAAACATAAAGTGCAACGTAAGAAGATAAAGCGTCAACTTAATCCTCAGCGCGGAAAGGACCCACCGCTTCACTTAGAAGGGGAGGTGTTGTGCAGCCGCACAAGAAACCAGAGCTTGAGAAGAATGAACGAATATGTTGATCTGTTGTTTATGATATGTGATATAGCTGTATGCACTATATATAGGCATTCTTTAGTAAGTATAGATTATTCTTAGTTCCTTGTCGTCAAGTAAAAGACTCGGTCTCCAGTCGTCTTCCTACACACGCCATGCAAACACAACAGTATTTCATAAGAAGCATTAGCTATCTTTGTTTGCAACTTTGAGGAGCGTGAGGAGCTACGTTTCTGAGACATATTTTGGATCTACAAACGGATTTATTACGAGGCGAAATTGAAGTAGAAATCTACACAATCAAGAAGAACGGTATTTCTTGACGAAACAATCTAGACTGGTACCGCAACAATCAAGTCAGCTTGGGAGGGGTGGGGGGGGGGCACAAGGGGTGGAAAATATCATGCTAAATTTATTGTGACTCAAATGCCCTTTTCCATGGCGAGTGCAGTAAATTCAAGAGCGGAGATATACTGTGGATTTCCAAACCTTGCCACCAATTTGAGATATCCATAGTTATTAGATTGTCCCAAAAGTAAACTCCTTGTTTTCGTTTTCCTAAGAGAATTAGAGTACTATTCGATAGAGCAGATCAAGCTTTACAAAATGACCAACAAGGATCCGCCTAAGCCGCATTCCACGTAAAAGTTGAAGCCAAAATCGAAAGAATTTGTGTCACCTGAAAATTGGATTTTTGCGAGAAAAAATCTTATGGAACAGTAGGCACATAGTAGTACTTGATATGCTTTTACTGGATTTTTTCCGCGTACAGAAAGCGAGAAAAAAGACAGTGCAAAAATAGCAAACTCCGCTCCCAGCCCCTCCCACATATGTTATTGTGTACTGTTATGCTAAGCATAACCTTGAAGCTTCATACTAAGTGCTCTTATAATTGAGAACCAAGTTCTCATAAAGAATCCAAAAAGTGGCATTTTGGCATTTTGGGACCATGTTTGTTTCTCAGTGAGCCCCGGAAAAATTCCCTAATCAAATTGGGTACTACTATGTGTCTAATGAAGACCAAGTAAAGTCCGTAGGAATTTGGAAGGAGAACCGATTTCTATAGAAGTTAAAAAATTCTGATTTTTGGCTCCAAATTCTGTCGTACCCTAAGTTGTTAGGAAAACAAAAAGCTCAATTTATTTGAAACTGGGGTTACTTTTGGGACAACCTAATAGCATGCTGGTAATGAGTTCCTTGTTGTTATTGTTCCTCGGGCATACATTACCCAATTTCCCAATATTTCAATTTGTTTTAAATCATCGTAAGAATAGAATGAACAGAAGATAAAGCTTCTCATCAAACTACAAAAGATGTGAATACAATAGGTTTGCGCGTAAAGTATGCTTGGGACCTAGAACACATTTGACAGAACGAGTATGAAAAGTGATTGGCATATAACATTTCGTTTTTCTTTTGCCTGCCTTAACCGACAAAACAATACACTGTATGAGTGCAAGTAATAGCTTATATCTATTCGGGATATAAGAAGCAATTATCAGTGGCGTACCCAGGATTTCGGCTCGGGGGGGGGGGGGGGCGGACAAAAATTTTTTCCCGAGGAAGGTGCGTGGCGTCAGCCACGCTCCGAAAAAAATTTTTTCATAAGACTATAATGAATTTTTTAAAAAATTTTTAAAATTATTTTAATTATTTACAAGTGCAGACAAGTTATTTGCACAATTTTATGATCCGTGTAAGTAACTTTCAAAAATTTTGCGACCCTTTCCCGGGGGGGGGGGGGCCCATCCCCCCCCTCGGTACGCCACTGCCTCTTATAGAAAGACGAGCAGGTCAGACTAGGTTACAATTTGATAACTTGCAAGCTTATTGTTTGCATTTTACTCGCTGAGTTTCTAGGACTCAGTTACATATTTTTGTGCGTTTTGAAGCGAAAAAACGAGACTCGTCGTCCACCCCAAACGTCGTGCTAGCTGATGGACCGCTTCTTGGTTACTAAAATACTGAAATGAAACTGCTAATTGACATCATAGCTTCCATTATTGATAGCCATTATCTGCACAATAAAAGCTACGATCCCAATGATAAGTTCATTTTATACTTGTGCGCGCTCTCAGACAGGGACACTTTACTGTTGCTCCTCTGTCGTTAATTTACATGTCAATTCACTCAATTCCGTGAGTGGTTCTTTCCAGAAGTGTCTCAACATTTCTTCTTTTGGAACTGCTCAATTTAGAAAAAGACCATAATTACAAAACTCACTACTTGTAAATGTGTGTGCGGAGGAAGCAGAAAAATGCGAAGACTAAGCTTTTTGCGGTGACATACGAGTTTAGCTGGGCTAATTTTCCTCCTAAATACTCCTTTAGGCCCAAACTGTTAACAATAACGTGGATGCTGGTTCCGTTCAGCCTATGCCTGCTCCCGCTGCTCCTATAATTGTAGCAATGCCACCTACAGTCTCAGGCTCGAAGGAGGCAGTACAAGAAGCGCGGGAAAAAGAGCAGAAAATTGTGTCGAAGGTAGATGCAAGGCATTTTTTTTTATTAAGACTATATACGACTGATTTCAGCCTCTTATACCGACAATTCTTGGATCTGCAGAACTCGTGGGTCACGCTCCTATATGAAGTTACATTGTTATAACTAAGTTATTTATATCCAGATGCGGAGAAGGAAAGACGACGATACGCTACGCGAAGTTGGAAATACCATGCCAGAATACGATTGCGATAGGGTAGAGATTATGTTCCCCAGTCTGTGCATAACAAATCATTTTAAGGATGATCCTCCAAAGATTGTGGTGGAGAGGACTCAGGACAGTATAGACGCAAAAACAGCGCGCCTTCCTTCTGGACTACTTGCACCGGGAAGTCTTGAGAAACCAGCAGTTTTGAAATAAAGTTATTTTGTATGATTTCGTTGTGTACCTTAGGAACTTCCACAATGAGGAAAGAAATTAAATGCGTGGTCAGAGTAAAATCAGTTGCTGCTTTTCCTAGCGTTCGAAGTGGCATAGTTGAGGCATATGTTTGAAATAAGAACATTTATTTCAGAGAGTAATCAAAATAAGCCACAGAAAAAATGCTCACATGCAGATTTTTGCTCATAAAAACTTGTAACTCCTCGGTTAGGAATTTGCAGCAGGTAAGGAGGATAGATTTAGAATCAGCGCTTCATACCTTCGAGGCAGTACCCATTTTATATCAAAAAGTCACTTCGACTAACCTTCTTTTCCTTGTAAGTCCAAAAGTGAGAGGCCAAATGCTTTACAAAAGGTGACTTCTAACCACAGTTGTACGGTTCGATCAGGTGACGGTGTCCAAGCATATGGCAGCAGCAGCAGTCTTAATGCTTGTAAGATTCAGTGTTTTAAACTCCAGCCCTTTGAGCATGAGCTGCGCTCTCAGTTCCTTTCCGCAGAATATGTTAGCAAAGCTACTGTCATTAAGGGAGGCAGATGCAGTTGCTTATAGGTGCAAAGAGAATTCCGCGAGGCGGCGTTACAGTAACCCGAGTGGTAGGCAGCAGAGCTACCAATGGGGCAGGAAACCTTTTATGCAGGGTGTCCCAAAAAAATGTGAACACTATTTGATCGTTAATAACTCTCTTACTTTCATGTCTTTCACCGAGCTTGAGGCATCATTCTGTAGAGCGAGGTTCAACTTAGATTTATAGCATGGAGCGAATCATCTATCGCTCTTCGTTACTGTAGGATTACGGTATGAACTTTCAGCATGTGGACCCATTGTGAAATATGCCTTTTGACAAAATTTTTTCAAAAAATCTGAAAAAACGTGTACTAGGGTCTTCGAGCACGCTGATTCCACTACACAACTTTTTCATGAGTGTTTTTACCTTTTTTGACTGTGTAATCACACTTCTCACACATGCTGGATTCAGTTGTTACGGTTTACCTGGGATAACCTTGGAAAGAAGCATCGAAGTAAAGTGAAAATTTCATATTCGAAATCAGCAGCTGCCATTACCGTAGTATAAGAGTTTTTGGCTTGTTTAGTTTTGTTTTGAGGTAGAATATGGCCTCCAATGGCCTAAAATCCTTGTCGAAGTTCCTACCGTAATCCTACAGTAACGAAGAGCGATAGATGATTCGCTCCATGCTATAAATCTAAGTTGAACCTCGCTCTACAGAACGATGCCTGGCGAAAGACATGAAAACAAGGAAGTTATTAACGATCAAACAGTGTTCACATTTTTTGGGACACCTTGTATGTGTACCTCCCGAATTGATGCTCTTTTTCGGACGTTTGTGTTTTTCTTCAGGTCGGTAAAACCTCTCACCATAATTGACACATGCGTTCCTAAAGTTACTCTTCATCCGTTGAAGAAAACCACGAAGTCTCAGTAGAAATGCAAGAGGCAGCGCTTTTGCAGTAAACAGGAAGTTTTGTGATGAAATTGTTGATTTCGGAACTTTCGTTGATCAGTTGATCGTTTAGGTTTTACAAAGCGCTTCCCGGAACAGAAGCTGGATAAATCTTATATTTGTTGTCCTTTGTCTTATACACGCGGCCGGATTTGTTGAATTGGTAGAAATTGCTAAAAATTGCGCTTCGCCATTTCAACTGATGGGTAATGGGACCTTGTTATAGCGGGGCTGGTTAGACATACAGAAATCCTTCGACAAGCCTAAAAGCTCTTGAAATCGAAGAATTAGCTTTGAAAATGTTCATGATAGTAACAGCTTTGCAGAAGTTTCTGTCACCTTTATCAGGTTGTGGGTCAGAATGTGGGTCAAAATGGTAAGTCCTTCAATGGAGATACCATTCTGACCATCATAGTCTTGGTATTCATGCAAAACTCAAGAATTTTTCTCGTTGAGGATTGTATCAACCTCCTGCGTCCTCTTGTGGTCAATCTCCTGCGTTTATGCGAAGCGCATTCTTTTCATTTCCAACAAATTCAACATAGCTGAATTACAGATAGAACAGAGGGAGATCTTCCTCGAGCAATACTCAAGGAAAGTAATTGTAAATTGTCCAGTTTTCTTACGCAGAAATAACGGAGGTCTGAAATGCTTCCCTCTGATCAATATTCAAACACCGCGTCCTGTATGTGTCTATAGACTAGAAAACTAGCAATTTCATAAACTACTTGCTAACGAGGAAATGGTCAGAGCTTAATCCAGCCATTTCAAAAAAGTTGTATAACGTTGAACTCGTGTTAAAGTGCTGACTTCAAATACATGCTTTTATCTGCCAAGAGACATCTGGGGGGGGGGGGGGGGAGTTATGAGCGTTCAAATATGAGGAATTTTCAAGTCTCGACGATTATATTTCCTTGAAGGCAGCCTGATGGTGTGATTTACAGTGGTTATGGTTACTTTGATTACAAGGAAGAAGCACATTCAAAAAAACCTAGATAAGCGTTTTTGAAACCTATTTCGTGGGACATGCGCAATGAACACTTAAAAAATCGCACATTTGAACGCTCATAACTCCTTCCCGATAGTCGCTCGGCAGATAATAAACATATATTTGTGATCAGCGTTTCAAACGAGTCCAGTGATATACACATGTTTTTAAATTCTGACCATTCCCTGCTAAGTTTAAACGGTGAAAGATATCTTATACTTCTGATGCTAGGTGTTGAGCTTACCATGTGTAACATTTTTAATTCGGCACCTAGTCACACAAAAATTGTCTGCGAAAATAATCAGCTCCTCTGAATATCTTCACCTGTTGCTTGCTCAAAAAACTACTACAAACTACAATGGCAGTGCCGCACGTTTTATGAATCTTTGTCGGTTCAGAGTCTTTATCAGTGTTAGTGACACATTCGGTTTGTACCCTACTAACCTTGTGTTGTAGAGATCAGAAATGTTTGGTATACGTGAGCGACAGAAAAGATTTTTACACTATATATAAAAAAACTTCTTTATGCTGGTCTGCTCAGTACATGAATTCAAATGAGCTCTACCATGGAATACAAACCGCTATTTCTAACTTTGAAAAGCATCGCTAATTTTTTGGATGGAAAAAAATCGTCCCTTTCCCTTCTCCCCGAAAATTTCTGGAACCATTACAGACGCAAATACACTACTGTTAAAGTGCAGGGATGCTCGCAATTTGGATGGACTGGTTTAGCGCATCGAAATCCTCAATCATAATGCAGGAATCGATATCCATTAATGCGGTAATGTAGCCATGCGATAAGACTGCATTCCATTGGCACTTCCTGTCACCTTTAATAATATTTCAACCTTTTTTACGTCTATATAAGGCGACTGCACTGCTGAGCACTCTGATTTGATTTACATCACAAAAACAAATCAAATTTCTACTTGCAGTAACAGATTCAATCAGGGCTCAGCACAGCTGGCATCGCGTCAAGCTGGGTATCGTTTCTGGGACAAAAAGCAAAGGTGATATCGTTTTTGTGGCCAAAAAGACGCAAAAATTGCGACATTTTTTTGGTCTACGTTTCATTTGAGGGTTATTTACGTTTAGACTCTAGAATCGAAACGGACTTCGTTTTGAAATTTCCCTGTCCCAGCTCGTGCCGAATCCTGGACTTCGCCATTGACTACTTATTGTTAGATTTTTTACAAAATGAAGGCTGTAAATTGGATTAACATTAAACCACGCCTTTTAAAAGTGCATTTCACTTAATGTTGATTTTTCAACTCTGTTACTCTGAAAAATTACAAATTTGAGTTGTCTTTACATACAACGAAAGAGAACTAACCTTAGCTATCTTTATAACTCCCTGAGTGTACGTCAAGATGCGCGATCTGCTAGATGGAAACCAATTAGCGCATTTTTATAGTTTGATAGCGTTTTCAAAGACTTTAAAATTTTAGAGAAGATATGCAAGATTGTTACCAGGGCTATTCAACCTTATATCCTGAAATAGATTCGAAACATGAAACGTGAATATTGGGGATCAAAAACCTGCAAAAGGCAACCAATCGCAATTTTCTGAATATTTCTTTCAATTTTTCACCAGACGTCAAAGCGACCGCTAACTTCAGATTGTTAGTAAGCTTGAGCACTTTCTCTGGTAATTTTGAAGACACGCATAGCTTGGGCTCTTATTGAATCGGGCTCTTATTTTGAATGACCTCTTGAGAATTTACACCTCTTGACTGTTTACTTAACACCCTGGATTACCCGCAAAGATAAAATGTGCGCCCCTGTTGTTTCGAGTTTGTATTGTCATTTGATCGATGCGGCGTAAGACGAATGCAGACAAAAAATGTCGACACGTAAATTTGCAGCCTCGAAGGAATTTTTGCTTTCAGTCGTAGGTGAGGTACATAAATGAATTTATTGAGATCAAATTCACTGTCATAAAAAAATAATTCGAGTTTATTTGGAATATTCTTTGACCTGAGAACGATTCACAATCCGTCAAATGTCATATGACGGTCGACTGCGTTTTTCTGTCTCGTCGGTTTTCTGGAAATGACATATTTTATTGCATTAGTGCAGTATAATAGACATTACATTTCATGTCATCTTATCTGAAAATTCCACAAATAGTCAATAATTGAATCATTAGTTAATTTTGACTAAACGACCATGATTTGAAACAATATGAAGGTTCCGAGATATTCTTCTTTCCACTGCTATCAAGGAATCTATTTGAAAAACTGAAGAGAAGTAAGAAAATTCGGACAAAAACTCTCATCTTGAGAATTTACTAGTTCCTCGTATGCAGCTTCAGTCTTCGACAATTTCAAGATAAAATGCTGATTCGACATTGCTTGTAGTTTTTATCATTTACTAAAAGAAAATGCTGTTTATGTCAATAGAATTTCATAGTTGTGAAATTATTGTGCGGACTGAGCTTCTCCTCAATGAACATAGAGTCCGTTTCCCAACTTAACTTTGATCCAATCCTCATTAGACATCGTAAACATTTATTTGCACACCTCTGAAAAGAACGTCTCAGGTAGACAATGAGTTTATATACGCCGGCTAATGGATTATTTGGCACTCATGTTACTTGGGAAGATATCAAAGAGGTTATGCAGAAAGAGCTAAATACTAACTCTTCATTCGGCTCCAACAAGACCGCTACCAATATTGGTGAAGGGAAAGTGAGTCATAATAACTTTACAAAGGTTTTAAGTTGATTGAACTCTACCTCATTTTAATGTTCACAAAGTTCTAATTAGGGCTTCATGTCCAGAATCGTGCTTATTGAACCAGATTGGCAGAATAAAGACAAGAAACTTCCAGAGCGCTTCATTGCCAAGGTAAGATTAATATAAGATTTATGAAAGAAAACTCTTGAATGACATTTTTAGCTTCTCACTATGCTGGCTATGCAACAACTAACCGAAGGATTAGCGAACATGTCAAAGGGAGTAGAGGACAAATTTAGTACGGAGCAATTTGTACTTGCGTACGAAGATCGTCTTAAAAAGGTACATTTTTTGATGGGTATGTTTTTATTGAGAGCTTATGAGATCTTATATTTTCAGAAAAAATTCTGAATTTGGATGATTTTTTATGTTATGTAACAACCCTGCTTTCAGCTTCATAATTCCGAAGTCGTACTGTATGGACATCTAATGAAGCTTTCAGAAGGAAAGTTTCCCACCCCACATGTAAGAGTGAACAGAATTTGGTAATAAGCTAGGTTAATGCAATTAACATTTAGATATATCACGCCAAAAAGTTCTCAGAGTCCAATCCTCTAAAAGGATATATCCTTATGGAGTACAAAGAAAAAGCTGAGACTCTGACTATGCTCCAGAATGTTTCGCTTGAAAATATCAAAGAGGTTCGACTAGATACAGAAAATCTCAGAAAATAAGAAAAAATATGTTTCAGGTGCTTCGAGCTGTAGCAGTCATGGAGGCTATGTCGCTGAAATTTACTCCAGAGGAGAAAAAAGAGTTTAGAGAACAACATTTTACATGGGGTTTTCAGAACGTTCTGAGTAAAGATGTGATTGAGCGTTAAGATATTGCTGCGCATAATGAAGCATGTAAAGAGGTGTTTCCAGGTTCTCTCCGCCATGGTGAAAGCGCCGCAAATGTTTAATATGGCCGTTAATGCTGAAAAATTAGAAAAGTACCCGCCAGATATCATGAACCTTGCTTGGGCCGATCAGCTCTCAGATGAACTTGGTATGATTGAAGAACTCATTGATGCTTAGTTTTCGCTTTTATCTACTTATGATTAACTAGCTTATGTATAGTTGTTTTTGTTTTATCTCCGAACATAAATAACACTATTTAGGGTGCTGTCATTTTTTCTACTTCTTTTCTTTTTGGCAGGAATGCAGCGGGTGATTTGCCATGGAGACTTATGGTCGGCAAACATACTTTGGAACAAAAAGGAAAGCGGCGAATTGACATTGTCAGCTCTCGTTGACTTCCAGGTACTTAGCGCTTGCAACTATAAAAGGAATTAACAGTATATTCTGGAAGAAAAGCTCATCAATGCTGGAAAACTTTTATTGGATTCACTTTCAACATTATAATAAAAATTAGCTGGCAAATAGCCATCACGACTTGGTTTATGAATCAGTTATGATAATCCCAGCTAGTTCTTGATCCACTACCTAATCACACTTACATGTAGGTTTTGCTAAAAACTAGCATCCTAATCAGGGTTGAGCAAGAGGTCAGGCACAAGTCCTTTAAAACCCCCCCCCCCTCTCTTGTGAAGGCCTCCAAGCGACCCCTTCGCTTCTCCTCCAAGACTTCAGACTGTGAAGTTCTGAAGAAGATCAGCCTTTACTGGAGGTTTTCGTTTCTTGGAGGTCTGTAGGCTCGGCTTTCTGCGATTGCAGACTATGCGGCACGGCCAACTTGACGGCAAATTTTGCATGTGGATAGCCCTCTCAGAGCCATAAATGGTAAAGTGTTTGGCTACAAATTTTCAATATATCGAGAAGGAGCTTTGCTTTAATTCTCATACTAGGAATAGAGCGAATTTTGAATATTGAAGGCAAGTTAAGGGGGTCAGGCGCAAGGCTACAAAAGTTCAGATAGCCTGACCTTTTGAGGGGTTGCGCCTGACCCCACTAACTCTATTTCCGAAGAAGCTTTTCCATCTAAGTTTTATGTGATCCGCTAGCACAAACCTCGAAAATTCTACAGCAAGTGTTGAGCTTGCTTCGCCTGGTTTCGACCTTGTGGAATCCATGCAGTTGAAGCATTCAAGGTGAAAAATGCACCGGTTAAAATTTTGGCAGCATCTCTTATTCACTATTTGAAAGCGATATAAAGCCTGATTTCTAGCATAGACTGTTAAGGTACATTAGTTTGTCTAATGTATAAAAAAGCTGACTTTTCACTTTTGGAACCAAGTTAATCATGTTCGATAGACACGCTTTTCAGACGTTGAGAAGCACTCGAAAATGCAGTAGTTAACGGTTTTTAGAGCTCATAGAGGTAATTCGACATGGCGATTACGGCGATGATACCCATTTTACACAGCAAGCTTCCTTGGTGACCTTATGATATTTCAAGGTAAAGCCATCGGACAGAGTTCACGTGATTTCATCGTCGCGATTCATTGCGACAAGACAACTGTCACGAGTTCATTGCATGCCGATCTTCTTGTATTTAGATTGTGATAGTTGGTCACGTAGTCGTGGGAAGATCGCCTTGTTACAATTGTTCTGTCGCGATGAATCGCAACGATGAAATCGCACGACTGCAACTCTGCCGGCCAATGAGATGAAGATTCGAATTTTGGCTGAACTTCGTTAACCCGTTGACGACGACGCCTAATTTTGCATGGCGGCGCTGTGGGACGACGCGATTTTGCACAAAACTTTCGGCTTGGGAAAGTTTTGTGATTATTTACGAGATGTAAAGTTGTTTTCTAAACAACTACAATCATTTTCTTGGACGGCGAAGTCTACAAGTTCCAATAGTGCAAAAAATTGGGAGAAATACTGAACTGTGGAAAAAATATTAGACTTGGAAAGGATATGATTTTGCAAGGAGTGTGGGCCACGGGTGGTCCACATCGTCCCTGGCGGCAAGAAGTGTGTGGGCCACCGGTGGTACACATCGTCGTCAATGGGTTAATGGGTTAATTAGTTTGCTGTTCACGACCGTCACTCCTTCAATATTGGTGAGGTCGCGATATTCACCGGACTAGCGCTCTTCTTCACTTTAAACGTAGTATCTTCCCAATTTTCTGAACGAATTCGATTCTTGATTACGACCCCTCCCTCAGTCTTACCCCCCCCCATACGACACCCCCCCCCCCCAGGTCAGGCACGCCTCATCCCATGCTCAACCCTGATCCTAATCCTTGTGCAAATACCTTAACATCATTGAAGCAGTGTAAAAAAAATTATTTCTGAAGATGCAGCTTTGCTCTGCCTATCCCACCGAAAAATAACATTTCACCAAATATTATTGAGAGTGAAAACAGTGCGCCCTACACTTCTTATCTGTGACTCTTCCAGACAGCCCACCTTGGTTGTCCTGCTGGTGATCTCACAAGACTCTTTGGCTCATGTCTCAGCGGAAAAGATAGACGAGAGCATTGGGAGGAACTTCTTGAATCATTCTACAGTTACCTGCAAGAAGAAGTTGTTGAAAATGAGATGCCATACACTTTAGAGCAGGTAATCAGGGCCACTTTGTGTCATAAACAACGAGCTTAATTCAACATATACATATGTAAAATTCGGCAGATTGATTCTGAAGGTTTCCACTACCTCTGCAATTCTAAACGTGCAGAAACCAAATTAGAAGTTCAACTTTTAGCATTTTGAAGTTTCCCCTTTTTCCAGCTGAAGGAATCATACCGTCGATTCTTACCTTTCGGTGGCTTTTTGGTCTTACCTATGTTTGGCGCCCTACTAGAAATGGTATCTAAAAGCCCTGATGAAGAGTTCAAAAATCAGGTAAGCCTTTATTAGGTTTGAATAGAAGAAGTACATTCCGCAGTAATTCATTTTCTTATGAATCAGACAAATTTTGATATGTCATTCGATGAAGTAAAGCTAGCTCTACAAGAAATGTAGTGTTCAGTTTGCACAAACTTGGATCCACGGGGAGTCTGAAGCTATATTGATGTACCTGAAAATGAGAAAAAATCCAGAAGAATTGTACTCCTCTTAAAGAAAAGTCTTTGAAATTCCTCACTTATTCAAGCATACGTTCCACATCGCATTGCAAATGCAGTTGCTGATTTTTCTCAACTAAAGAAAAAAAAACGCTTGTTTCATTTATAGCTTTCAATTTTAATAGAAGACGTTGTGCTATTTATACGCTAGTAATTGTATACTACATGTCTTCAAAAGTACAGCAGTGAATATCTGGCATAAATTTTACAAAACGAAAATCTTCATTTATTCAATTTCTAGCCAAGAAACAGAAGCAGCATAGGTAAATGTTGATACATACGTGAGCAAGTAAAGATTTTCGTAGAATTTTCCTGAATGGGGTTAGGATTTTTTCTCAATTTTTTCTCAGTTTTTTGACCGCATAGATTTTTTGGGATTCTAAACTTTGTGTGGATTGGGGCTTGTGTGAACTTGAAATTACTTATTTCTATAATATTTCTTTTCGAACCAGTTTTGCTTCAAATGGTAGATCAGAACTTACCTGGGATATGACAGAAATATAACTTACTGGGGAGCCCATTTTGGTGCGAGACTTATGTCCTCTAATATTTCCTGAGCTAAATAAATGTTTTAGTGCCTGGCTACGGCATTGGAGAAGATTGCTTGCATGGTGGAGGATGTTGTTGAGTATCATGAGCGCAATCTGAAGCTCAAAAGTGACATTCCAGATGAGCACATAATATGTAGTAAAAACTGACGGAACTGAGTTTATTTTTCATGCAATGCTGACTAGAGATCCATAAGCAAAATCTCAGGCACTGGCCTAAGGCTATTTTACAGTGATAATTAGACACAAATTGTTGTTTAACTGTTGCTTCATTGTATCGTATACTTTGGCAATGGTTATCGATAAATATTTCTATACAGTAGACTAGATGTTTTACAGAAAAACAGGAGTTCGAGGTTTCAGCTTCATAGCTTTCACAGTACGAAAAAAATCCTCCGTTTCCAAAATAAGGTTTGTTTGCCTTGAAGGCATCGTCCATCCGAGAAAAGGTTGGTGAAGTTTTTGCTGTATGCAGGGTGTCCCAAAAGTCTTGTAGCCTAGTGCTTTTTTCTGACATAGAACAACATAGATGAAATTTGGTGCACACATTACTCAAGCAATAACAAAAGCAAAACAGTATTCGAACTTCGTAATAGCATTTTTTTTCTTGTTCACGGAAACCTTCAGTTTGTTTGCCGACTGCCACTGTCATGACAAGCGGATAATCGTTATCGAATTCGTCTACGCCTTTTCGGCAAAAGTACCTGTCGCTTGGAAATGTGCAGTATAATAGACAAACTTCCAGCTATAATATACTGTAAAAAATTGTATTAAATTTGGGATTAAAAATATAAAAATTTGAACGTAGGCATGTGTGGACATGAGGTTTTAGACACAGTTGCGAGAAATGAATGCAAAAAACTTTAATGTGTCTTGGAACCAAGTTCGTTATTCAAGCTAAATTAGATTCTCATCCAGAAGAGAAATGACGAGAAAACTACTTTGGATCCAGTGACTGCTGCACTTTACGGATTCAAAATTAACTTCAAAGACAAAGCGACGTGGCATGCATTCAATTCTCCAATTTTTTTGCATGTCTCGATGAGATATTCTTTCAAACGCATGTATTATGGTGTAGTAGGGCCGGCAAAGTCCCATCGTCACCTTCCTGCGGTGCCGGCTGGCAACGGGGATCAAACCCGGCAAACGACGAGGGCACTGTGCCGTCAGGCGGAGCGAAGCGCCGGGGACTGTACGAATCAGTCGTGTCACATGCATCGGACTATTAAGGATTTTCGTCAAGCTGCTAGGGCGTCCCCCGGAGGCGACGCGCGTCATTGCCCGCATGGCGCGAATAGTGAGCTAGGGCTACCTGCCCGCGGACGAGGCAGGCCAAAGAAGCGAGTCCAGGAAATCCGACTTGCGACGATTAATATAGGAACGCTGACAAGCCGCAGCCGGGAGCTATGTGATAGGCTGAAGGAGCGACACATCGACATCGCATGTGTACAGGAAACGAAATGGAAAGGAAGGCAGGCGAAGGACATCGGCGGATATCGCTTATACTATACGGGGGATAGCAGCCGCCAGAACGGAGTCGCGATCATCGTCAGCGGTAGATACCGCGAATTAGTGACCGAAGTGACGCGCATTCCAGATAGATTGATGGCGATGAAGATCGAAGCAGATGATGCCACGCTTCGAATAGTCTCGTGTTATGCCCCGCAATCCGCATGTACCGAAGCCGAGAAGGACGTGTTTTGGAGGGACTTCGACATCCTGCTAAGGACATTTGACGCTTCAAACTACCTATTCGTAGGAGGCGATCTTATTGGACACGTTGGCCACGAACACGATGGATTCAAGAGATACCATGGTGGAAACGGATACGGTCAAAGGAATGAAGATGGAGAACGCATCCTGGAAGCCGCAGAAACACACGACTTGGCGATAGCGGATACATTTTTCAAGAAGCGGGAGTCACATTTGATCACGTACGCGAGTCGAGACCGCTCAACTTAGATCGACTACTGGATGCTGCGCCGATACCATTTGCCGATGGTGATGAATGCGAAGGTTATACCCACGGCGACACATGCATTTGCGCCACAACACCGGTTGCTCGTATTGGATCTTCGGAACATCCACTTACACTCACGAGCCAGAAGGACGACCACAAAGAGGATCAAATGGTGGAAGCTTCCCGAACATCAGCAAACACCAGCAAATCAGAAATGCTTTTAACGATTTGAGGGTGTCGACGGATGATAAGGAGTCGATTGAAGAGCAGTGGAATCGGATTACTTCGCAGATACGATCGAGGGCCGAGACAATCTTGGGAACCACCAAGCAGCACGCCGGTTTGTAGACAAGCAGATCTGGTGGTGGTCTGAGTCAGTCCAGCAAGTGATCAAGGAGAAGAAAGAAGCCTTCAAAGCCTGGCAGCGCTCACACTCAAATGAGGACCTCCGTCGATATCGAGAACAGAACTCGAAGGCGAAGCACGCGATTGCCGAAGCAAAAGCACACTACAAGAGACTTTACGACGAGCTGGAAGGACCTGCTGGAGCTAACAAGGTCTACCGACTGGCCGCTGCACGACATCGAGCGAAGCAGGACATCGACCACGTCATGCACATTAAGGACGCAGAGGGCAACCTCCTGATGAAGCCGAGGGCAATACTCAAGCGGTGGAGTGAATACTACAAAGGGCTATTCAATGAGGAGTTCCCGCACCCGTTAGTACCGCAAGGAGCCCCCACATTTGGACCGGTATCTCGGATCGAGGAGGCAGAACTTGTGCAGGCATTGAGGAAAATGTCTAGCGGAAAAGCTCCGGGACTCGACGACATACCTGCTGAAGTGTGGAAGATGATGGAACAGCGTGGAGCGGCATATCTCACATCGCTCTTTAACCGCATCATTGTCGACGGACAGTTGCCGCAAATCTGGACTACGAGTGTTACAGTCCCTATCTGAAAGGAAAAGGGCGACGTCAGCGACTGTTCAACATATCGACCAATACGCTTGCTATGCCACACGATGAAGATCTTCGAACGAGTCATCGACGCACGCATTCGAAGTATAGTGGAGGTCACCCCAAATCAGTGCGGCTTTGTAAAAAAAATCGGGCACCATCAACGCCATCCACGCAGTACGATTGCTAATGGAAAGGCATTTGGAGCAACGGATTCTGATTCATTTCGCATTCCTGGATTTAGAAAAGGCATTTGATCGGATACCACACGGGCTGATCTGGTATGCGCTGAGACAACACGACGTCCCAGAAGAGTACGTTCGCTGGATCAAACTCCTCTATACGAACACGACGGGCGCCATACGCTGTGCAGTGGGAACGTCAACGCCATTCCCAATCCAAGTCGGAGTACACCAAGGATCTGCTCTATCACCGCTTCTCTTTATACTGTGTATGGACACGGTAATCAAGGACAATCAGCTGCCGCATCCGTGGACGCTCCTTTACGCGTAGACGTCGAGCTGGCAAGCGGATCGAGACAAGAGCTTGGAGAGGCGACTGTGCGATGGAAGACACGATTAGCGGAATATGGCCTACGACTGAACGTAGCAAAGACCGAGTACCTGGAATGCGGAGAGCAAACCGATGGCACAATTAGCATCGATGGGCAGCCGCTGAAGAAGGTCACGATATTCAAATACCTGGGCTCCCGAGTGACGTCGGACTGCGATACGATCACTGATGCTCGTGCTAGGACGAACGCGGCGTGGCTAAAATGGAGTAACAGAAGTACTCTGCGACCGACAAATTCCGTTGTATCTTAAGTCGAAAGTGTATCGGACTGTAGTGAGGCCAGTCGCACTGTATGGAGCCGAATGTTGGCCAGCAACCAGAAAACACGAGCGGATCCTGAGCACGATGGAGACGCGAATGATAAGATGGATACTTGGCCTAACGAGAAGAAACTGCGTCACGAACGATGATGTACGACACATTTTCGGAGTTGCACCTATCGCGGATAAGATGAGAGGTGCCAGATTACGATGGTATGGTCACGTTTTACGAAGTGAAGATAATACAGTAGCAAAAACAGCACTTCGTCTAGATCCACAGGGGAAGAGACCACGTGGCCGTCCGAAGCAACGCTGATTGGACACCATTCGAAACGACCTGCACATTGCAAAGCTCAAACCACAAGAAGCAGCTGATCGAGTCAAATGGAAGCAAAAATGCACCACCGCCGACCCTGCACGCGCGGGACAATGGCGAAGATAAAGAAAAAGAAGAAGAAGTATTATGGTGTAGTAGTGTAAAGCCTCCTCTATATAGTAGACTTGAGACTGTAGCACAACGTTTTACATCCAGTAATAGAATAAATTGGAAACCCCCGGGAAAAAGATCTTTGTGGTCTCAGAAAGTGATGGCTCAATATTTCCATTCTTTTTGGAAACATATAGAGATCCTATTGGACCCGCGGAAAGGTGTCTGATAAAAAATGATTGCAGCATTCTGTGGCATAAATTTGAAATAAAAACTGTTAGCAAAGGGTAGCAAATCTTTAGCATTTCTTTGGCAAAATCTTTAGCAATTTTTTAGCAATGGGTTATTGTAGTGCAAACTTAGGCTACAAGACTTTTGGGACACCCTGTATAACGAGCTCCTATGCAATCGCCCAATATTCTTGTATGTCCCAAGAGAAAGTTCGGGAAGGTGGAAGCGGCAATGTTGGCTCATCAACGTAGGTATTTTGAAAATAATGCGTTTGAGGTAGATGGAAATGTCAAAATCTGATAATCATATTAGGGCGTGAATTTCTGCAACTCTTACATTATGCTCTCTTCAGATTCATTATCCTTAGTCCACAAGTTGTTTGGAAAATTCATCGTTGCTTCTATCTTCTGGAGCAATTTTTTTCACTTCGGAACATATCTTTTGCGCAGAGACTAGGACGATTACTTGGATATAGGCTTGCTAACACACAGCATCAAAATCTCACCACCCTCAGTTTGGTTGGACGGTGCCTTGGAATGAATAATCGAAATATTACTCATTGGTTTACATCTGGTCTTCGTACTATCGTTTCGCGTGCGAACTTCAATGTAGCCATTTTCTATGACAACTATCACAAGGAATATCTGCTTTGTGCCGTGGCTGTAACACTTGACACATGTCTAAGAGAAGAGAGATGATTGCAATGCTATCACCAGCAAAGATAACAACCTTCTGCTTTCTTGCCGAGAAGAATAGATATAAGCGTACAAGTAAAATTAAGCAATAGTTCACAAATGAGCATCTAGAAGATGAATTTAGTGTTTGCAGTGCTTTGGTTATTTATGGCCGCAAAGGCATCAAACTTCGCAGCTATCTTGTTTTTTCATACCCGTAATAAAACCAAAATTCAAGCACTTTGAGTGCTGAAAATGATAAGCTATGAAACAAATACCTGACTGCATCAAAAATCTTTGCTTGCCATCTTCTACCTCTCTTTTCACGATTCCAATGTGCAGATCAATCTTTCATAGTTGTAAGCTCAGTTCAAGATGAATCTCTATACGCCTGGTGATGGGTGGTTTGGTACGCATGTCACATGGAAAGATATTGAAGAAGATATGCGAAGGGAGCTAAACACCGAAGCTATCTTTGGAAAGAATAAAAACGTTGAAAACATTGGAGAAGGGAAAGTAAGCTATCCTTACTTTATTTGTTCCTTCCAAATAAATTTGCTTACACATAGGGCTTCATGTCTAGGATTGTACTCGTGGACCCGGATTGGCAGCATAAGGATAGAAATCTGCCTGAAAGATTCGTCGTAAAAGTTTGTTGTCTTACAGTATCCATAATGGTTAGGCTAGTTCGCAGATTTTTATGTTGTAATTTCAGATACTAACTCTACTAGCAATGCGCAAGCTCAATGACGACATGGTAGAAAAAAATGGTACCGACAGCAACTTTTTCACTGAAGAGCTTATGCGTGATTTCGAAGAACGAGCGAAAGCTGTAAGTTTCAAACATCAACGTCAAATCAACTTGATAAGTTACTTAGTATAAGATTTTTTGGTATGGACACTCCTATCTCTTCCTCATTTTTCACTGCTATTCTCATTTTGCTTCCGGCGACATTATCGGCCCCTCTCGTTCTTCATCTTTTTGGTCAATAGTTCCGGTAAATAACTGATCTCTTGGTGAAGCATCATGAAGAAAGTGCACTTTTATTTTTTTTATTGTCTTTCCGCCATTGTTACAAAAAAGCTAGAGAAACATTGTATGCATTCTAGGCATTTAGTAAATCAAACGTAAATCAAGAGCAGGGGGTGAGTAGAGTAGGGTTGAAGCGACGGTCGACTGTCCGTCCAGGAACAAGTTTTAACAGGAGAGTGAGCGGCCAAAACAAAAGAGGTCAGCTCACTCTTCCAATTCTGAGAGGTTTTCTATGTGTCATTATGTACAGCACTGTTCCAAAGCGAGACACACGAAACTTTAAAAAGCACTTCATCTTGCTCAAAGATTGCACTTTGCATCGTATACGTAAGCAATGCTCGTAAAATTGGTGATTATTTGATAAGGCTGCTGGCAAGTAGCTTTTGTCATGTCTAGTCTGTCTGTCTCTCTCAAAAGGCATGACATTGTATATGATTGTGATAGCATTATATTACACTAGCTGGCATACCCGGCTCCGCCCGGTTCAGTGAAAACTATGATAAAGGTTCCATCCTTATCCATGCAGAATCCTTCCCTGTGAAACTTTTCCATGCAAATTCCCTATCCCCGTTTTCTCAGCATGCTCACCTACCCCCTGTGCCAACTCCCAGCCCTCTAGATTAAACTTTGCAAATTATCGATAAAATCGATAAAAGTAATGGATGAATCCAAAAACTAATACTGTATTCGTAATCAGCATGCTCGATTACCCCCCTCCCCTCATGCCAACTCCCAGCCCCGTAGGTGAACTCTGCAAAAAATCGATAAAATCGATAAAAATAATGGACGATTTCGAAAACTAATATTGTATTCGTAATCAGCATGCTCGATTACCCCCTGTGCAAACTCCGCCCCGCATGTCAAAATTTACAAAAAAAATCGAGGAAGTCGATAAAAGTAATGGACGATTTTGACAACTAATATTGTATTCGTAATCAGCATGCTCGATTACCCCCCTGTGTGCCAACTCCCAGCCCCGCAGGTCAAACTTTACAAAGAAATCGATAAAATCGATAAAAGTAATCGACAATTCTGAAAACTAATATTGTATTCGGAATTCCCATGCTCACTTACCCCCCTGTGCCACTCCCAGCCCCGTAGGTGAACTCTGCAAAAAAATCGATAAAAATCGATAAAATCGATATCGATCGATGACGAAAAGTAGCCTATGACACCGCCAGGGCCCGAAGTGTATGTGTGCCAAGTCTGGTCCGGATCGGTTCAGAAATGGAATTTTCTATTCGGAACATACGTACAGACAGACATACAGACATACAGACATACAGACATACAGACAGACAACAGACATTCAGCTTTATATAGAAGGATTTAGGCACAATGGCTATCACAGCATAGCCTAATATCAATCTGGAATGGGGTGAAAATCCAAAATTTGAGAAGATTTCTCAACAAATCTTCTGAACAAGTACACCCACATACTGTAATGGCGTAATCGCAGCTTATAACGATAACATTCAAGGCTAGGATGCTACAATTAGCTAACAATAACAATTAGCTTAACGAGCACGTGTTTGTGTTTAAAATTGTTAGGCAAATGAGCAATGCTAGAATCATACTCAAAACCTTAGTAATTCATGTACTAATATTTCGGACCGCAACACGCGTTGAACAGTTGCTCTAATGTAACTCTTGCCATTTTCTTTGTTGGGAAAAGAGCAGATCAGGAAATTGTAGACTGAAGAAATGGTAATTAGCAGCCAAAATCTGGATTGTGATGAAGGCGTAACGTATGGGATGAGTTAAGAGAGAAGCAGTGGCGCAACGAGCGGGGGCGGCCCAAAAACGAAAATTCTGGGCCAGCGGCTGGAGGGAAGTCGTACGCTGTGACTACGAAATAAATGCTCACAAATACTTTCAGCTCCACAATGCTGAGGTAACGCTTTACAACCACGTGATGACATTGCAGGCAGGGAAATTCCCAGCACCAAAGGTGTGTACAGTTAAATTTATTTTTTTTATCAATTCTGATAATTAAAAACTATATTTTATTTCTGCTAAGGGTTGATAGCTCGTAGTATGATTTATCGATAATGATTCAATGCACAAAGTTTTAATCCAATCCACATCTCTCTGCAGCTTTTGCATTTCAGATATACTACACAAGAAAATTTTCTGAATCAAATCCAGTGAAAGGCTATATTATAATGGAGCATATGGAAGATGCCAAGATTGTTAATATCTATGAAAATGTTCCACCAAAAGCTATGAATAAGGCAAACAAAACTTTGCTCACTTGAGTCACGCTAAAAATTTTTTTTCTAGATACTACATGCTCTGGCGTTCTTGGAAGCTTGTTTTTTAAATGTGAACACAAAGAAAACTGACCATTTCACACAAAACATGTTTTCAGAGCTTTATGGGCCACTCCTTGACGAAAAGGTGAGCTGAATATGTCCATAATATGGAGCTCGTATGTGTTCGTATTTAAGTTTACACTAATCATCACAATATGTAAAATACAGAGTCATTTCTTTTAGTAAAACGCTATAAGTGAAGGCTACTGCATGACGAAGGCGCAGATGCAATATTAGTTACGCGGGCACAAACGCGGCGCGCACGTATCCTCACCGTTATAAATCTTGCGCCTAGCAAAGCCGCGTTCGCGCCCAAAGATATTGCGCCTTCGTCATGCAGCAGCGTATAAATACTTTGATGGCATTTAAACAGTTGTCACCAGATTTTCCACGTACTCTCATGTAACCTGGACATGTTGTATCGAATATGTGTACGGTCTGCCGCAATCCCAAGCAGGCAAAAACTGGCATGGCGGGAGTCCGCATCGCTAGGGTTTCCCGGTCACGCCGACGGGCTGCTTTTCTGCTCTCTCTCTCTCTCTCTCAATCCTTTTGCTCTTTCCGAAATGTGCAGAGCAGACCGCGGGCGCTGCGAGTGCGCAATTTTCCGCCGACGGTTCGGCCTGATCCCGATTGGAGCAGACTGTAGTGCTGTTCTGCCGACCAGGTTGTTATGGTGGACCTTCATGTTGTTACGGTGGATCTGTCACTTCCGTGCGGACTACTGACTTCATGGTGGACTAGAGGTTAGTGGATCTATTGGATTGTTTTTCGGCACGTTACGCCTCGACGCGTCTCAAACGGCGGAAGTGTGATGAGGTCTTTGGTCGTGTGGGCTAACAGATTGATTTGACCGCAATCCTCTTCCAGACCTCCGAAGAAGAAGATATTTGTCGAAACGTAAGATTAATAAAGGTAGACATAACAACCTGGTTGGCAGAACAGCACCACACATAGTTGTCACCAGAGACAATACGACTTTTTTCTTTCGTGATTTTGATGGGATAGCAAAAAATGAGAGTTCCAGATATGTATGTTGGCAAACAAGAACTACACCTTAGTAAGCCGTTTTTTGAAAACAATAATGCCAAAATTTTGAAAACAGTTCGAAATTCGAAAAACATGATGCTATTGATGTTTTCTTTACAATGACAGAACACTTGACAGGACAAATAAGCGTATCGATAGAACGAAGCAACTGCAAAATAACCTCCAAAACTTCTCTTAGACTTGACTGAATAAAGTTTAGAGCCCATCGGTTCATGGCACAATATCGGATTGTTGTGCTTTTTCTCTAGAACCTCTCACTTGGTCTTGCGCAACAGTCTTGCCAATCATCGTAGTTTTTTATAAGTTTTGAAAAAATGAAAAAAATAAAGTCTCCAATTTCAATTCCCTTCAGCAGTGTTGAGCAGGGGGTTGAGTGGCGCAGTGGTATGAGGCCCCGCTATGACCAAATTGGAACCAGGAGCCTCTTCGTCTATGAAGTGGAGTGGCGTTTGGCGCATGTCCGCAGAGGATATTGCACATACAGTTAGATATCGTGCATCCCCCTTCCCATATGAATCATCAACGTGGCTGCTTTAAGTTTTAACACGTTAACTCCAGTAAATTCAAGGCGCTTATTTGAAATTCACATGTTAAAGTGATCGGAAGACAACCACTTGATGGTTATGGGATTAACTCTGAGTGTTGCAGCATGTGTACTAGATTCAAAATTCAATCTGACTTTGGATCGTTTTTTGGGTTTATTCACGAATCACATCAACTAATGATAAATTAACACTTTGCAATATACGATGCAGCTCCCTTCCCAATTTTAGCAGCTTTGATCGCAAGGTCCATCAAAACGTGTACCCTCTAAGGTTATCTCAAGGTAATTCCGTTATGTCAAACTTTGTAAAACGTGCTTGTTCGAAACTGAAAGAAAGCAATCAGATTTCAACCAGAATATTGATCGGTTGAATATGGTTGCACTGCATCAAGCTGGCGCATCATAGTGCACCAAAAAGAGGAATAGCAAACTTTCCAATAAAACAACATAAACAACAATACAAGCTGAGAAATATGGCAACTATACATCCATACAAACTCTCACAGTATCCAAGCGGTAAATGATACACTTGCACTGAGAAATTCGATTAAAGCATGCCTTGCAATCGTACTAACCTGCAACCTTGGACTTATATCGGCTTCATGCTTTTGCATAGTTATCCACCGTCCTGTTGATAATACGGAAAAACGGTAGCGAAGACAGATGTCTGAAAATTGTGTTGAGGATGTGGAATGAGTGGAAAATTTTGCCGCTCGTATTGAATATCTATGCTGAATTTTGCTATCTTAACTACCAGGGTGTGGTGACCGTTTAACCTTCTTATCTACTTTTGAACACACTTTCGAAGGGTGTGTACACAGCGATATGGATGTGTCGCAAAAAACGAAGGCTGCCCCTATTTTGTGTTTTTTCTAGATTTTACTGATCATGTCCAAAGTTTCCAGGTTATTTCCAGCTGAGATCTAATCTTTGAAACATTTATTTTTGACTTTGCCTCTTAATAAACGAAATAGTTTTTTTACTCTTCACCTTGATGAAGCTGCTTTGCGTCTAGTAATGTTTCAGTCTTTTCATCCTGTCCAGTAACATCTGATGTGGCATTATCTTCACGACAACAAAAACTCATTTTTGATTCGAAGGAATGAATTAGTTATTGCTGTCCGGCAGTAAGCATAATTGGTCAAAGCTTTACGGTTCAGGCCATTGAATCTTCAATCCAGTCATTGCGAAAATTTGGGGGTGAATACTTGGCAGAAAAGATAGACAGCCTGAATGATGTAGTAAGGAAATTCCTGGATGCAACCACCGCGGACGGGTTGTCGGAGGAGCTTGGTAGGTGTGAATCAAAGTATAACATGAGGACGAGTTTGATCATTCAATAGGGATGCAGCGAGTTGTTTGTCATGGCGATTTATGGTCAGGAAATATTTTATGGAGACGAAGTGATGACGATGGTTTGGACTTAGCAGCTTTGCTTGATTTTCAGGTACTTAATCAAAATCATCGTTCTAACCTTGAAATTCAATATAAATGAAACTATATTTGTAACATTTATCCTGGAAGGATACAAAAATATTTTTAAAAGTTGTAAAAGAAGATCCACATCATTGAAAACATTCCCTTCAGACTGTGAGTATGGGCTGCGCAGCTTCTGACTTGGTTCGCGTTTTTTGTGCGTGTCTCAGTGGGCGAGATAGGCAGGAGCACTGGGAAGAGCTGCTGGAACAGTTCTATGGCTATTTGAAGGAGGAAATCTCGGATCAGCTATTGCCGTATAGTCTTGAGCAAGTTTGTCATGACGTTTGTTGCGTTTTCCTACAAGTCTGTGTATTTTTTCAGCTTAAAGAATCTTACCTCCGCTTCTTTCCTTTTGGTGCATTTTTGATTGCATCACTTATCGGAGGACTTTTCGATATTCTATGTAAAAATCCAGATGAAGAGCAGAAAAAGAAGGCAAAGTTCAAACAGCGCCAGTTTATGTACAACATTATTCTCCAATTCAGAGCATGCAAACAGCAAGAGAAAAGCTTGAGTGCCTCCTGGATGACATTGTTTTCTTCTACCATCGAAATCAGAAGTCACTGGATCAAGAACACCCAAAAAATATTCATAACCATTCAGCTCGAGGGACGTTAGATTTGTGTTTCAATGGACACTTTGTACAGCGTGTGCAAAAAGCTGCTTCCTTTTAGTGTATGGGTAGATTTTGGGACCAGCTTTTATGGAAAGTTCTCCGCTCACTTGATAAAGTTGGTCAAAATTTGTGTCACAAGCAAACCAAGTTCCCATGTCTTAGAGCATGAATTTGCCATATCTATCTATACATAAATAAAACTCAATCTCTGTAAATTTGTTCGTATGTAAGTATGTGGCTTATAGAGTCCTTTATTTGTGAATTAATGAGGCTGGAATTTGCTTCCCTACAAATGAGGCCAGGCGCAGAAGATAGGCTACTTTTTGCGGCAAGTCACGGAGTCCTTCTATCGATTTATTGATTTGTTTACTTTTATAGAGGAAAGTGAAAGTTTAGCAGATCATTTGCTTAGTAGAGTGTAGGGGAGCGGTCCATCTTATTCTAAGTTTTTGCAAGCAAAGAGCTGTGACAGGAAGCGCACTTCGAGTAGGTTTCCGGATGTGTTCGAAAATAATGTTTGCATTCATTTTGAGGTGTATGTGTCTTTGTGTCTTTCCGCAAGCTCATGGACGCGGTGTATTCTTGGAAGTCGCTCTTGCAAACGTTTAAGGCGCAAATGATTTGGTTGAAATGTTACGAACAGCAACAACCTTTTGATGATAGTATTTTGGATGTAGCAGCAAAATGTATTGTCTTGAGCTGATGAGATGCGGAAAATGCTTGGAACTAGAATAGAAATGAAGAAATTGCAAAAACCCACTTTTACGCTTGTGGTGTTGGTAGACGACAAAAATTATATTTGAGTTCCATGAAATGAGCGGCGTTGCGGTGCGGAATTGTTAGAGCAACCGGACAGAGGAAAGCATGATAAAAATGATCATCAATACTGTGATAGGTGATGTGCTGGCCAATTGCTTTCATTCCGCAAAGCTTACAAGTACATTCCTGGTTGACGAACAATCCCCAGGTAAGCATCTATACATGAGCCGGGGTGAGGGGGGGGGCAGCGAAGCAGTAATTATGCTGACCACCAATGCAGCTTACCTTAGTGAGCATCTATAACATGTACTCGGGAGTGAAGGGTGAGAGTAGCAGTGCAGTAATTGTGCTGACCACCAATCAGCACACCTTATCGTCAGTGATCATTCCCGGGCTGGACCGGGCAGATCAGCTAGTATTCAATAATACACAATTTTGAAAAAGTTATAAGTCACTTTCTGAGTTCAAGTGAAAGAGTTCAAGTAATATGCTTTCCAGTGTTGAAAGGAAAGGATTTGGGCGGCTGCGTTGCTCACTCTCCCACCGCCAAGGCGATAGGCTTTGTCTTTGCAATTTATGGAAATAACAGCACATAAATATGCCCATGAAAGCGTTACAGGGCTTATCAGTGCGGTGTCTGGTGCACCAGCATCTCTATTCCGCGTGGGACTCTGCACCTCTCCCGCAAACATACTCTCTAGCCGTATTCAGTCGATTGAGGCTCCGCCTTTCCCACGCTCGCGGTGGAAAGCGATTAAAGAGCATGTTCGCGAGAGAGGTGCAGAGTCCATGCGAAGCGGTCGCGCGGGAGCGGACGCCCTGGTCCCTCGACACTGCAGTCGATAGGCCCTGTACGCAGCGTATGACGATCAAACTCAACGGAACTCAAAGTCTGCGAGTTCTTCATTTAAATCTTGCCAATGTTACACTGAAAATAACTATTTGTATGAAGTTGCAGTCCCCCTACTGAAATTTGCAAACTCCCTTACTGCGCACAATAACAAATACTGTTTTCTAGTTACTAGTGCTAAACTTGTATCGAAATGTGAAGCTTAGTTTCTAATTCTAGTTGTACAAGGACTGGGCATGAGTGGCACCCGAACATTCAAACAAATTCCATTTCAAAAAAAAAATCTCATAAAGTCTTCATCGATGATTTGAGTGAAGCTAGAACCTCTACGGACTAATAATTCCTTGACGTTTAGAAAAAAATCATGAATGAAGGAAAAAGACAAGCGCCCAAAAAAACAGACAATGTGTGTCTGTGTTGATAGCTTTACTATGCTTACATTTCTTAAAAAGAAGACTTTAAACATAGGATAATGAAAGGGTAAAAGATTCGGAGTTCTCAACTCCAAATCCTTTACCCTTTGATTATCCTATGTTTGTCTTTCTTTGGTGCCCCTAACGTAAGCCCACTTTTTAACCGTTGATAGCTCTCTTTCCACAAAGTCTTTTGCTCAGATTCAAGCAGTGTTCGATAGAGCAGGATCTAACTTAGCTTTACGGCAAACAACAGATTATACTTGGGAAATGAAAAAAACAAAAACAAAAAAAAACAGAAACATACAATGTGTGTCTGTGTTGATAGCTTTACTATGCTTACATTTCTTAAAAAGAAGACTCTAAACATAGGATAATCAAAGGGTAAAAGATTCGGAGTTCTCAACTCCAAATCCTTTACCCTTTGATTATCCTATGTTTGTCTTTCTTTGGTGCCCCTAACGTAAGCCCACTTTTCAACCGTTGATAGCTCTCTTTCCACAAAGTCTTTTGCTCAGATTCAAGCAGTGTTCGATAGAGCAGGATCTAACTAAGCTTTACAGCAAACAACAGATTATACTTGGGGAAATTCGAAATTTTTTTTTTGAATATTCGAATATCGAATATATTCGATAATTGAAAATTTCGAATATTCGACTATCGAATACTATTCGAAAAGCGGAAATTTCGAATATTCGACCATCGAATATTATTCGAAAATGAAAATTCCGAATCGAATAATATTCGAATCAGGGTAAAGCGGGGGGTATGCGGCACGTCGCAGGGGGAGGGGGGTCGTTAGGGGGGGGGGAGGTAGGTAGGGGTGGGGTCGTATCGACCCAAGGTCAAAAGCACTTGTACAAGCTGTGTGACTAAATTGACTTGATGAAAGCGCTGTTGAAATCCTGCAAAATTCAAGTTCAACGACACAAACTTGCAGATACCGTATGCCTACCGTAACCTACCGTACCTCTGACCAAGCATAATTGTCGTAATCCGCGTGTCGAATAACCCCTATGCGCTAAGTTTCAGCGAACTCTGAGGTCTCCGAGCAGTAAACAACCTTGTATAAAGCAGTAATTTAAAACATGATTAACTTCATCTTTACGGTGAGTAAGCTACCTCTTCTTGCACTCAATACAAAGCACTACTCCTTCTTTGTCCACCTCAGGAATCCCGCTTTAGAAGACCTCCAAACTATTGAATTAGAAGCCAACCAAAATCTCGTTTTTCCCATTTTTCGCTTTTGATCGCTGTGCTTTCACCAAATATTACTCAGAGCTAAGAAAACGAATCAGGCTCAAATCACTCCTGTGAAAACTAGGTGATCTAGGCTATCGATCCATGTAAATACTGTCCGCTAAGAATGTTTTTTTGATATAGTTAATGGCCTGCAGCACCCCCCCCCCCCCTCAAAACCTGCGGCTGCCGCAGGTTTTGAGGGGGGGGGGGGTGCCGGAACCACCTTCCAAAACACTGCAAAATATTAGCTTTCACTTCTCTAGATCTGAACTTTCCGAAGTAAACTTGAACCTACCTCAAGAAAGATGTGATCTTGGCAAATGCATTGCGCACAATGATGGTTTCCTCAACAGTCTTACGCTCAAATTTAAGCTTAGAGAATACAATTATTCGAAAATCGCGTTTTCGTATGTCGAATTTAGAGCCTCGTAAACTTCCCCACAAAGCCTCTTCTGCAATTTCGGTGGGATCCCAGAAACTAGAAGACTTCCTCTGCAGATCCATATATAGCAACCCTTATCAGTCCCCTGGCACCCTCTTAAAATACGGTATCAACATCAAAGGCGCAAAAAGGAAAACACTTTCCGAATGACCTAATACAACGCGCTTATCAAATCCTTTCACATTTTTAATGGATCTTATTGTGTTAGATTTGGTGCTTTGAGCTCTAACCACGAAATAGCTTTGATATTCATTTGAGCAGCTGAAGCAGACGCAGGCACCATATTCAGTGCAGTGGGAGTCGTTCGGCGAAGCGAACATAATATCTGCAACGAGCGTCATACAAGCGCTCACGGGGGAATTTCGACAAGATATGCGATCTTTACATTTTGGGCAAAATTCATGAGGACGTGTTTTCGTAGGCTCGTAACTCGGCGAATTTCACAGACTGAGCCTGAGTAAGTCACCATTCGATAGCACAGTTCCTAGTAACTTTGACTGAGAAAAGCAAGCAGGCAAGGTTTCTGACAGATACGCGAGAAGTGCGGCCAAATTTACGTACTTTCGTGATGAAGTTACAGTCACCTCATCATATCTCTCCAAAAAGACCCTATAATCCTCAAAGACCACGATTTTCGTAAAGAGCGTGTTCGAAAACCTCTATAAGCGAAGTTTCCTTACAATTCAGGAGCATCAACATTTTGACCAAAATCCATCGGCGAGCTTCTGGAGCGTAAAACGAGAAAAAATGGAATAACCCGAACATATCGGAAAACTTGCTCACAGAGGTTATCCGACCTGCTGATTTCGAAACTCACATCTGCTTAGCAAGATAGCTTCGTATCCTGCGGCTATGGCGAGTAGAATTTGGGACGACAAGATTTTTCCACAATTCACCAGCCGTTCTGTTTACTTTGAAAAGAAACTTGCGGCTACTATTTAGCACATCATAAACTACAGAAAAAGTGCTATCGAAAGATCCTTGCTGGAATTTACTCGGGACAATGCTCGCTGCTTAACACCTTTGCGAAAAGACGTCCTCAGAAAGATTTAAGAATACTGAAATCGAAATATCAAGGACATGCTGTACATAGGAAGATTCGCCTTGATGAGCTGGGCAAGGCTCTGCTCTCGGATTCAAAATATACTCATTCCGAAGGAAGTTATGGCGAGTAGAATTTGAAAACGCGTAATTTTTCCAAAATTCACCAACGCTTCTATCTCCTTTGGAAAGAAGTCTGAGCCTATTTTCTAGCGCACAATATTCTACAAAACCAGTATAATCGAATAGTACTCTGTAAAGTCTTCTATGTTGGGTAAGCTTTGCTTCACATATTCGCAGGACCTCCGCAGAACAAATTGAAAAAACTGGAAACGGAATATTGAAGACATCGTACCCCTTCCAATATATCATAAGATTCTCCGCGCCGAGCTGAATCGAATGGTGGCTTTGGAATCAGATTTCGTCCACTCTGAAGCGAGATATGGCCACGCGACGCTGATGTATGAACATGTCCATACATGTATGGACATGTCCGTACATTCGCGTCTATTTTTCAAAAAATGTGAGCGGTATTGTATTGAGCTAGCAATGCAATCGCTGCGAAACTTTTGTGGTGAATTTCTAGCAGAAAAAACAGACAAGCTGGATAAGATAGTGAAGGAAGTTGTAGATGTGGCTTTCGCAGACAAGCTTCAGAAGAACTCGGTAAGTGTTGAAAGCCTTTTTTGGAAAGCTATCCAGTATGTTATGGGAATGCAAAGAGTTGTTTGCCATGGAGATTTGTGGTCATCAAATATTCTTTGGCGACAAAATGGTGATGACATTCCGAAATTGGCTGCTTTGCTCGACTTTCAGGTATATAGGTTTCAGGATGCTTGGTTCAAAGATGAAAAAGATAGGAAAAAACTTACAACTCCCAAATTGATCATGAAATCACTGACAAACCAAAACTATATTTTCGCTTTAGTGTGTCCACGTGGGCTGCCCAGCTTCCGATCTAGCCCGTGTTTTCTGCTCGTGCCTTAGCGGAAAAGACAGGGGAGGAGCTGCTGGAACAGTTTTACGATTACTTGAAAGAGGAAATTAACTATCAGCAAATGCCGTATAGCCTGGAACAAGTTAGTAATAATGTTTGCTGTGCTAGCAAAACAACATGTAGTTACTCTAATTATCTCATCTTCTAAGCTCAAAGAATCTTATCGTCGCTCTTCCCTTTCGCTAGCTTCTTAATCACTTCGGTTCTCGGTCCGTTCATTCCTGCTCTATGCAAAAATCCAGACGAAGTGCAAAGAAAAAAGGCACGTTTTTGGAGACACCAGTCGAAGTTGTATCGCTATATTTCAGAGCATGGATGCAGCAACAGAGGAACTTGAATACCTCTTGGATGACATTGTTTATTTCCATTATCAGAATTATAATAGAACAAGACGCTTAAAAGGCATGACGCTTCACGGGATTCACACTCAATTTTGATGAATCTCATTATGCATCGAAATTGTTCTCATTCAGTATTTCTATTATACTTATGGTTAATGATTCATTATATGTATTCATTCAAAGTGTAGGTGACTTGGATGACAACGAATGACGAACTTAGAATAGTTTCTCATGTGGGGGCTGTAGGACAGGATGACATTACATGTTTTGTGCTAGTCAAAGCACAGAAAACAAGTTGCTGATCCTATATGTAAAACGTGGATAAAAGTCGTAATACAGTTGTTCACATGCAAAAGGAAACTGCCTCAACATGCAAAAGAACTACAGGGATTTCCAAACCGCTCAAGAATCTACCGCACAGATTTGCGCTGATAACACGAAGGAATAGCCGTGGCGGAAAAAACTCTAGAACATTTCGACTAGGTTGCGCACCTTGAATTTAGAGCAAACTAGAGCTTTCTTCTAATACAGAGACCTGACCATGAGATCCTGACGAGAGGTCCACTTTAGATCATTCATGTTGGGCTGGTGCAAAAAAAGTAATGAGCCTTCTTTCGGCTAGCCACAATGTGAGTATGCAAAAATGAGAACACTAGTTGAAGAGCAAACGTTCACTACAAAATGACTGGATACCAGATACTGCATGAAAGGCCGGACATACTTCACGCGATTTCAGTCGCGACGCGATTTGCCAATTCGCTAGAAGTCTTCAGATATAACATTAGCAAACTGCACATGCATAGTGTGTATAATTTACGTGGACTGTTGAAATCCCCTATTTTGTGAACATCTAAAACGTGCTACAGTGAGTTATGGACAGTTAGAGTATGGTCAAATCGCGTCGCGACTGAAATCGCGTGAAGTATGCCCGGCCCTTAAGTTGTCATCCGCATGCATAAATATTGAGTGCCCCCATAAGTTTTATTTCAACCCAGATATTCTGTAGCACTGGTATTGCTCATTTTGGAGTAGAGAACATATTCTCAAAATGACAATTACCTTCTGAACGAAGAAAACGAATCCTAGCAAAGACTGCAAAATGTTTCTATGTTGTTTCTTTCTATGTTTCATCAAACCACTCTTCTTCTTTTCTTGCGTTGCTTTTTCGAGTTTTTGGAACACCACATAGATGAATATCACATAGATGAATAAACAGACGAATGTAATCATCCTCAACTGTGTTTTGTAGGTAGAGCTATTTGAAAATGAAGATCGTGCAAGTAGTTGCAAAGAAAGCCGCGGTTTTAGAAGCAAATTTTGATAGAATGTGGAGTTTTCAAAGCTAAAGCAAGAGCTAAGGACGCTACCTGGACTCTCCAGCAGGAATAGCCGTCAGTTTTTAGATACTGCATTGATGTAGTATATAACTTCTTGCCATTTGGACGAAAGTTTGGTATTCCTCGTTCATCTTATTCCCATTTTCTTTCTGGTCTCGATCTAAGAGCGAAAAGCCTGCTCTTCCAAGTATGCCACTAGATTGGCTAAAACAGACCCAGCAAACATCTGTTACAAGATATTGTCGAAAACGATAACGCGTTTCGTACGCATTTCTAGCAAGAAGATAAAGCCAGAGGTGGATATCTCATTGTCAGAAAAAAAGTCAAGAGGACTTATTAAAATGTTGTCAGTTAGAGATGAAGGCAATTCCTTGTAATATGGTCCGCACAAGTTATGAAAGTCTTTTTGCGTCATACTCTTTGCGTCTTTGTACTAAACATCCTGTGAAGCTCACGGTAGTCAACATGGAATGGATGACCTTATTTTCAGTAAATGTCAGTAGGAAAGCTCGTAAATTTTCGAGATTACTTATCTGTCATTTAGTATGTTGTTCAGAAAAGAATAATTCTATGTAGTTTTTTGGATTACTTTCTGATAACATAAATTACACGAAGATTTGTCCGTAAACAGTTGACACAAAAACAGGTTTGAATTGTGCGTCTTCCTGCTGATCACCTTGAATCAAAAACTAAAACCACTAGCCAGAAAGTCAGACAAAGAAGAGCCTCTAGATTGCACCTATGAATGGCTGTTACATTATCTGATATGTGAAGTTCTATCTGAAATTTGTATACGTGCCAACTATGAGCTCCAACTGTCAATCCATATATGAGAAGCATGTGGAAGTAGCACGTTAAGTGAATGAGCCGGCTTTTCAGGGCATAATGGGAGTTCTCAAAAACGCATGTGCAATAAATAAGTTTCAGCCACGATGGCCTTTTTTTGGGGGGGGGGGGGGGGCGCCCATTACTTGGGAGACGGTCAAGAGGCGCAATTTTTCTGGCTGTCACCAACTTAAAACTTCAGTTTCGTGCCATGGGAGTGTTCAAAAAGTGCCGGACAAAGTCCATCGGCTCACTAGCAGTTTGAAGTAACCATTTGATAAGTTCGACGACTTTTGCTAGAAAACTGACCGAAATAATCACAAAAATGTTATGAACTGCATTTTCGTGGATTTTTGACCTTTAACAATTTTGTTTTGAATCGATTTCAAGATGATAAGATCGAAAAATTCCTGCGATTCTCTATAAACTTCTTTTGAGATTTCAAATAATTCTGGAACTTCATAAAACACTAAATATGTGCTATATGCTGCCCATCTGGCAATAGGAATCGCGCCTCTTGACATACACCCCCATTACTTGTGGGTGTCACTTATAAATTGCCGCGACGCGGCGTTACAGTAACCGGGCGAGAGGCGGCAGGGCCAGAGGAAATGTCCCAGAGGAAATGTTCAGGGGTCACGTTGTAGTGAACAAAAAGTAAATATTTTGTGACCAGACGTAGTAATTTCCATATTTCCATTCACCTTCATTATTCCAAGATTTAGGGCCAGACTTTCATTTAACAATAAAATTTGATATGATAATGTAAAAACTTTTACAAAAAATGGAGTAGTATGCCTTGCAAGTATGCTACCCGAGCTTTTCCTCACAAATGATCACTGCCAGCCTGTCGCACGCGGCATACGCGTAATTGGCAGTCACAAGTAATGGGATACACCCCCTTTTTGCCTTCCAAGGAGCTTTTATGTATAGACCAGAAAGACCTGCTTATTGAGGAAATTCTCAAAAATGAAATGTTAGTTCGATACGAATAGATGTTGCCACCGCACTACATATGCAATCCTTTTGAACTCTCAGGTGAGGAAGGTCATTGAAATGATTAGGGGAAAACTTGTTTTGAACTCTGTATTTACGATCTCTGATGTTATAAGTGCAAGAACGATAACCAGCAATATCATCACTACTACCAAAAACAGATTATCACTTTTATGCAGTACAAAAATACTAGACTAGTATATATTGAAAAGAGTAATACACCGTGATAATCCACATAAGGCAATCTCAACATCGTACAAACGCATTCGTACTGGTTATGGTAGTAAAGACGATTGAACTTTGCGGTTATCGAATGCACTCTATAGTTTGCGCAGAGCAAGGTTATAAAGTAGCCAGAAGAAAGAGTTCTTAAACTAGCAACTTCAGGACATTTTCAGTTATTTTTCATTTTCAGGACCTAACCCTGCCACCACCTTCTTTTTCCCTTCTTGAAATTATTGATATTTCAGTCACCTACTTTGCACGGTCTTAACCTCAAGCTAGAGATGAATCTCTGTACTATTTTCAGTTAATTTTCATTTTCAGGACTTAGCCCTGATATCACCTACTCCTTCTCTTCTTGATATTATTGATATTTCAGTCATTTGCTTTGCTTAGTCCTAACCTCAAGCTAGAGATGAATCTCTGTACGGTGGGTAAAGGGCTGTTTGGCACGCATGTTACCTGGGAAGATATTGAGGAAGACATGCGCAGGGAACTGCACACCGATGCTCACTTTGGCCCCAATAAGAAGGCAGAAAACATCGGAGATGGCAAAGTAGGCTAACTCTATACTATTCATCACCTTTGTAAATATATGTGGCTTTACATAGGGCTTCATGTCCAGAGTTGTGCTTGTGAACCCAGATTGGCAATGTAAGGACAAGGATCTGCCCGAAAGATTCATTGTAAAAGTGCGTGAACCCAAATCTTCGCAATTTACATAACGACAACTTGTAAAAGATTTCTTTTAGATAGTAACACAATTGGCTGTGTGCAAAACCTTCGAAGAAGTGGCGGATAAAAACAACACAGAAAACATCTTCAACGATGAAAAAGTTAGGAGCGCTTTTGAAAAGCAACAAAAGGCTGTAAGTTTGGAGCTTTAAACTTCATAATTTACTTATAAAAGCATCTCGATATTATTATACATAAGCAAAATTTATCCCGCATTTTGCAGAAGTTGCCCTTTCGGAAATCATTGTTATCTTTTTTTCTTGCTATTTGCATCGTTTCAACAGTCGCAGAAGCCACTGACCTATTCCTGTTTTGAAAAATTTTTTATTCTTCATAAATCAATCTGATGCTTGTTTTGCAAAGTCCAAATTTAAACACTTTCATTTAACTTGATGTTTTCTACTAAATATACATATGATCGGCATGCTTATAAAGACTTAATGCACCCAGATGAGTATCAAAAATGGACGGATGCTGGAGATGAGAAGGAATTTTTGCAAACTTGTAATTCAAAGTTTCGTCTTTTTCAAACGTAATGATGTAAAGCTGCGTAAAGCTTCTTCTTCTTCAGAAACAATCTACTATTAAGTGCAATCGTATAGACTATCTTCCAAAGTCCTCTTGCGATAAAGAAAATAGTTTTTCAAACGTTTTTTTTATCCCCTCATTTTTACAAGTTTTTTCTCCACTCGTGATAAACATGTGCTCTCTAATGATAAAAGCCTGCAAGCGAATATGATCGTTTTCATGACGCTGTTCAACTTCTACGATCATGCTATTCAGAATAATGCTATTGACACAAAAAGCCTCTAGAATGCTTATGTTTGAGCGTCGAGAACCAAATTGCAGGCTTCACATTTTATCAAAATTTTTTCATAACTTTGAAAACCAAAAGCAAAATTTCAAGATTTTGGTTTGATGGCCCAGCAATATGCATTTGACTTGAGCAAATCAATGGTAAAAGCGGCAAAGAAGAAATTTAACATTTGCTTTGAAAACGAAAGTACTTGCAAGAACACGTAGCAATTAGACCAACCGAAAACAATATCGCATGTAATTAAGCTTTTCTTACATATTCGGTTATCATAAATGGAATTCAACTCTTCCTCAAGCAGCGCCTTGGCAGAATGACCCTGTCATACCGTAGAAAACGTAGCCCTAACCCTCCAATTAATTGAAGCGCTCTGTCCTGAAAACGCGCAGAAATCCACCTTTAATGCCCAACGGAAGAGGCGAAGCTAGTTCATGTTGGTTTTGAAGAGAGTTTTGAGGCTTAGGCATGAATTGTTGGGCGAGGCTGGGTTCTACGTCTTTGTCTATTATTGTTCTACGTATTTGTCTACTAGATTATACCACCAAAATCTGACAGAGGTCCATTTTGCCAAGCCACTGTCTTTGACCAATGAATAACAGAAGCTTGTAACGCGGAGTAGTATAGCGAAACAAAGAAAGCTGAAGAGGATAAATATCTATTGAACTCTATTGTTCACTGCTTGTGGTAGTGAGCCTTCCAACAGCTCAGGCAGTTCGGAGCTCGGAAGGTCGCTTTGACTGGCTTCGATCTCTTTTCCCATTTGCTGTCACGTTATAGCACCGAATAACCGGATAAAAAGTGAAGCTCAACCAACCCAATGCACTGCAGCGGAACTCATAAAGAAGCTTCAAATTTCAATTCCTCAATTGAAGAATCGTTCCTGAGAAGTGATTAAGACTTATCCCTTGTTCTGGCTTGCACCTAGAGGAGAGAGAGAGAGATTGCCATGCGCAAAACCGCACGACTTTATATAAAGAATTGGCACATAATTTCAGATTCACAATGCTGAGGCAACGCTTTACGCTTACCTGAAAACACTTCCTGTAGGAAAATTTCCAGCCCCAAAGGTAAGTTGAGAAATCTTGCATTGAGCCCTTATCACTGACTTTTTTTTCACGAAAACGGCTTGAAGCGAGGAATGTCAAGTGCTTACCTGAAGCACTGAGATTTTCCGGCATGTTTTTGCTAAAATGCGCAGTGAGAAAAAGATTTTTTTGCGGATTGGCATTTTTGTTTTTGCATTCTCGAAAAAGAATGAAGCCAGCTACAATAATGTACGAACTGCTGTTACGCAAGAGATTTTTATGGGTTTTTGGGGGCTAGCTAGCGACTCTCCGAAATTTTCGGGCATGTAACAGAAATCATCCGCCAATCTAAAGGCTATTGCATGACGAAGGCGCACAAGCGGTATCACTTGAGCGGGCGCGAACGCGACGCGCGCGTATCCTCACCATTGCTGATTCCGCGCCTTATGCGCTTTGCGGCTAATAAAGCCGCGTTCGCGCCCGAAGATATTGCGCCATCGTCATGCAGCAGCCTATAATATGTTAACAGCAATGGCAAGCCAGGGGGAAGGAGGAAAGCGCTGCAAAATCTATGAAGGTGGATACGACATTCATACATGATTTCGGTGGAGGGGACATAATTGCAGCGGCAATTTCAAATATATTTTGCAAACCTGATATGAGTTTTCAAACAAACAAGATTGATTCGATAAAAAGCATGACATTTCATTTATCAGAATAATATTGCTCGTATAAAAACTCATACCAAAACAGAATATGTTTGACATTGTTGCTGCCGTTATGTCTTCTTCTTCAAAATATCTGATTTGCGAATTTGCTAAAATCTAATATTTTGTCTACCTGTTCCTTCCCAAAAGGACTTTGACGATGTGTGACCGTCATCAGTAACATGTGCATATATACACTGATCCTTGAATATCTGTTGCATATCTTATGCCGTTGTGTATTTTCAGATTTATTATACGAGGAAATTTTCTGAATCCAATCCACTAAAAGGATATATCATAATGGAGTTCATGGAAAACTGCAAGACTTTGCACATTTACGAAAATATTTCACTACATGCTATGGACGAGGTACATTCGTCTAGAAGTACCTACGTGTATTGTAGGGACACAACATTTGTTCTCTTAGATATTACGTGCTTTGGCAATCTTGGAAGCTACGCTATTGAAATCAGACGCAAAGATCAATAGTTTTACGAAGCACATTTTGGCAGACTTGTACGGACCATTTATCAACGAAAAGGTGAGCTAAACATGAATTACATTATTCGCTTCACACCAGCATATGTTACACAATGGTAATTATTAGGCAAAAGTGTCAGAGATTGTGATTTTTGAAGCATTTTGTTTGTGATTTTACAATATAAGAGCAAGAGAAATTTCGACTATTTTGCACCTCCTGAAACATCCTTCTAACAGGCCCTAAAAGTAGACTAACCGCGTTGATCCGATCCCCTAATGTTGCCTACAAAAGGAGATAACGAATTAGACCCTCTTTGCGCTCCGCCCCTTTTTTTGCGATCCACCCACTTACGGATTGCCCCGAAACGTGTTCTGAAATGACAAGCAACGTCGGGACGGCATAGTTTGTGATGTGGCACTGTTGCACACGACGGGGTTTCCTGTAGCATACGACGTGGCTAGCGCCGGGGCACTCGTCCACATCTGCCAAATTAGGGCTTCAGAAAAGGGCAATTTTGAAGTCTTCTGGTGATTCGAACATCATATCCCGAATCAGCGCCATGGAAAAGCCCGATAACAATAAAAACATGGAAGGCGAAATTTCGTGTGTACGCTGCATTTAATGCACAACTATGAGTTCAAAACTTCAGCTTCAAATTTGAGCATCAAATTTGCACAGGACACAAAACTAGCGATCCAGTATCTACGAGATTTTGCTGGGGGTCATTTGTCAGAGAAGGTAGACAAGCTGGACGAAATAGTAACGGAAATTCTTAACTTGGCTTCTGCGGACAATCTGTCGGAAGAGCTAGGTAGGCAAATGCAAGATTTTTCATTACTCACAGAATTCTTAAGTATTTTACAGGGATGCAGCGGGTTGTTTGCCACGGAGATTTATGGTCAGCTAATATCCTGTGGCAGAACGATGGCGATGATGTGAAAATGACAGCTTTGATCGACTTTCAGGTACTTGATTTGAGTAGCGCAATCTCGCAGTGTCCAAAACAGATATTGTCGACTAATTTTGTTACCAAATATATCACAAAAATGCGATAATGTCTAAAAGTTTGCTTTTTCCTTATAGACTGTCAATCTGGGCTGTCCAGCTACTGATTTGGTCCGCGTTTTTTCTTCGTGCCTAAGTGGAAAGGATAGGCAAGAGCACTGGGAGGAGCTGCTGGAACATTTTTACGACTACTTGAAGAACGAAATTGTGGATCAGCAAATGCCATATAGCCTAGAACAAGTCAGTCATAATGTTTACTATGCTTGAAAAGGATAACTACACATAGGGTTCAAAACCATCATTACAGCTCAAAGAATCTTATCGCCGCTTCTTTCCTCTTGGCGCATTCTTCATTGCGTCAATGATTAGTTCATTTTTCAACATTGTGTGCAAAAATGCAGACGAGGAGCAGAGAATGAAGGTATGTTTCGAAATGGTCTATGCAGCATGACGTTAACATTACATACCTACTTTCAGAGCATGGATACAGCAAAAGAAAAGCTTGAAGCCCTCCTAGATGACATTATCTTCTTCCACCAACGCAATCTGAAGCTCAACGGAACAAAGACACTTGATAAATGTTTGTGACTTTCAGTTTAACAATCGTTAAAAATCTCTCTTCAATGAAAATTTGATATGCGATAGACCTCTTACTGTATGTAGCCTTTACAAAATTTATACACTTCGGCGTTTTGTGCAGATTATCATCTTTGTAAATACTTGTAAATGAATTCGAATAATGAAATGAAAGCTTTTGTGGAACTCTGCCTTATGCCATAAATAAACATAGCAGTTTTCTTACAAACAAGCAAGCTATGTAAGAAGATGGGCTTAAAGCATTACCAGTAGATTGTAAGTTTTATAACTAATACTATGGGACAGAACTTCTTTTTGTTTTTATTTTTACCATTTTTGTTTTGTATTGTTTCATTTTGTTCCCATTTTTTACATTTAAAGTCAAAACTTTGTGCGCAAAAATTTGGACTTACTAACCGAGCGAATACATATGATTATGAATGATGATCATTGTTCAGCCTGCCAACACTCTTCTACCTAACTTAGACCTTGATGAACCACGAACTCGTCCAGTCATTTTCCTCAGTGAACGCCGCCACGGTGTCATCACACAAAATTGTCTGTTTAGGGCGATTGTCTTACCATCATTCCTTAGTTTTGGCTTCAAACCCTCAATATTAGCCCTGCAAAAAACCCACCCGGCATGCAATGCCTCAATTCGAATCGCGAGGCAGAAGCCGAGTTTTGAGACTCGAAAGTGTGATGCTCTGCGATAAGGTGGACTTGAATGAAAAACGTGGTGATTACATAGAATCACTCCGTGCCAAACAAATTATCTACTAAGAGATCTTAATGTACGTCAGAGTCTTAGAACAAGTTGATAAGATTCCTAAAAACTCAGAAAAGCAAATGTTTTGCTTTGGATCAAAGCATTTTGGGTTATCCGAGATGATACCAGATATCTTAAGGTTTCTCACTATAACTTCACAAAAAAATTCTATGCGAAAAGTTACAGCTCTAAAACTGCTTTGCATGTGTATTTACTGGCAGAAATCAAAATTATGTTTTGTCCAGTGACTGCTAAGAAATTAGAGTGCGCTTATCAAATACTGTTGTTCTTTTTGTGCTCGTAAGATAAGACTACTTACTCTTTCTCATCTTGATGTATGAGTCTATCTCGTTTTGTCAAGGATGGTGCACTGTGGTTCATGTAACTATCCATCTCTCATTTTCGAAAATCCTTCCCAACTCATGAAGGGTTGATATATTGCTTGGGAGACCTGACAAGAGATTCTTTGCTACAAAAATATATTTTGGGTGGTACAAGTGATGAATGAGAAACAGCTTCTATATTCGCCCTTTGATTTTACTGCTTGCCGCAGCAAGCGCAGACTGAGCAATCAATATCGAACAATGTGTCCTATAACAAAAATTGATAGCGAACTTATGCAAATACACTCCGGTCAAAGCAAGGTAAATTCTCAAAAAACTAGTCATTGCTATTCTTCAGTGTGTAGCATAACAAACACCTTGCGTGTCTTCAGGATAGAGGGTTCCTGCGATTCACCCATTCGTATTTGAACTTTGCAGTTTGATATTCTCTGATGAAATGAATTGCTTAATCTCATGATTCCACTGGATACATTGAGCGTCTTACAGTCTCCCTCCTTGCCTACACTCTTCCGCCAGTAGAAATTGTGAGGCTTACTTCCTGTCGATTTATTTTACAGTTTGGATCAATAATTTCCTGAATGATCTGTGTACCTAGCAGAATTATTTTCACTCAAAAGTGAAGTAACTAAGCTGTCTCTCAGGAATATGGTAAGCCTCAGTCAAGCTGTGACGACAGTGACATATACTGCGAAAGAGAATTGCTTTCTCCTTGTCAAAAGGAGCCTAACAACAAATGTATGTAAGCAATTTTTCGCGACACCCCTCTCCCCGAAATCAAGTGGAAATTTTGAAACTAAACCATATGAACACCAAAATTGTTGTCATTTGTAAATTATGAAATGTAAATTACTGAGAACCGAGAAGGAAATAGGTGAGGGGGTAATTATAGTTACGGAATAGGGCGAATAGGTAAAAATGAAATTGAATCAATCAACTGAAGTTCAATTTTGTGGAAATTTTTATTAACAAATTCTTTGCGTTTTTGAATGATTGATTTGAATACTTATATGATAAGCATTTATTGGCACTATAACGTTTGATCATGGCATTAGAAGTAATGTTAAGAATGTATCGTAATGACAAAAGTTGATCTATAAATAAAAATCTTTCAACAAAGTTCTCGAATTCGTACAGATCCTATGAATGTTTGAAATTTTAGCTATATGGTCAATTTGAAAGTTCTGAAATACTCGTAACTGCTTCCTAGGTGAACTTACAGAAAGTACGTCCAAATAGAAAAATTATCGACTTTCTAGTCACATTTTGTTGCTCTTGACGACAAAAGACCCCAGAAATAAAAATTCGAATATAAAATCGCTCAAATTCGTGATTTTCGAGAATAAACTCAAAAATCTGGAACCCAGCAGCAAAATCTGAGAGCATGTTTCTTAGAAATTTTGTGAATTGCCTTTTCTAAAAGTGCCAAATTTTTGCTGATTGAGTTTTTCTAGGAAAAGTTGTGATTTTCGTACAAAATGCAAAAAACTTCAAAATGAGTTTTTTTTTTGCGTTTGTCTGCATTTCCACGAAAATCATAAATTTTTATAGAGAAGCTCGATTAGCGCAAACCTGGCACTGCTGCAAAACAGCTCAAACTTCCTTCTAAGAAACATGCTCCCAAACTTTTTCTGATGCGTTTCAGATTTATTAAGGTGAACGGTAAAGAATAGGACCTCTAGAGAATAACTTAGATCTAGAGAAAGAGAAATGATTTCACTTCCAATCCTGACAGGTATTAGAATATCTTAGGGATTCGCGCCACGCGAGCGGTCCTCCTACAAGGGCTAGCGTACAAGCGGTCGGCATAAGCCTAAGGCCCTGGGCAGAGCTCATGCGATTTCGTCGCGTCGCGTCCTATCATTTTGGACAAGTGTTCCACGCCACGCTGTTTAGTGTGTGGGTACCGACGCGTTTGTGATGGCTGCGCGGCGCGACGGATCGCGCCACACTTTTCGGCGTTCATAGCTCACCTGGCGATATCGTCGCGATTTTGCCGAATCGGCGCGATGTCGCGTCGCTCGTTTGCGGCGAGCGACGAGGCGACCGTCGCGCCGATCCTGAACTGCTTTTTCGATGTTTGTGTAGTAAGTTGCTGTTTTTTGTATGTTATGAGTGTTTTTGCATGAAATGTTGCAAATGCCAAGTTATGCCTATCCTTGCTTTGTTTCATGAGGGCAGTTAGTCTCATTTTGCATTTTTTCCTGTCTTTCAATATACATTTCCCTACATCTCATATCCTAGGCTGCCAAAGAAATCTGTAACAAGCCCTACCCTGTTCGATTGCGCGTCGAATACTTGAAAAATGTGCTCACAGTCTATCGTCTGCGTCCCAGATAGGTTCCCATAGGTACCACGTCATCTCGCTGCCTTTCGCACTTTTGAACTTGTTGAAGGCAGTGTCCGGGCAAAAACTCGATCTTGAGATTTTGTGCTTACCCGGGCCTATTCGCTACCCTGAATCCGAAAGTGCACATTGGAGAGCGCGAAAACGGCGAAAAAGGGGTCCAACGCAGGAGGGAAATCACAAGTGGGCGGGGTCTTCCCCACTGCGGATTCACGCTCCAAGCTTCCGGAGCGATCTTCTCGGTCCCGATTTCAAGTCATGCATTTGCACCTGGCCGGTGGAGATCCCAGGGCGCTAGAGGAATTGGGAAGATCGCTCCAGAAGCTGGGACTGCGAAATTCACAGTGGGGAGAACCCCGCCCACTTTCGATTTCCCTCCTACGTTAGAGCCTTTTTTTTTGACGTTTTTGCGCTTTCCAATGTGGATTTTCGGAATCAGCATAGTGAACAGGCCCAGGTAAACTCAAAATCTCAAAATCGACTTTTTGCCCGGACACTGCCTTTAACTTCGGGCACTTCCGTTGAAACCTCAGGAGAAACGTGTCAAAAACAGCGAAAGGCAGCGTCGCACCACGTACGCACGCTGGTTCACATGGGAACCTCTCTGGGGCGCAAACGGTACCTAACTCCGAAATATGAGCTTTGCATGAGATAATAACAGTATTTTCGTCTATCATGTGCAGCACATGGGGGACGCTTCTAGAGCTGAAACATCGTTTTGCCGCGTAACGGTTTCTTCGGAGTGTCCGCAGCCACTGGGCCTTGCTGGTACTTCTTCCCTATTGTAATTAATGCTTCCCAATATTTGATTATGAGCCTTTTACCAGAACCAAGATGTCATTGACTTCTCCTTTTATCGTTGATCATTTGGGTGCATAATGTTGTGATTGTTATCAAGTCGGATTCTAATGTGATAAACTTCCAAACCTTCTTTGTCTGCTGCTACACCTTTTTTGAATAACAATGATGTAGTAAAGTTAACGAGAGCATTGGTTTTCACTAATGAATTAGAGTACGTGCAATGTGTCAAGTGTTCTGCAATTGCATGAATTCGCGTCGGAGGTATGCACGCCTCCGGCGACTGAGCGACTTAGTCGTCGCGTCCCAGTCGCCACTTTCGTGCAAGTCGTCGCGACTGGAGATCGCGCGACTTCGTCGCGTGAGCTCTGCCCAGGGCCTAAAGCTTCCGTGCGTGCGGCAAACAGCTGAAGCGCCGTCCTAGCTGCAGGCAATGTTATCGTGCAAACGGCCTGCAATACAAGTGCTCGAGCGAGCGGCCAGCAATGCGTCCGTCTTATCGGTCGGCAATACCTGCTGCAGTGCAAGCGGCCGACAGTGACCTCTATCTTCTGCTCACTATTTTCACACATTGTGAGCTTAAACGGTACCTGCGTGAGATACGACGCAGCGCTTAGGCTGGCTAAGTGTTGACACATCTTGTTATCAACATTTTCCTTCCCCAGCAAGGGTGGAATGAACCTGTGTGAATCCACAGTTATCAAGAGTGATGGTGCGGCTTCACATTGGAAAGTTTGGCCACTGCTGCAGGCATCGTCCGATGTTCTCAGAATGTAAAAAGGACTAACATATCCAAGAAAGATGGTCAGGATATCCCAAATAGGTCTATCCAATAGCAAGCGAGCGGTCGACCTTTCCCGCGCAAGCGGCGAGCTTAGGAACCGTGTGGCCGCCCCACGTTAACCGTGCCAGCGGCCCTTGACGACCGTACAATCGCACACACCGACGAACGATTGTAGGGTCATCGCTGGCCGCCCGCGTGGCGCGAATCCCTGAGATAGTATTTTCTTTTAGACTTTACCTGTTTAAGGTCATTTACATACTTGATTATTGTTATACTTGCGGGAATGTAAAGTTGATCACTTCGAATAAACTTATAAAATAAAATTGAAAAGAACATGTGGGACCTTCCAAAAAGTAACCTGCTGCAGTGGGTGAAGGTACAGTGACCACACCCAATATTGCCTTAACCCTTAAAGTCATAAGATATGGTCATTAGCATTTTCGAGAACGAAGATATGTGTTATTTACTGCCTTGCAAGCGAACGCAAATTGGCTACCACTTGATAGAGCTCTTTACGCTCCATCCATCATTTGCAGCTTACCGCATTTCCGGAAACTATAGATTTAAACATAATTGTTCGGTTTTCATTGCCCCAAAAATCGCATTTTTCAGAGTTTTTTCTTTTTATCTGGTAAACAGAAATCCCACACATTTAATAACTCATTTGAAAGAGCACGGAGAGCTTTTTTGAATGGTATGTCAATTGGTTTATGAGTTTACGGTGTAGCCGCGCAAGTTTGAGATGCGTTCAAAAAACCTATTCGAGTTGTTCACCGCGATTACCAGGATAATAGGCGAGAGCCGCTTATGTAAGCGACCTTCAGGTTGCAGCGTGCTTGTTGTTGATCGAAACAAAAAATTAAGCTCTCCCATTTTTTGCCGTTCAACCTAAATAGCAATTTTCACATTTAGAGCATGTGATCTAGCGTGAGTAAATTTGTTGACCTTGAACTTGAACTTGGCCGTATTATTACATTGTGTGATAATAATTCAATCATACACATTTTAAAGTCAAAGAAGTCACATTCAAAGATGTTATGGCTGATGCTTTCTAGTTCAAGAATATTTTATGTTTGATTGCTCTATTGTGTTTTATCATTATCCATGTACTGGAAGAGATAAAAGTTTTTGAAGATGAAAGCATAAAAGTTTATTTTCCTCTTCAATGGCTGTGATGTTTTGCGAAACATATAAAGAGTTTTTCACCGGACGAGTGGCTACAAATACGTTCCTTATTCGTAAAAATTCTTGTCACCCTCCAAGTCTTCAAAATATCTCTCAAAAGCGAGACTATTCAAAACGGTGCCGTTCGTGCACTTCCGCTCAAGACCAAACACACCATTTTACTATTATTGAAATGCGTTTGCGTTCAAGATCATCTGTAGTTATTTTTTTAGCAAAATCCAAGACCGCTCGTCGAAATCACAAAAGCTTTTAAAGTGCTAAAAATGAATTTACACACTCCCGGCAATGGTCTCTTCGAAACACATGTCACGTGGAAGGATATCGAGCAAGATATGCAACGAGAACTGCACACCAAAGCCTCTTTTGGACCCGGAAAAAGTGCGAAGAATTTGGCAGAAGGCATAGTAAGTTCAGTTTTCTTTGGATAATCGTTTAGCATTTGATATAGCTCGAAACTGCAGGGCTACCTGTCCAAAATGGTTCTTATAGACCCTGACTGGCAAAATGCGGACAAGGAGCTTCCGAGACGATTTGTTGTCAAGGTTGAGAATGCGAAAAGTTTCTTAAAGCTACGCGTGTTTTATTAAGATACTTACCCAAATGATGATGGCCAATTTGACAGCAGAAATGGGTGCAACAGGAGATTTCGAAAGCGGTTATAGTGAATCCTATAAAAAGGTGATAGCATAGATTGGTCATGACCACGATTCTCCCTGAAAATTTACAACTTCTAGGCTCACAATGTTGAGGTCCTAGTTTACAATTATTTGTTGAAACATGCACATGCGAGAGTTCTTCTACCAAAGGTGAGGAATCTAGACAACAGTATTTATCTTCTGTTCGTGTTTTTTTAGCGAACAGCATCTGTCTAGATCTATTACATGAGATCATTCACGGAGTGCAATCCCCTCAAAGGTTATATAATCATGGAATATTTGGAGAATGTCAAAGTGGACTTCTGCAACAACTTTTCAATCAAATCTGTTAAGGAGGTAATTTCGTGACCAAACGAAGCAAGCGATGAGAAAGGCTCTCGTTGAGGTTTTCCCAACCGTAGCAGTCATGGAAGCAATGTCTCTAAAATTTATTTTGGAGGAACGAAATCAATTTACAACGACCTTCTATCAGCAATTTTATGCAAAAATGTGTGAAGATAACGTAAGTCTAAACACTTCACCAAAGCACCTCTAAAGTGCTGTATCTCCTTCTTTCACCCTCAACTAATCGACAATTAAAGTATTATTTGAAGTAGATCTCTCAAGGTAATCTTCTACGTATATAAACATGCAGATGTTTCTTGAACTGCTATCGAAATAGAAGTTTTAAGGTCTTTGTTAAATCAATCGAAATGCTTCGAAAGCTCGGCGATGGTAGGTTCAACAAGAAAGTTGATAAATTGGAAGTGTGTGCGAAGTATGTATTGGATCCCGTCAAAGTCGACCGTTTGGCAGATGATCTAGGTATAGTCTAACCCCACTACAAACAATTAACTTCTAACAAGGGAAGGACAATTGATGAACGTAGACTTCCGTAAATGAACACTATCAATGGATGCGTCTTGAAACGCTGATTTCAGGGCTGCTTTTGCTATCAGCTAAGCGAATTTATGAAGTAATAAAGTGAAACAAATAAAGTAAATCAAATAAACTTAGAATGAGAATGTTCCTAAAGTGTATTCTATGCCACAAGTAAAGGACTAATCAATATTACTCCTTTCGTTGTTTGAGATATGAACGTTTCGCCACAAGAAATTGCCTTTTTGATTGATGGCTCTCTTTTCAACAGCAAGAATTGTGCGGAAAAAAAGCTCAAAACTCGTTTCAGAGAACGCTGAGATATCGAAAGCAGATTTGTAATCAGCATCTTCCGCATCCAGTGATATGTGTTTCATTACGAATGGCCAAGGTCACCAAGTATCCTACCCTTGTAACTTTAAGCAAACCCATTTCTCTGATTTTGACTGCTAATACATAAATACGTATAAACATGCTTGCATTAGATTAGGCACAAAAGTGCCGATTAAGCTACAAAATGGAAGATACAAAGCAACTGCTCCTTATATGGGCCTACGGATCCACTTTGAGCAAATTAAGCATTCATCGATAACTTGTTCGCACTTTGTTTTGATACATATTTCGCTACTTCAAAAAAAAATGTCTTCCTTCTTCAAAATATTTCCTTTTGCAGGAATGCAGCGGGTCCTTTGCCATGGTGATCTCTGGACAGCAAATGTGTTGTGGGTAAATGGCAACAACGACTTGAAAGCGAGTGCCGTCATAGATTTCCAGGTGTTGTACAGTACAGTCTTTTCAATTAAACCCTAATTTCTGACCCTTCAATGAGAATTCCCATATCTAAAGGCAGCTGCGTAAAGAAGGCGTAATTTCTTTGCCGAACGCGTCGGTTGGCCGCAGAGCGCATGAGGCGCAGGATTTACGAAGATAAGTGAAGATACGCGTGCGCAGCGCCCGCTCAACTACTGTAATACTGTTTCTGCGCTTTCGTCATGCAGCAGCCTTTATCATCGGCTCCCAGATTCGTGTGGAGGTGGAGTCTTGCCAACTCACCGCGTGGCGGTTTTTGCTAGCGAGAGATTACGAAAAGCAATGCTATGACGTGGAGGTTTAGCAAGTTTACATGTGTTATCAGGCAAAGTCTGCAATACACCTCCACACGAATCTGGGAGCCGATCATACATATACAGTGACCGCCAAAAAGTTGCGCACACGTCGCCTTCCTTTATTCATCGCTCATTTTCAGATTGCAAACAACGATGAAAAATGATCGAGTTGCATGAAATGATAGAGCTTTTTAAGAGCTACAACCTACACATTACGCTTTTTCAAAAACATAGGTTCTGAAAAAATCAAAAACCTTTCTTCAATAAAAGCGTGTCCCAGGGCACGTCACAATGCCGCGGACAATGATTCTTCGAACGCAAAAACTTCATTTTAGGTCTTTTTTTGTTGGCAAAAACAGAAGTTTCTTCAGACAATTAAGCATACTATATTATAGAACTCACCGAGGACAATAGTCGGGTAATGGTTATTTCCAAACAAACCCAAGCTTGAATTTTATTTTGCTTTTTTTCAAAAAATAACTTCTAATTACCTTTTTCAAGCCAAATTTCTTCACATGGAAACCTACTCAAGACCCTAACAAAGCTGTCTAGATAAAATGGATGCTCTTTGCCATCCTCCATGCATCGAACTTGTGTCGGTGAGTTTCTTTGCTGAGAATGGCTCTTAACAAGCGTACACACAACCTCACCGGCGCCTAACCATTGATTTGCACCGCTTTGCAAGCTTGTAGCTCGGCAATCATTCTAAGAGTCTGCAAGTAGGCTAATTTGACAGAGCGTGACTTCTTCGACACGATGGTTGCAAATGAATTAAGTTTGAGAAGCCCGAAGATTTTACGAGTGGGGTGAAAAAGGGCAGCCTCTTAGGTGATTGGAATGAAGACTCTTATCGACACCAGAACGTTCTTAAAGCTTCGGAATGGTTTTACAAGAAAACCGACAGTTTTAAATTTTCAGGATGAAACTGGTAGGGAAGGGAGCTCTGTTCAACTTTAGATGAAAAATCCTTACTCTACCACTGAAGCTGCGCTTTTTTACCTCATCCGTCAAATCTCCGAGGTTTCTTAAACTCAACTCATATGATGTCTCATGCGAGGAAATTACGCTTTTTCGTATGAGGCTACACGCAGACTCGTACATTGACTGCCGGCCGAGCTACAAGCCTGCAAAGCGGTGCAGTTGGTGATGAGGTGCAGGTGGGGGCCATGTGCATACTGTTATGAGCCATTTTCAGCAACGAAACTCACTAACACAGTCCGATGCATAGAGGATGGCAAAAAGCATTTATTTTATCAGAGTAGCTTTGTTGGAATGTCTTGAATGGGTTTCCATGTGAAGAACCGTGGCTTGAAAAAAGGTAATTAGAAGTTATTTTTTGCAAAAAAGCAAGATGAAGTAAAAGCTTGAGTTTTATCGGAAGTAATCACTACCCGATTAATGTCTTCAATGAGCTCCACAATATAGTATGCTTACTGTTCGGAAAACTTCTGTTTTTGCTCCAAACAAAGACCGAAAGGAAAATTTTCGCGTTCGAAGAATTATTGTCCGCGACATTGTGACGCGGCTATTTTTGGAAAAAGATTTTTGAATTATTTAGAGTACACATTTTCCAGAAGGCGCAATGTACAGGTTATAGCTCTTGAAGAGCTCTACACTCATGCAGTAAAATTATTTCATCGTCTATTTTTTCCCTCCGAAAATGAGCGATGAACAAAGGGGGCTTGTCTATAAATTCATGGCGGTTACTGTATGTGTTGCAAGGTGCCAGCGCTTGTTACCTTAATTTTTCCTTTTTCAAAACTCTAAAACTCCCACAGTGAATAGCTTGTTGCCATTGAGTGTGTAGATGGCCAAACCACGCCTGGCTTTTGAGGCTTTATTTTGACCTAAAATCCGGTTCCTTTTAATAGCAACTTCAGTGTGCACATATGGGCTGTGCGGCTGTTGACATTGCATCAATGTTCCTCTCATGTCTAAGCGGCAAAGACAGACAAGAACACTGGACGGATCTGCTCGAACACTTCTACTCCACCTTACAAGAAGAAGTGGGAACCATGAAAATGCCTTACACTTTCGAGCAGGTTACAGACTTCCTTGAATTTCTCGACTGTTTTTGCAGCATCTACTTCAGCTCAGAGAGTCGTACTGCCAATGTCTGCCATTCATTGGGTTCACATTCTTGCCTTTCATGATCCCTTTTCTTGATAAGATGTTGAAAGAGGTCAATGTGGCGCAAAACGAAGAAGTAAACTTTACCTTGAAGATTGAATGAGAGTTTTTAGTTCGTTTCCAGAAGTTGGAATCCCTGATGGAAAAAATGGAGTATATTCTGGACGACATTGTATTTTTCTACGAGCTCAACAAGGAGAAGAACTTGCAAGCTATTACAGCGTCAGCAGTGCCGTATAGCTCAACTAAGCTTCGGAAATAGTTTAGAGGCAAAAAATTATGGTTAACACTCACAGAAAGTGTTATCTGAGCATCTTGAAAGTTTTGTCACTTAGTTCAGGGTATTGTTGAAATTGTTACTCTGGTGTTTATTTGTTGCTATTCGTTGAGTCATAATCTTTCGATAAATTGATTATCGTGCTGACAAATTATTGAAAGTAATATCTTATGACTTGCAGTAAGCTGTGCCTACGTTCCGGAATAAATGTGTAGATATCATTTTGTCATCACCTTTGGAAAGCGGATTGTTAAAAGCGTGAACAAAAGAGGTTAGACCCCATCCTGGAAGACAGCAAAGCAATTAAAAAGCGAGTCACAGGTTTTATCCACAAAATTCCGAAATTCGACGTTCCATAGCTTGAGCTGATTGTCACATGGAATCTATTAGGTTGTTGCATAAGTTCTGTCCGATTTGAATTTTTTGAGTTCAAAATGTCATAACTTCTTTCAGAATCAACTTTCTTCCAAGATCTTAGTTGCTATGTGTTAAGCAGTTCCTTGGCTATGAAACGCATATTGAAACCTTCGCAAATCCTTGTTAAGGAAGAAGCAAGAATGCAAAAACTTCACAGCGTTTTTCTTTGAATCTGTCTTCTTTGACATGGTAACGCTCCCTTATAAGAATTGATAGTCATCTTTTCTAACAATGGATAGATAGAGAAATTTTCGTAGATTATTATGTAACATAAAAGAGCCCATAGGGCCTGCACTGCCGAGAGATTTATTTGACCGAACAAAAAATTAGCCACTGACCTCGCTTCAGCACAGGTGTGCATGCCTATTTATGAATTATGAACATTTTACAACTGACGTGAGCGCCGAAAAGGAACTGATGGATGGGCCCTGTTAGCTCTTGCTTTGCCCTAGCACCTCCAACTTTGAGCTTATCGATTACTTTTATTCGCAGAAAGTTATTGCTTGTAAAACATCTATACAAAAAATTAATGTTCGACGATAAATTTTACCAGCAAGACGTTTTCTTCATGGAACCGAACTTCTGCATATACTAGCATTCTATACCCTTATTCCGCAGCCAATGAAAGAACTTGACTTGAAGGGCGCATTGTGGAGATTTCCTTGCAAGAACATATTTCTAGAGTGAGAACGTACCTCGGCCACTTAGAGATTTTAGGCCTGAAATCTCCGCACACTAAGAAATTTATTGAAATCTTAAATACATTAGAAAGCGCAAGGAAAGCACTTTTCAGTGATACCAACAGTATTGCATTAGAAATGAAATTCTCTTAGAACAGCTGCTTCAAACATGAGGCAAAAAAAAATCGGACAGAACTTATGCAACAACCTAATACAAGTTGAGCACAACATTTGAGGAGGTAAAGAAGAAAGTAATTTTCGCTACATTTTAGGGACCCGTCATACTTCGCCAAAAAAGCCCATAAAAGCCCGTAAGCGCCAAAAAAAGCCGAAACGCCCCTTTCGCGCGTAAGTTTTGGGGCTTTGGCATGTGCGTGGGTTTCGCAACCGAGTCTTTGCATGATTTTCTGTCGTCATCAAAGTAATGTCAGAATTCTATTAAAGTTTTAAGCCGGATGAGAAGGGGTTTAATGTCATTCAGGCGCTTTTTGGCTTTTAGGCACTTTGGGGCTTTTTTGGGGCGCTTTTACCTTTGGCCTTTTTGGGCGCTTATTTGGGCTTTTTTCGGCGAAGTATGAGGGTCCCTTTATCTCCTTGCTTGCAGTCTGATAAGGTTGAGAAATCACTCTCAAATAGACCTGGGCCGGTAGTAATCTACCCTGCCTGGTGGCATCAAAGATGCCGGCAAGTTGGCACACATCGCGGAAAGATGCCAACTCCGCCGGCAGCAGTGATTGTAGGTTTTAATAATCTTATGTAACCTTAGCACGCACTCATTTCGCACATTAAGTTTTGATGACGCAGACAGCCGCAAAATTGCTACCTCGCGCGCGGTCGAACCTATGCGTGTTAATTTGAAGTGCCACCACGTTAACCATTCGACCATTCGGTCAGCCATTGCCCTTTGCACCAGCAATAGGAGGAACGCGCTGGTAAATGGCTGCCTGTAAGAGGGATCGATACATTGCGTGAGAGACTTTGACCTGAAAGAACAGCTGATTGATATGAGCGAGAGAGCGGCGAAATCTGTGCAAACGAGATTTATAAGGGATTTCCAAAAAAGATGATGTTTCTTTATGATTCTAAGGCATTACTGGATTTTTTCACTGTAAGAAAATCGTCGTTCTAAAAAAGAAAAACTCGTATAATGAGAAAAATGATAGTTTTTTGATGAAAAGTAGAATTTTTGATGTTTTCGCCTGACGTAAATTGTGTGATATCGCCGCAATTCGCAAACTCGCAGACGCCGTCGGCAAAGGTGCCACCACTCGACGTGGTAGGGGCACGTCGAGGTGCCGGCAGATCGCTCTCTCAAAAGAGCACGCTATTTCCCGTGCTCTCTGACCTGCCGGCAGCTGCCATCTCGCGGATTCCGGCAACCTGCCGGCAGGTTGCCGGCAAATGACATCGCGAAGTTGCCGGCAGCTCCTCCTGGAACTCCAGATATTTTACTAAAGGAGGAGTTCTGGAGCCGCAGATTTTTATGAAGTTTTCTACAGAGTCAAGGCGGCAACTTTATCGAGAAAATTTTTTGGAAAAAGGCCTGGGACGGCCTAAATTTCGGTTCTTAGTTTCTGGCCACCTCGCGGAAAGGTGCCAGCAACCTGCCGACGAGAGCTGCCGCCAGGTCGGGGGGATTACTACCGGCCCTGAACCAATTCACTGACGAAAAGGGCAAATGGCACTTTCAATGTCAGTGCACTTCCTACTTGACAATTTAAGAGAAAGATGAAGCAGCTGTGTGATGCCACATCATCACTGAGTCTCAATCTCCAAGGACGCTACCTTTTATACTATGTGAAGAAGGAAGGAAGTGCATTCCTACCATGATATGGATCTACAAACTACCAACCACTGATTATGTCTTCTACAAACATCAACTACCATTCCAATATGACGACGTCGGACTTCGGCAAATGATTGCATATTTATTTCATTACTGCGGGTCACCAAATAGCAGACACTCTCTATTCAAGAACGACAGATTTTATGTTTTTATCAGGAAAAAGAATTTGGTAGATATTAATTAGGAGCACAAGAAATATAATTCCTTCTTGTTTATCTTCTACACTTCCGGTTTCGGGGCTTAGAACCATACCGGTAGTGCAACTTCCTTGGTGCCCCTCACCAGTTCCCAATGTTTTGTTAGTGCTTAATTCTTTTGAGTTCAAATTAAAAAAACTAACGCTTCTTTCAAAGTAGTCAGATTGTTGTGCTATGTAAGGAGGAGGGTTTATCATGGTATTATTGAGTCCATGTGTCCTGCAAGATAAGACCTATTTGATCGTAAGCAGTCGTCTGCTAAGCCTGTTTTCGTTCTGCATGAGTTATGACACGCATGAGTTCTTTCAGTCACAATGTTCTTCACTCCGCGTCGGTTGCTGAAAATGTTGGAGGAAAATTGACAGTAGTATTGACAGTAAATTGATAGTAAGGGACCGGCTGAGCCACTGCAAAAATTTTTTGCGAGAGCAATATTCTACTGTGTTTTGATTTGCGTCTAGAGATAAGACCAGCTTTGTTGTCAAACAAATTATGACGTAATGGCATTGCCTTTCACTCCTAGGTTTGAAGTAAAATATGCCCATTGACCAAGCAAAGTAACAATAGCCTCTTCTCCTTCCCAGCGGGATCGGCGCCAATTGAAGGTGATCTATATGAGCGAAAAATTGCCGCAACGGACTGTTTTTACTTGTAAACGATTTGAAGATTTTCGAAAATTTCGAAATTTCCAGAACGTAAATTTTTTGAAATAGTGGCTGCCTCCACCCCTTTCAAGGGCCTAATAGCCTTCTCTTTTACCACGATCAAAACATTCAGTGGCCGTATTCATCAACAAAACCCGTGGGTTCCGGAATTCACTGGGTTAGTGCTTTTGATGAATATCGATTCTACTCCAGGGAAGAATCGATATTCATTAAAAGCACTAACCCAGTGGGTTCCGGAACCCACGGGTTTCGTTGATGAATACGGCCACAGATCTCCTCATGGTGACCTCTCCGGTTCATATCATTGATGCACAAAAGAATGCCTTCCGCTCAGCAAGCGACGTTCACCCTAACAAGTTGCTTCCGTTACCATCCTGAAGATAAGCACGTTCTACGGGCAACTGCTTAGATCTACCCTATAATTGCTTCGGAAGCTTACTTGCTTACTTGTTTAAAACTATGATTAGGTCGGACCAAGGTTCGATTCCGCCCCTGGGCCAACCAAGCACTCTACCCTCCAGGAACGGTAAATTGGTAGCGAAGCAATCTGGAAGGATGTAAGCATTAACTTGGTAGCCAGCTGCCTTAGTCTAATGAGTTCAGTGCGTTTGGCGCATGACCGCAAAAGTTATTGAAGACGCCGAGCTCTCTACTATGCTCTGATTGCTTATTTGTGGTCCCATACTGATACGGTATTTGGAGATTTGCGATGTATTTAGTCTGTTTCATACATGAAGTCAAGCCACGTTCTCTTGAAAGAAGCTTTCAAAATATTGGCTAGTCATTCCGAAGCAATGACAGAAAAAAATAATTTCAATATAGCTAATCAAAAACCTAAGACCCGCGAAGTGCGATCACCAATATCTCTCGACCTTGTTTTCATCTTTAAAACGAAGGGTTTTAATGTCACACTTAACAAGACAATCTTTCTGTAATTCTCTTTCCAAGCTTTTGTATTGATACAGAATATTTGCCGCGAAAATTCTATAAGATTGCAAAAGTCACCTTGAGTTATCTCTGATTTGAAATCGAGATAACAATTCTCAACCTTTGAGGACGGATGATTTACTCCGGTAACGCAGTTATCACCTATTGACGTTCCCCCTCAACCGAAGGTAAATTGATGTGACAACTGTACCCAAAATGCGATTGCATCAACCTAAAACAGGTTATGCCTCAATATGTCGCTTTTTAGCTCTTTGTTGTGTATTTGCCTCATTGTCAGTTAGCAGTTTATATGTACTACATTTATTTGACTTCTACATAAAAACAAGAGTTTGTATCAAAATCCTCACTTAACCGCTACCACCCTGAAAAAATCTCATTCTATATCCAGCTATGAGTTGCCATGCTGAGCAATTATCAAAAAATCTTTTTCAAATGACCCAAAATCCGCTTAGAACCTCAAAGCTTCTTCCTCGCTGAATCTACTTCTGGAAATGTCAATTTGCCTTGTGAATTATACCTTACATCAAGACCCTTACGAAATGGTAATTAATCGGATGTGGTACTCAAAAACCCATTTGGAACTGCGGAGGTTTGATGAAAAAATTGAATGCCTTCAAAAAATTAGAAGACCTGAAATCTAAATAAGATAAAGTGAAAATCTATTGCTCCACCAAGTTACAAGTCCTTCTAGAGGAAAAAAAGAATGCCAGAATTGTTCCCTGACGATATTTTCATGAATGTGATACTGTACTTATATTCCTTTACAACTTTTCAGCCCGAATAGGATCATGAATCTATCTACGCCTGGTGATGGTCTCTTCGAAACACATGTCACTTGGGAGGAAATAGAAAAAGATATGCAACGAGAACTGAAGACGAAGGCCTTTTTCGGACCGAAGAAAACTGCGAAAAATTTGGCAGATGGCATCGTATATTTGACCTCCTTCTCACAGACCTAACATATTGAAAGATCGAATATTTTAGGGCTACATGTCCAGAATCGTACTTATAGAGCCCGATTGGCAAAATGCAGATAAGCAACTTCCGAGACGATTTGTTGTAAAAGTACAAGATCCAAAAAATCGAAATAACATCAATTTTTATAATATATCTTGATCCATTCAGATTTTGACGCAGCTGATTATGGTGAAGCTATCGACAGATATGGGTTGCGCTAGTGACTTCCCAGAAAATTTTGATGGTCCTTTGAAAAAGGTGCTTGTAGGAAAAAACGCATTCATTTTTATTTCGATCTCTGCTTTTAGGCACACAACACAGAGGTCTTTGTTTACGATTATCTTATCAAACATGCACATGGAAGAGTGCCCATACCAAAGGTCAGATGCTTGTTTAAAGTACACTTTTGACAATTTTTTACGGGGTAGATTTTGATATTTTCCAGATTTACTTCATGAGAAAATTCGATGAATCTAACACAATCAAAGGATACATCATCATGGAATATTTGGAGAGTGTTAGCATAGGCTTCCATAGCAATGTCACGATAAACTCTGTTAAGGAGGTAACAGCATTGGAAACACTTGGAGTAACCAGATAGTGATTATCGTTAAGGTTTTCTCAGCCATAGCATTCATGGAGGCAATGTCTCTCAGATTCACCTCAGAAGAAAGGAGTCAACTCACGACAACGTTCTATCAAAAGTTTTACGAGCAGATGTGTGACGATAATGTTAGTATTTAGTACACATATAAAACCTACCTACGTCAAAGAAGTTTGATTACAGCACAAATGAAGGGAATATCAAGTCATTAATTTTTTATTCTGTCCCATATTTCTAAAAGATATTAATGGCAGATGAATCTGTCAATTCGTTCAAAATCCTTGCAGAAAACCACTCTTTTTTAGAAGTATGAGATTAGTTTATTGCAACAATGTATTAGGTTGTCCCGAAAGTTTTGTCGTTTTTTTCATTGCTCACAAAACTCACAGAACACCAATCCCTAAACGATCAAAGTACCATTTGATTCAAATTTTTATCCTCTTTCTTATAGCTATATTTGCTCTCTAACCTACCCGGCTTTGCGGTGTTATCGCTAAGACTTTTCGAGCAGCTCAGCAGTAACGCAAAACCTTTCCTGAGTTTTGAAAATTTTTATCCTGACACTTCTAAAGAGCGCTGGCAAATCTTATGTAGAGCAAACCTTTGGCTACATTGTACCTACTTTAGATTATATAGAGCATCTTTATCAACTCCAGAATAATTATTTATCTAAAGAAACCGCGGCTTTTTGATTACGTTTAACACGTAGAAGTACCGAAAATTCCAAAAAGCTGATTTTTTGAAGCAAGTTAAACTTGAATAGGTTGCATAAATAATGTTTAATGACAAACAAGTTTCAATTCGCTAAAACTTTAGAAGTATTCATGTTTTTGCTGCAGTTGCGTGTTTCATGACTTTGCCAAAATCGAGACCTCCGAAGAAATAATTTTCAAAGTAAATGAGCAAATTAGGAAAACTCAAAACATATTACCATATGGCTCAAGAACTGCTCTATTTGGGCCATGCTTAACCCTTTCAGAAACTTTAAAATGAAATTTTTGAAAAAGTTAGTCGAACATTGAGAAGATAAAAATGACGGATGATTAGCAGTTATCAAAAAAGCATACAGGATTGTGGTTCGTAACTGTATCCATAAGATAGAAAACGGAAAGCTGCATCGAATGCATGTTGAAACTTATTCGGGTCTCCATTGTGCGTGGTCTTATAGTGGTCTGGAAAAACCGACAAAACTGCCTAATGTAATATTATCAAAGCAAGAAATGAGCAAATTTTAAAAAAATGACCCTTTGCAATAAAGATAACACTTACATATCATGATATTTTACTTTGATACAGATATTTTTTTAGGTCATGGCCAATTCGATAGAGCGGCTTCGAACGATCGGCAATGGTAAATTAAGCGAAAAAGTCGACAATTTAGAAAAAATCGCTAAAGGTATTATGGACCCCGTCAAAATCGACCGTTTAGCGAACGATTTAGGTAGGTGTGAAGCTGTACAAGCGTTTTCATATTATTATAGTAGACAAACTGAATGATTCAAGTTTTGAATGAAATTCAAGATATATGCCATCACCATCGCATAACGAAGTCTTATTACTTTTTTGAGTGTATTAGTTCGTAATGCACCTATTTTACTTTCTTTACTTTGTTCCAAATTCATTGCTTGCTCCAAATGAAGCCACAATCTTCTACGCCAAATTTTTTGGTTCAAGTGAAGCCATAATCAGCAAAGGGCTAAGTCATGGCATAATTGACTTTTTGACACTCAAAAAAGCAATGCTGAATGATTGCGGCTTGCTGCGTCCTTGTCATCTTTGGAAACTATTCCTAACAAGGGAAGCTTGTTTAGTCGAAGTCTTATCTGAATGAGATGTATGCCGTATTGAAGGGCATAAAACGCTGACTCCAAATCTGCATTCCTTATCTGCAGAGCGTTGATGCACGAGAAGTTATGAGCGTTTTTTGAAGCCAAAAATTGAACGTGCATTTTGGATAAAATAAGTTGCTAAAATCTTGCTAGCCCTCAAATAATGCAATCAAGTGTGATATATTTTTTACTTGAGAGTATCTTAAATAAAATGCTCTGATGACTATTATCGCTCCATTAAAGAGGTAGAAAAAGTATCACGGCTATTTTTGTCTCACTTGCACATTCAATTTTTTCCCAATAAGCGCTCATAACTCCTTGTCCGTAAACGCTTTGCAGATAAGGAAGGCAGATTTGGAATCAGCAACTTATGCTCTTTAATATGGTATACATTCCATCTGAAAAGGCCACTTCGACTAGACACGCATTCTTGTAAGATGCAAATCAATGCTTGTCATAATTTCATACACAAGCGATGCGAGACCTCGTCTTAAACTCGTAAACAGCTAGTAATTAGCTATAGCGTTCCAAAAAATGTGAAAACCCTTCAAGAAAAATTAATGTAAAAATGAGAAGAAGGATTGAGAGCATGCACTATTGAAAGAAAAAAGGATGAACTGAGTGAAAAGCAGCTATCTCAAGTGTCGTTGTAAGTGAAAAAAGAACAATTGAAAGTAGAACAACTTTTTATTTTGGAAGTGCTTATTTATAAATTACCGCAAATTTGAAGGAATGCGGCGCGTCCTTTGTCACGGTGACCTTTGGACTGCCAATGTGCTATGGGAGAAAAATGGAGACGAAGATCTCAGACCGGCAGCCATTATAGACTTTCAGGTAAAAATTATAACGAAGGGCTTCACTGTTTTCACACAATTATGTGGAATATTTTCGCTTTCTTCACTGGAGTAAAATTTACTTGCGAGAAAGACCTCAACTGTTTGATTTTAAATACAGTCTAGGCTAGATTTACTGTATAGCGTCTGTATTTGATGATAGCTTTGTATCCCAACAGACATCAGAGATTTGAATGATCGAGGAGATAAGGCGATGACAACGGCCTTCGCACTAGCACGTTTTGATCTAGAAAAATAAGGGAAAAGTTTTTACAGCGAATGCGTAGCGGGCGAATGTCTTACGATATACGAGTTTTCAACATTTTTACTTTGTCAAAAGGACTTTCACGAGGCTATTTAGTGCGCACACATGGGCTGTCCGGCTAGTGACGCAGTGATAATGATTCTCTCATGTCTCAATGGTGAAGAAAGACGGAAGCACTGGAAGGAACTACTCAAACACCTTCATGATAAAGTGAAAAAAGAAGTGGGAAGCACAGAAATGCCCTATACACTGCAGCAGGTCATGTACACTATTCAACTCGCTATGCAATTTTTTACGAACATTCCAGCTGGAAGAAGCATACTGCCAGACTTTGCCTTTTATGGGATTGACATTTGTACCGTTCGCAGTTCCTGTTCTAGACAAGATGTCTGAAGATGCTGTTAATGAGGAAAAGAGAGAAGTATAAATATTGAGGACATTTGATAAAAGTTTAGTAATCTATCAATTTTAAGATGTTCGAAGCTTTGATGGAGAAGACGGAGTATATCTTGGACGACATTGTATCTTTCCATGAACGCAATAATTCAATGAAAGAAGAGCAGAAATTTTAGACATACTATTGCGCATCTAATAGTATAAATTTGCATAACAGCATGAAGCTGTAAAAAATACAAACAACCCTTCTGGGGTGGTTCTTTTAGATTGCGTGGAGATGGCATAAGATTTTGCTGCAGTTTTTGCTTCAAGATCGTCATGCAAATTCTCACGGTTTTGTGTCAAGATTTGCTTTAGACGTAATTTGAAAATCTGAGTATAATCAACAAAAATTCATCGCTACATGACCCCATGCTTTACGGGGTCAAAAGTCCAAACCTTCGAACCAGGAGATTCATCTCGTCAACAAAACACTTCTCAGATTCGTCGCACTTTGGCGATCATACAACTTGAATGGAAACACGGTTGAGTGAAAAGAAGGTGAACAACTTGACATATATAGCTTTTTCATATAGCTTTCTGAGTCATGAAAAGCAAATATTCCTGTACGGAGTTCTACTGCTACTGAAACATGCTTACGAGGACTAAATTTGGATTGGCTGTAGCATTCAAAGCAAGCAGCTGAATCAAAATCAACTATAATATCTATAAGTTTGCCAAGACCCATCAAATTGCAGTACTTAATTATTTCTGAACAAAAACACATAGCAATCCTTGGAATTCTCAAAGATGGACAACGAAAGGCCTTTTAAAAATTCTGACCCGTTAATGCCACCAATGATGTTGGTCTCTTCCTTTGCTGCTGACAACTTGAAATCAACCTTTTACAAAAGCAATTATAAGATTTACATTGAACAAGAGATTGGAAAGTGAGTAAGTGGTCATGGAGCCCAATCCAATTAAAGCTCCATTTCAGCCTTACACTTCTCTGCCAAAGAGGCCTTGACCTTGTTCCGTGGAAGATCTAAAATCTGAAAAAGGTTGCGAATTAGGGTGCTATTTATCAATACCTGAGATTCAAAAATAAAGAGTCGAAACTGACCTGTGCAGGTGCAATCAGCATGACAATGACAATAAAAGATTCTTAAAGCCACCTCAGTGAAAAGGAAGCCCACTTTTGAAAGCCTTTTTTCAATCACTCGAAGGTTTCTAGGCTTGTTCTCTTAAAAATGTAGCTAGTCTACTTATAAAACTTCTCTTACTTTTAAATTCCCAGTTCCAATGCGCTCTCCTGGCTTAGTAAATGAGCGTTTTTTCCAGTCTTTGCTCCAAGGTCAATAGTTCTCTCCTTTAGCCAGGAAAAGCGACTTTAAAAATTGTGACAGAAATGGTCTTTCCAACTGCGTGCATTCATTTCATATGGTTACTATCGACAGCAGGGCCCGGCAGGAGGTGGCATTTCAGAATTTTGAGAACGATATCCCCTTTGAAGCCAAAATTTCGTACGACTTCCCCTTTGACCCTATTTTTGACCCCCGTAATTCCCTGACAAACAGATATACACAAATAATAAGATGGCCGGCCTCAGCGCTTATTATGTAGTAATACCTGGCTTTCCTGGTCCAGCCCGGGTCATCGTTTGAGGGGATGGCCAAAAACCACACTTTGTTTCTACCTTCCCGTCCTTTTGAGCCATATTCTCCACCCCTTTTCTGCAGCATCAATACTGCACTGCAGCCCTCCTGCACGAGCTTACCCCAAAAAGGCATTGGAGTGACTGCACCTTCTAATTTTAAAGTGGAAATGAACTTCACTGCATTGTTCACACCAAAATGTGCAAGCAGTTTGTTAGCGGCTGGTAAATGTTCACGCTCCTTGCAAGGTGCCAAAAATCATTAAATCGATAGAAGAATTCCACGAATTGCTTCGAAGGGTAGCTTAAAACCATCTACCGAGGCCGAAAACATATGTTTTCAAGGTTTCAGCTCAATGGGTTTATCCGCAAAGGTTTCTGTAAAAAAACATAGGGTCAAGATTTGCACAAACTTTGACGTTTATATATCTAAGATACTACTCATTTATTAGTCAGCTGCGAAACTTTACTATTTACAATAACCGATTGCGATTGCTTTCCCAGGCCGATCATAACGCTGTGAACCCTATTTGGAGCTGTATCGAAGCGGTGCCTTGGTGGTTTTGGAAGCGGATTTGAACATATAGTAATACTCTCGACCTAGTCCACATTTATGTAAAAGAATCCGGAAATTATGTGAAGGGAAGCAGGGAGCCACCCCAGGTTGCTCCCAGGTGGCGCGGGAGCCACCTAATTTCGAAAAACACTTACCATTTTTTAAATTCACCTAAGTTTCTCATAATTCTTCATACTTTTGTGCTCATGGTCCTCCAACTATACATCAAATTTGGTGCCATATCGTTACTTGTGCATTGAAAACGAGCCTATTTTGTTATTTTCCTCTTACAAGAACTGCGATTTGAATTCCCGCCTGCGGGCAGGCTAGCGATCGGAGCACAGAATCTTCACATTGCTGGAATCTAAGTTCATAGGACAGTAGCATCAACAGAAAATAATGAATAAAGAATGATATGTGCATTGTTTATCGGTAAACAAAGGGGAAGGGCCCTGACCGACAGAAGCAGTCAGATTGCAACTGCTTGGTTCTGAAAATCTGGCTATACTTCTATGAGGCTAATCCTTATGTTGGGTATCGAATCAGTTCAGCAATGTCGTCTATACTTTTCGAAGAATTATGGCGGTAACACTACTTTAGCTGAGTTCATTTGAGGAAGACTTTAGTCGAAATTAGTGCGAGTAAGCTCAGAGAATTAATGCATACTTTCAGTGCAAAGTTTTTTTTCTAAATCGCGCTTCAGTGGAAGCATTTTGAAATCTACCCATCCCGTTATAAAAGTAGAAAAGTCATTTGGCATCGGAACAAAAAAATTTTTTCTTTATCTTATCTGTCAGGTCTAAATGTTTTAGACAAAGGAGTGTAACATTCTAGTACAGCTTCTACAGCTTATGATGTTATGTAATCCTAAGTGGGATTGACGACAGAGTAGCTTGCCGAGATGAAAAAGAAGTGAAAATGCTATCCGTTGTTTTAGTTATTTGTTGTTGTTACTAACCATTACCAGGCATTCAATGACGACTAAACCACCGCAGTTAAGTCATCAGAAACGTTTTCTACATCTGGTCACCTCAACGGAGCCTAGTTTCCTAATCTGGCATCCCATTTTTCCGCCTAATAATTTGCATTCAAAATTGGCTGGTAGATGTCCTTTTTAACACTCCGACTTAATTGCTATTTTCTAACTAAGTTTTCATTGAGGTCAGGTTAGCTAGCCTTACCAGCGGGCTCGTTGACAACCAAAATACGCGGCACCTTGAATTTCAGAGTACATCAGCGTTCTTTTCATCTTCCCGAGTATGAGGACTGGCTGGTATGTGTTTGAGTTTTTTTATTTTCTATTCTGGTGCATCTCCAATGTATTTACAGAATATAAAAAATCTTGCTCTAGTGAGCGGCTTAAGTTCTAAACTGACTTCATGCAGCTTGAAGTAAAGCGAGTTTTTGAAATCAGCTTTGATCTGCGTAAATAGTGCATATTGTTCTGATTTGTTACGCAACGCTTACGAAATATTTCTTGGGTCGTAAATTTCTATTCGGAGACAGAAACAGTGACATTGGCAGTCTTATCGGAAGGTCCTGGTTACCTTATCAAAGGAATTTCAAGACAACTTAGCGAAAGCATTAGATTCCGCATAGATCAAAGCTTTTGAATAGAACTTATTCGTTTTCTTGCAATATAAACAGCTGTCTTCTGATAATCTTTCAGGTAATAGAAGAATTAATTTGCTTCACTTTGCATTATTGTTGCACTCCCTGGTTTTATTTTGATAGCTTTTGACCAAAGAGTGGAAAAGCAGACATTTCACAATTCTCGCCTCTTACCTTTCTATTCAATGTGCTAAGAAACACCTCCTGAAAATTTCCATTATTTCCATTATTGCTGATACACTTTTAGTGAGTTCTACCGCACATATTTAAAGCCTCTCAAATTATGAATTTGTACACTCCTGGAAATGGACTCTTTGAAACGCATGTGACATGGGAGGACATTGAGGAGGATATGCAGAGAGAGTTGCATACGAAAGCTTTCTTCGGTCCGAACAAAACCGCAGAAAATATTGCAGATGGCATCGTAAGCATGTTTTTCTTATTCAATTCTCGTTGCAATAGTTCATGCACATTGCAGGGCTTTATGTCTAGAATTGTCCTCATAAATCCTGATTGGCAAAATGCGGACAAGCAGCTTCCAGCAAAATTCATTGTGAAGGTTAAGCAAAAAGAAAATTTTTTATTCTATTACTCAAAGCATGTTAAGATCCTCACGCAGCTGCTTTTGGCAAAACTGACAGCAGAAATGGGTGTCACGAGTGATTTCAGGGTCAAATTCGATGAACCTCAAAAAATGGTCTGCTCAATACATTCCTATGAATTGATTATTGAAAAAAAATCTTCAGTTACATAACGGCGAGGTATCTGTATACAGCCATCTGATAGAATATGGGCATGAAAATTTTCCCATCCCTAAGGTAGAGTTTCTTTCATTTACATAATATTTTCGCTTCCAAACGTGTTTGCATTATAGATCTACTTCATGAGAAAGTTCTCTAAATCCAACCCTGTCAAAGGTTATATCATTATGGAGTACTTAGAAAATGTCAAGACTATGAAGATTTACAATAACATCACTGTCGATTCCGTAAAACAGGTATTTTCCACGTGAGCACTCCAATATCCCCATTAATAATTACATTGAGGTTTTCGCGGCCATAGCAATCTTGGAAGCCATGTCACTCCAATTTACCCCAGAGGAAAAGAAAGAGTTCACACGACCTCACTTCGAAATGTTTCATGGAATGTTTTACAACGAAGATGTTAGTTTCTTTTGAACTATTCAGTTGCCCAAACTAAAAATAACTGAACAAAAAGTTACTATGTTTGAGCAAGGAAAGCGCTTATTACTAGGTTAGTATTATTTTCATTTAGATTGTCTTCTTAACTCTGCGACAATGCTGATGCGCAAATGCTGTGAATTTTTGTGACCTATCTGATTGATGTATTACTCTAACAATAAGAAAAAAATTCCAGCAGAGATACTCGTGTCAGCTTCATTCGTAGTAGTTAGCTACCCCGAAGTTTGTTATAGGCAGTCCAGGCAAATTTGTGCTCATGGGCTTTTCGCAAGGAAATTGGTAAGTGGCTAAGGCACTGCCCGAGCGGCCGCGCGAAGATCCCTTCACGGCTAAGAATCCAACTCTAAGTCTTTCATGACTGTCCCCATTTGCATGCGTTCGCGCTGGGACCTCCATCACTCGCATAGTACGGTCACGACGCAGGCTCGATGACTTTGCAGATGGAGCTCTCAGCCGCGAAGGTCATTTGCGCTGCCGCTCTTAGAGACACCGTCCACCCTAAGTTGAGGGTCTGGAGCTCTTGGCAGTTTATGATAGTAGGGTCCCAGTCAAGCCAATGCTCAAGACGCGGCGCAAAATGTCGCTTCGGAAGCGAGAAAATCGCTCCGGAGTAACGAAGATGCGCGAAGACTCCCGGGCACCGCCCTCCCCATCCATGCCCGCCCATCCGTGAGCGGCCATCCAATCACCGTTGCGGAAGTCCGCTGGGTTCTCCAAAACGGAGACTGTCGGGATTTTCGCGGACTCGACTTCATATTCGGAATTAGGGACATGAGAAAGCCCCGGAACGATCAAAACATGGAAGTCGAGAATCTGAGTGGACGGTGCCTTTAAGCGTTGCCTTACTTATGACCTGCTCATTCGTTTCCATGCGATGAACTCATGCATCAGATTTGCCTGAAATGTCTGTCTGCCTTCATAGTTTGGTGAGTAATATTATCGGCAATTTTGACCTTCAAAAGTGATAACATAGTTAATTCATGAATCATTAAATGGCAACTTCCGCTTAGTTTTCAGCTTTTGCACAACTGTATGAAATCGCTCCGAACGTTCGGCAATGGTAGACTGCACGACAAAGTTGAGAAAATGGAAGGAATTCTACACGATGTTATGGACCCAGTTGTAGTCGATCAGTTAGCTGATAATCTAGGTATGTGCATCGGTAGTGTCCGGGTGAACCCTAGATACTCGGCATCGCATTTGGTAAATGATTATGGCGAAGTCACCTCGGGTACGCAAGTGGTGCACTATCTGCTGAAAATGTTTCCAAACCAGATCATGCATTGTACAGTAAACGACTTGCATCGTGCTTCCACGATTTTGCGTGGGGACTCGCCGCCTTCGTTATGGTTCCCCGCGAATGCAGGGCGATAGAAGTCGAGCCAAATATGGTAGGCGACAAGTGCCTGGACACTTCAATATAGCAAAATTTATGAACAATCATGATTTCTGAAAAAAGGATTTAGAACATTTTCCTTGTAAGTGGCATTACTTTGAGGAGAAAAAAAAATAATTACAACAAGATGCATTTGGACTGATGCTATGAAAAACGCATCACTCGCAATTAATCCTATTTTGACGACTAGACTTACTATAGGAATGCAACGTGTTCTGTGTCACGGTGACTTATCCATGGCAAATATGCTTTGGAGGCAAAATGGGACCGAAGACCTGACACTGGCTGCTATGATAGACTTTCAGGTATCACTTCGAACTCGAATGAACTTCAATTTACACGAATCTTAATTACACAATGCAAAGCTGTTTGAGCTACAAAATCAATGTACGGGTAGCTTTTAAAAAAATATCGTTTCTTTTCACTTTATCTTTCCACGATTTTGTACACCTCACGCAACGATTGTTTTTGTTATTTCAATCAAAATTATGCTCACTGTAAGTTAAACGTTCTCTTCTCGCTCTCGCTCTCAAGGTCATTGGTTTTCTCTTTCGACCTCTAGAGATCTGCCAATCCTCAAAGACGGCGCAAACACAAACTCCTTCCTTTTATTTGATGCCAGTGTAGATTTAGGCTGCGCATATGGGTTGCCCAGTCACTGACGTAGCTGCCATGCTCATTCTTTGTCTGAGCGGCAAGGACAGACGGAAGCATTGGGAAGAGGTTCTCGAACATCTACATGTTAATTTGAGAAAGGAGATAGGCGAGGATATGAAGATGCCCTTCAGTCTTGAGCAGGTCATCTCTGTTTTACGATACAGTTCTTTTTTTACTTCACATAGCTATTCCAGCTCAAAGAAGCATATCGACTGTATTTTCCATTTGCTGGTGCATCGTTTCTTCCTTTTATCGTACCGATATTCGAAATAATGTCCAAAGATGCTAATGAAGAGCAAAAGAAAGAGGTTGGTAGTTCACATAAGGTGCGAGGATATAATGTAATATTACTTTCAGTATTTGGATGCTTTGCTAGAAAAAACGGAATGCATCTTGGATGACACCATCTTCTACTATGAACGAAATAAGAAAAAAGCCCTAGTGCGAAAAATTTCTCAAGAGTTCGATGAAGCAGAATTAGTAACCTAAAAATCCAAGTGATAAAGCTGCTGCTATGTTTCACTGCATCGAATTCAGTAACATACGATGTGTTGAGTAGCATGGAGACATTCATCACAAACCCGTCAACCCTAACTACATCCCAGCTACCAATGTGATAATTTATAGATATCGTGGACTGAATGATTGCCCGTTTTCCTTTCTCCAGTTCTCTACAAGCACATTAAAACGGTATCTCAGCAAAGTGGGACCTAGGACTATATGAAGATGCAGTAGGAAATAAACCTATGCAGTTAGTGAAGTTCGAAACGAAAAAGCTTTTCTACAAATAAATGAATTAGCTTCGGAGGTGTGAACTCGCCTCCGATCCGGCCCCGTCCACCCATGATATCTGTAACGGGGGGGGGGGGGGGGAGGATCTAGTCAACTCCCGATAGAACCTGATCGACGGAGAAACACGGGTTTGAGTACAAGAATTTATCCTAATGGCGCAAAACTAACAACAACAAGAACAGAATACTACAACATGGGGGTTTTCAACCCGATTTGCCCTCTCAGCAAGGTTCTCTAGCTATCTCTATCTAAGGGAGAGGTCCGCCTCTCTTCGACGACTCGTTTAGACTCTCGAGCTAGCGCTTACTTAGCGCTCTCGCTGGTCCCCCCTATCCACCGATGTATTTCCCTGCTGAGAGGTCAAATCGGCCTCTCTTTTCGCGCCAGTGATGAGTAAATCGGTGATCCGCGCCATCCAACATATCCGATATATTCGAGGCACAAGTATTTGATGATCGGCCCCGTGGCAGTCGTTTCATGGCGCTCAGTTTTTGCCATTGAGTGCAGCAGAGCCCACGAATTTAGGGAAGCCTGTTAAGTCGAAGTGGCCTTTCCACATGTCAACTATATCGCTTTGTAGAGCATTCGTGACTTTAGATCCGACTTTCTTATCTGCCAAGCGCCTCTGATACCGTTCAAGTTGTACAGGAATGAGCAAAGATAAATCGCATTTTGGTTGCGAATCCAAGTTGTTGCCTACTTGGTGGCTTTTTCCAGCAAATAATTTGATCATGCATCGATGACAGCGTAAAAGACATCACATCAAAACTAGCGTGCAGAACCTTGCGAAAATGAAATTCTATGTTTTTGATAATTGCGTTGTATTTGTGATGAAAAATCACAAACTGATAGAGTTGTTGTTGGAGTTGGTACTTGAGCGCAGACTGTGAAGAACTGGTGCCAAAATTGTCACATATCATGCAAAGTTCCATAGGATACTAGTTCGCGTATTTTGAGATGTGGGTCGCAAGCGCATGTTTCCTCACGAAGCATCATGCTGTTCACAACGTCAAACGTGAGACATTGCATGGAGCATAAAGGAAGCACTGAGGAGTAAATGGGATAAAAGCGGTCATAGTGGGATGGAAAGTCTTGAAAAATGACCCGTAACACCCATATAGTTCTTAGAACCAAACTCGTGGACGCAGCGCAGGCGCCTCGCCCTAGTTTTGCGATTACTGTTGCGGGCCTGGGTTCAGAAGGGCCGTTTCTCCACTGCGAGCCATAAACATACACTAACGTTCGGCCCCATCCAGATGGGGCAGGCGTGCGCATGTCGCGCACCTTCATGGTCATAAGGGTCTCACAACTATTTTGGGTCTCCAACCTTAAAGGACACTGCTCCTCGCGCCCAAAAACAGAAGTTAAGGTTCCGAGCAAAGCCCGTTTTTGACATTTTGCATTCTTCAACCTGCATTTGTGGAAGTGGAATAGGCCCATGTAACTTTTTTTTCTTAAAGATTTATCGAGATGCTAGCTCAAGTGTGAGCCTCAACAACAATTTCACAAATTTTAAAAATTCACAATTCTAAATAGTTAGCCTCCTCGAAATAAACGCTGCGTTTACTCACTGCTAGTCACTATTTTACTCTGTCAATGTTACTAAAGCCGATTCAGCCACTGTTATAGTAAAATTTTGATATGTAAAGATGAGAAGAGAGAGGGTGATAACATGTGTGCGATAGTTGTTTTGATTCATTTACATTGTTTCGTGTTGTTTCGAATGTTGTTGGCTGCCGCGTTTCCTGCGCGCGGCAGGACCACTCGCCATTTTGGCGGGCCTTAGTGCGGATGTTGCATCATTCGAAGTGCACTTTTAGTTCTCTCTGTTCGATCTCGAGGCGCCACGTCTTTTGCCTTCTCTAATTGTTCTTGCCTATCTTGTATTCTTTTTTTTGTGTTTTGGTCGATAAACTCTTATTCCACGGTCGTGCTATTCCACAAAGGGGAAAGGGACCAACCACCAGTTCTCTGTTTGTTTTACATGGGGGCCGAACCAAACTGAAAAAAAGGGAAGCTTTCTTTTTGCGGACTTTTTTTTCGGGGGAAAGTCTTCTCTTTTCTGTTCTCATCTTTATGGACGCAGTTGTGCTAGTCGATCCACAGGTCGCCTGGAAGACTTCTAAAACACAAACAGGTACGGGAACCTCTCATCGAGGTGGTACCTGGAATCACCGTGGGGTGAATTGCCGGTCAATCCACAGACTGTGTGTGGAGGCCGTGAGCAGACCCACGTAAAGGGGAACCTCTGCACGAGGGAACCTTGCATCACCGTGGTGAGTAGGAGCGTCGGAACTTACTAGCTTCAGAATTGCGTGAAGCAGTAACCTCCTCGTCGATCGATAATAGGAAGTTTATCGAGTCAACGACTGGTTGTTACTCTTACAGGAAATGGCGCAGTCCTTTGAGGAGGAAATGGAAGCCATGATCCTCATGGACGATGACGGCAAGCGCATTGAGGAGCTACAAGCGCAGATAGCCGGGCTAACGCAACAAGTGCGTCAACTCGCGGAGAAACAGGTTCCACAGGTGAGTGTTATACCTGCCAAAATGGGCGAGTATGTGACAGAGATCCGAAACCTGGTGAATAAGGGCAAGCGAAAAGCGAAAACTAGGAGAAGCCCTAGAAGCACTAGCGCGGATTGTTTGCAAATAGATAGCGCTTGTGAGGGACTGGAAGTAGAGATCAGGAAAATTGAGCAGTCAGTGGAGGATCTAAAAAAGTTCAAAAGTGTAGATTTGCTTCAGCTAGAGAAAGACCTAGTTGAAATCCTAAAGCAAGCTCAGTAGTCGATAACGCGCAAGAAGAAGAGCCGCGTATAGGGGGAGAAGAGTCTGGAATAACGACTACAGATCTTCTTCAGGACCAAGGTGAAGCACAGTCGAGTGACACCATGGCGAGCGATTTCCAAAATGCGCTGAAGCAAGTGCGTTCCAATGAAGTCCCGAAGAACCTTGAGCTGGCCGATTTTGACCCAATTGCTGCCGCACGAGGTGAGTATCTGCTTGATAGGATCGCGCCGACAACACAGAGCAGGCGATATGTATTGCCACAGAGGCAAACAAATCCCTATTTGCAGAGAGAGCAGCTCGCGAGAGAGCCGCCAAGGTTGCCGGGATCCCTCTACAACGTGTTGAGGAGGAGTTTCCAAGGTAGGAATGATATACTCACTTCTGAAATGGGAATGACAAATGCTCCGCGTTTACTGCGATGGCGCTACCAGAAGTCCCGGTATTTGACAACGCGCAGGGCAAAGGGTTCGAAAAGTTTCTGCTCTCCTTCAGGGTTAAATATAATGGATTGAACTTGAGCGATGAGATCCTTATCCACTTGTTATGTTCAAAACTAGCAGGGCAACCCCGAGTTATAGTGGAAACTCTTCCTATGGATGTTCAGAAAACGTTCCAAGATTTTGTGGCCGCATTGAAAGCCAAATTCAGAGAATGAATCCGCCAACACAATGGAGGCATACGTTAGCCTCAAAAACCTCCGATCGACTCCTACGGAGGAAGCATACGAGAAGCTCAAGGCCCTTGCGCAGCGGATAGAGAGGAGTAGGGAGGCACTGCATTTGAAGCAGGAGGCCACGGGCAAGCCCGAGCGACTTTCTCTTGGACGACAAATAACACAAGGGCACGAGCACATGGGTCAAACGATAGTGGAGAAGGAGCACCAGGAACATGCAGAGCAGGAAAACCCCAACCAGAACATGCAGCAGAACAGGTCAAAGAAGCGAGAGTTGCTGTGTCACAACTGTAAAAAGCCTGGACATTTCAAAAGGGATTGCAAGGAAACATTAAGCATCCAGTACACTCTTAGAGGTTTAGGGGAGGTGCCACAAGGAGGCAAAGGCAACGCCAGAGATGAACGTGATGCAGGATCTTTTTCCACCGTACTGCGGCACTGGGCATGCAGTACTGTCGCAAGGAAGAAAGCTAGTGATCTAGTGGGCAGGCAGACACTAGAAACGGTGAAGTTTCTTGGCCTGAAAAAGGAAGCACTGGTAGATTCTGGATCACAAATCAGTATCATGCCTCTCGATCTGCTGTTGACAGCACAGCGAAAAGGATTTAACATAGATAGAGATGTGGAACAGATTCCGCCACAGAAATATCCACCAGTTTACGATGCTTCCGGCAATTTGATGAGATTCAAAGGTGCCTTTTGTCTGACCTCAAGCATAAGCAACGGAACTCGATGCCGAGCTACCTTCTTTGTTAGAAAAGGAGGAGATAATAGGGTAGTGCTGGGGACAAATATCCTGCACGCACTCGGTTATTCGATCCGCAGAGGAGGTCAGCCCTGCAAGGGCGAAAGAAAACCTTCAGAACAAGGGGCATGGCATAGCAAGCGTGCCAGAAATCCCGAGAAGGCTATGGAATCGCGACAGCCAAAGTAGCCACGTACTCTTCAGCAGACCTAGTGGAAGCAAAGGGTTGAAGCGGACTAGGCAGACCGAACGGACACAGGTGTTGCGGTCTAGCGTTGCTCTAGTTCCCGGTTCACATTGAAACACTGCAAACGGTGCAGTAAGAAGCTCCGTCACCAATATATTGGCACCAAGAATATGCCGTGTCGGTAAAGTTGTAGAGCGGACCACATCAAATCCACCGAGAAGAGTGCCTCGTCCTTTTCAGCGACCAAGGGAAAATAGAAATGAATAGGTGCGGAAGCAGAAACTCTCATCCAGAAACAGCAAAGTCAACGAGAGACCGTTGACCTCAGGCGACCGGGTGAATATGAAGGTGCTCATGGAGAAAGCTTCATCAGAACACCCTAAGCTGGTCAACGTTCGAACAGGGCCAACTGAAGTGAACGATTTGAGTGGAAGTAGTGGCTTCTCGATCAAGCAGATAAAGGCGAATGATAAGCCTGAACGAGTTCCGGATCAGCTGAGTAAGCCCCATGATGTTAGGGCAACTAAGGGTAAAACAAGAAGGGGTAGACTTAGAAAAGTTACAAACTCGAACTCTAAAGTTTCGTGTTGCAGAGTCGAGGTCGGAGAGCCGATGAACCTTGCTACATTGTCTCTATCCTCGCGAATGCGGTATTTGCGAGAAGCGTGCCAACATGGCTCGAGCAGGATACGACGCCAAGGAAATGGATCACCATGGACCAACGGACGACACAATTACGAAGCTACAACCCGCGACCCACCCTGGATTTCAAGAAGCTGCATCGAATTGCCGACATTCGGGTTACGGAACAGGAAAAAAAAGAACATGGGCGCGGATCAAGAAAACGACGGAGGCGTGAACAGAAGAAGACTGGCGAAGCTGGAATTTACGCACATTCGGGAACTGATGAAGATGCACCTGGAGCAAGCCCCACTCGCGGAAGGACAGGACTATCGAAGAGTCTCCGGAGGTGACTCTCTTCGAGAAGCGGCGTGTAAAGATGAGAAGATGGAGGGTGATAGTATGTGTGCGATAGTTGTTTTGATTCATTTACATTGTTTCGTGTTGTTTCGAATGTTGTTGGCTGCCGCGTTTCCTGCGCGCGGCAGGACCACTCGCCATTTTGGCGGGCCTTAGTGCGGGTGTTGCATCATTCGAAGTGCACTTTTAGTTCTCTCTGTTCGATCTCGAGGCGCCACGTCTTTTGCCTTCTCTCATTGTTCTTGCCTATCTTGTATTCTTTTTTTTTTGTGTTTTGGTCGATAAACTCTTATTCCACGGTCGTGCTATTCCACAAAGAGGAAAGGGACCAACCACCAGTTCTCTGTTTGTTTTACAGATAATTATTCTTGTTTTCGTTTGATAGGCGAAATGCTTCTGACGAGAACATAACCCAACATGAAAACAATGCCAGCAAATACAAGCACCGCGGCAATAACAGCAGCCACCACATCCAGATTAAAGTATACGATAAAATTTAATCGAGAGCCTTCTAAATGAAGTTCCTTCAAAACGCCGTTTGAGATAGCAAAGTTGGTCCATTGTATTAGTCGTTCCTCGGCGGAAAATGGTTTTTCTCTCATGAGTTTCGAAAGGCGAATCGCATTTTTCTTGTACCTGCAAATTAATATTGATCAGGATACGACAGTTTTTTCAGAATGGACATAAGAAAACTGAAAAGAAAGGTCTTCGTCAATCTTCAAGAAGTTCCCATACATACTAGACAAAAGTTTACAACTTTGCTGATCCCCTTATTACGATCTCACCGGTGCTAAATTTTGATTTATTCAGTCTTTATAATTAACACCAAGTGACGATGAACATATGCTAAAAACTATAGGAAGGAAGGACTCTAGAAAAATAATTTATTTAATGAAGTGGGCCGGAATGATAAATGTTATGTTCGTCATGAAAAGTATCACCAAAGTGTTTTCAACCTCAGAAATGCAAAGCGTTCACAAAAAACTCTGATTGCGTCTTGATTTTTGTCAACGGAATTCAAATACTCTAATTTCACGCGTACAAGGCGCGGGGTGGTCCTAGCTTTCATCGAGCTGCTCAGCCGCCCCAACGTGTTTTAAGAAGCGATCCTTATGCCGCACGATTCGTCAGGCAAAACGCAACACGGTATGGGGTTCCTTTGGTTGCGAAGTCCTTTGCCGTGTTCAGGCTGGTCATGAAAGCTAGGACCTCCCCGCGCCTTGTACGCGTGAAATTATGGTACTTGTTTGATGCTCTTACCTTTCATCTTCTAACATCTCTTTGATATTCATTCTGATTGAGTTCTCGTTCAGATCTTGTCTCAACAACACCTGAAAATCTACTAAAAATTGTCTGGATTTATAAGTACCGTCTTTAACAAGTCGAAGGAAATTATTTTCGCATTTCCAACATTAGCGCTTGTTAGAATCAAGTTCATACTACAGAATGCCGCAATTATCTTCTACAAAATATAGTTTTATTGCGAAGAGAACTTTGCTAGTATCATCGTTTGGCCACTTTGTTTCTGAAATACATTTGTAAGCTGTAGAAACGAAGCATACCGAATTTGAGGCTACTTTGCCTCCAGTTAGTATTTAACCAGTTATTACGTCAGAAGTGAACTAGTTTGAAGTTTGGCTTTCTTTCGCTTTTTGCAACCTGATTTGCATAAGTTTTTCAGCAGACAGCGTACAAATACAGTTGGTGAGACTTAGATTACATGGCTACATTTCTAGATTCCTTTATATTTTGGTGTAGACGAAAATTTAGTTTATTATGTTGCATGTTTTTGAATGAGGAAGGATCCCCGTGGAGACGAGGACAATTTTACAAGTCTCACCTGTGCGTTGAGCATAACTTTGTCGGCAAAATAATTAAGATTTTCTGTTATTAGAGCCACATTCACAAGTTCAAAATTACCGTTGCCTCATATTGATGAGAGCATTATCAAAATAGGATAGCTATACGGGCTGCTAGACGATGAAAACGCAGTAGTTTTGGGCCGAACTCGGCTTTGTTCGCGTTCACAGTCGTTCAACTGATACTACTTTTGTACCCTCGCCCTACAGTAGCTTTCACTCTTGCTAAGCTCATCTTGCACGAGCTTGGCATTGACAGAATACGTGTGTGTACTACGATTCTGAGACTTAACGATGAAATGGTCAGGACTTGAAGGCAGTGTGGCAAAAAGTCGATTCTGCGAGTTTGTGCTTACCGGGGCCTATTCGCTAGCTGAATCCGAAAATCCATACTGGAGAGCGCAGAAACGGTGAGAAAATGCTCTAACAAAGGAGGGAAATTAGTTTGCGATTGCGGACGTTTCGGTCGGTTAATACTCAACAATCGAAATCGAGATAAAAATGAAAAAATTTTTACTGCCACGAATATTTACCTTTCCAACACCCCGTTTTTCCGCAGCTCTACCGTTATGGTACTGATCACCATATACTGGTATTACTATGACAGGAACGGCGCGAGTTAACGCCTCGAGTATTCCATTCACTCCTCCGTGCATGATGAACAGTTTTACGCGTGGATGGGCTGCAAAGCAAAGATTTTCTCTTCTTTTTGCCAAAATATAAAGGAAAAAGACCGAGCAAATCAGCTTGTGGCAACCACTCTACAAGATCACAGTTAGAGACTTCCTCAAATAACGAGTGAGTAGTGATATCACCTGGAAACAGAGCTGAGCAGTGAGGCAATTTTTGCCAAAGCGTATAGAATCTTGTAAATTAAATTGAAAGATTGAAACTACACATTCGAAACCGACCTTGAGCAATTTTGACAATGAAATGATAGTCTGGAAAAGACTGAATGACTTTTGCAAACGCGGTCTTGACCCTGTCCGGAAAAGCATGAAAGGCAGCAACACTACCCATTGAAAAGATTATCACGCCATTGTTTCCCTTGCTCATAAGAGAAGAAAATTTCTGAAAGTTTTATGAATCAAATGCAAGTAGGATACGAACATAGATGGAATTTTCGTTCCAAAGCGGTAAATGGATTATATTAGGTTGGTGCGAAAGTAATGCGCGTTTTTCTAGCCCTTAATTCAAGACAGCTTTTCTCCATCGAAGTTTCTCCTATGAAATTTACCCAGCATACTATCAAGAAGCTTCTTTAATGCTCTATTCAATGATGGTTGAAAGAACCTTTAAGCCTCATTCGTTAAAAATTTATAGAGCTTCATACAACCGCACTCAAAACCAAAATTTCACTGCACTTACTTTTTCGGCCAGAATTCAAGCGCGAGTAAAGGCATTCTTTTGAAAATTCAACTGCTGTATATAATAGAAATTTTCTACGTTGTGCACGCTTTGCTGTTTTCTCAGAAATTATTTAGACTGAGATTTCGGTGCCCCAACATGAGTGATGGTTTTGACCATTTTGTGGCCCATACATTTCCTTTGAAGAGGGCAATCGCCAAAGTTTTGCTCATTCCTGTAAGCGTAAGGGTGGATCTCCTGTTGATAGTATTTGCAGAAATGTGGAAGCTGTTCAGTACACAGAAACTCAAAAATCTCCATATGAGGGTTACGAAAAAATGTCGAAAAAAGCGGACAATTTTAAATATTATTTTTTCCTTTTCACAAATCTTCTTTGTTTGAGCCCCTTTCAAATTTTTTTTGTACTACTGGCTTGCGGCTACAAGAAAGTCAACTTTTCTGTACCAACAAATCTTGAAGGAAGTTATGATCACTTAAAAACGAGGTTTCCGAAAAAAAAATTTTTTGTTTATCAATCCATATTTTTTCACCATTTTGCGATGTTAGCGCAAGTCAATGTGCGCTGTATAGAGAGAGGCTTGGTGCCTCAGATGGATTTTGCCACGCTGAAAAATATGGATTTTTTAGAAAGCACGTCAAAGTGAGAACTCGCAGAACGCGCATTACTTTTGCACCAACCTAATAAAATTAGAAATAATCGTAATCAAGTAAATGTCAGTGTTCTTTAGAAGGTGATGCGTTACGGTATAGGTTCAGGGGCAAAAATAAGTTCTCATCCTCAAAAAAACTGCTACGGAAGACTAGATCGATCTCCACAAGTTTGATACCTTGTTTAGAGGCTGAGGTTCCCTCATACCCAGCCCTCCAATGTAGATGGTTTTGTGAATTATGGGTCTAGGCAGATCAAACATCTCATCAGTATTCACGAAGCAGAGACTAGAATTAGCGGCGATGTCCCGAACATTTGGGAAGTCCTTATCAAATTTTCGAAAAACCTAAACACTGCTTTGTTCATATAGCTACGTAAATGTGCTGAGTACCTCTGTGATCAAATCAGTGCCATGTCGATGAATAACAAGTGATGCGAGATATAAGAAAATGTTATGAGCTCTTTCCCAAAATGACAACGTATCGCCCATGTCGTTTTCTTCGATCGATGGTACGTAGGAGGTGGGTGAAGGTATCCCTAGCATAGATTTTTTTATGGATCCATAATTCTCAAAATTCCTTCAACAACCTAAGTCATAGCTAACCGCGTCCATGATGGTTGTTGACGAAAGCCATAAGAGATTGTGAATACCCAGGTACCTGTGGTGAAATCTTACAGCAAAAAGAAAACATTACTCGAAAGCCCCACTGCCAAAAAACGAAAAGTCACGATAAATTATGTAGGTTGAACCGAAAGTTCGCTCGCACTTTCAAGGATAGTTTTGCATGGCAAAAATACTTATAAAAAATGAAGCGAACACTTCTAATGACACCTTTCTTGCCCCCCCCCCCCCCCCTCAGCACACACTAAGCTTTGGCTGCAGCGATGAAAATAAGAAAAGAAAATTGAGGTGCGACGATTTGTGGCAAGGCCTTCAAAACCAGGTTCAACTAGGTTTTACTAGGTTTTCAAACCTTCTCTTTCTAAGTGAGCATTCGCGCTGATCGACTTTTTGTCTGAAAACTTATGATTTTTTAGAAGAAAGAAAAAATCAGTCTTGTGAAAAAAAAAATGATTTTTTAACATTCCTTTCCAAATCATAATCACGAGTTCATCAGCACAAACATTGCTCGGTGTTAGAAAGAGAAGGTGGAGAAACTTATGATACTGATTTTTTGATTTTATTGCACAGTTTTTAGATATTCAGCGGGCTTGCCTCAAATCACCAAACCTCAAAAAACTCGTTTATTCATTTTTATCCCTTCAAACAAAGCTTAACTGAGAGAATGCAAGGTGTCTTTTGAGAGTGATAGGAAAAAAGAGAATTTTGTTGACTTATAAATCGTAAACCTAAATTTATTTTATGTATGAAAATCGAAGAGCTTCTGTGATTATATTGTTGTTTATTATGTTTATCTAATCCATTTTAGTCGATCTGTATGCTTCGTTTTGATGTTTCAACTGTTTTGTGCTATGTTAGTTGAAGGCAGCGTCCAGGCAAGCTGGACACATGGGGATCTCACGGATAGTAATTTTGGGGCTCTGACCAAGCCGCTGCCCAACCGGCAGCTCAGGTAGTGCTCTAACGGCTGAGATATTCCCTTCGAAACTGGACCCCGCTATCGTATTCCGGATGGATTCATGGCGCAAAGCGTTGGTCCTGGCGCGAAACTGCATGCGATTACGATCGCGGGGTCCAGTTTCGAGGGGAATATCTCAGCCGTTAGCGCACTACCTGCGCTACCGCTTGGACAGTGCCTTAGTTAGGGCCCCAAAAGTACTTTACACGTAAAATCCTCATAGGTACAGATCTGCCTGGACGCTGCTTTTGAGTCGTGGAGGGACCACGCAATCGAGGCGATTACACGTCATATCGGTCTGCTATATGAGGCGGCCAAGAGTGGCTAAAAACATTTTCGTCGTTATGTTACGAAAAGTGCGGTCGAATGGGTAGAGGAACGAACACCTCTACTAGCCATCGCTTCCGCGAGCTGCTGGTCCTTTCGTCCTACTGTTTCGCATCGTGTTAGGAGCAGTATTCCGCGGAAGGGGTGCCTAATTGAGGTGTTCGTTCCCTCACCCCGGTAGAACTGAGAGCCAATCCGGAGAGCTGCGGACGATCGCGATGCCGATCGCGGTGCCGATCGGGTGGAGGATCGCTTATTCAATGAAGGAAACCACCAAACCTCTGGACAACACATGCTGAGCAACCCGCAATACGTCCCGAGGCCTAGTGGTGTGACATATGGGCGCCCCTCCCTTACAAGTTAAAAAGTAGGAGAATGTTTGCGCCTTACGCATTTATCTGCGCGAACCACTAAACGAAAACGATTGAACGATCGAATTAGCAAATGACAAATTATATTGAACCAACTTTTCGTTAACTGGCCCGGAAGAAACAAGCTGCCAAAACGGCAATAAACTTGGTGACTTTAAGATTGGATTCAAAAATTCGCATTGAGGTGCGCAAATATCAGAGAAAGTCATTTTCATTGAAAATTCGCTTATCATCATAACTAGTGCATTTTTTCAGAAAGACCAAAAGTTTGGCCGACTGCTCTAAGGCGTTATGAGGCTTATGTGCAACAAACTATGTTTCTATTGAAAAAAGTGCAGGGGGTTTCACCTAGATAATAGCACTATTTACGATTGAAAACAAAAGTTTATGTGATGTCTAAGTTGTAGTCGCTCCTCAGAAGGAAGTTTTAGCCGCTCTCTAGGGAGGAGGGCATACGAGCAGAAGTATGACATTTGTAACAGCAGCAAAAGAGTCGTTAGTTTGTTTTCTTCCCTTCTAATCTTTCCAGTCTTTCTGCTGCTATCTCCTCAGCTCTCTAAGATAATTTGGGATGAACCGAATGTTCTGTCGCACCATTTCGAAGAAATCGAAACTTTTTTCTGTCCCAGTAGTCTTTCATAGAACTACTGTTATTGAAAAGAGTAGTCACGTACTTTTTAACGCGTTACCTTGCTTACTTCTTACTAAACTCTAACTTTAACTCTAATACTAAAGCTACGATTGGAAAGAGGAGATCTTTTGCAGCTTGATGAATCGAGGCAAGCCCATAGAATACCTAAACACTGTGCAATGAGATCCAAAACAGCCATGTCATGTGTTTTCTAGCATTCATTTTTTTTGCTGTGCAAAACTTCTGCTAATCGTAAAAAGTCATGAGATTCGGGGGAATGGTCAAAAAAATTGATTTTTCCGTTTTCGTTGTTTTTTTTTGAGATTTAATTTATTGAAGAAGAGCTCGACCAGCACAATTTTTGCTGTGAAGGTCAGAAAGCTTATGTCCATAACTGTTCACTTTGTTGCGCAGTTTTCAAAGTTTTAATGAGCTTGCCTCTTTTTAAATCCAAAGATCTATTTTTTCCCATTTTCATTACGGACCAAAGCATAGTAGGTACTACTTTCTCTAGGTTGGCTAATAAGCTTTTGCGGCTCCTACAAACGCTGTTGACAACTTTTTGCCTATTAGATATCTCTTGATAGAGCACTTTAATGAGAATTGGAATGTAAAATCTGTTTGGGTAAAATTCACTTTCTAGTGAAAGAAATCCGCAAAGAGTGGTAAACCCTAGTTTTCTTATTGTGCCCAAAAATCGAAATTTTAGTTTTTTGGTCAAAGAATTTTGGAATGGCAGGTTACCTTTATTGTTATCCTCCAAGAAAAAACTTGTCCATATCCAGTTACCAAATTGCTTATTATTCATTACAGCAAGGAAACGAAGCCTAAAGTGGCAGAGTCGAGCTTTTAGAATTTTAGCCGTGTTGGGGTATAACCAGGGTCAAGCATAGGGTGTGGCAGGCCATACCTGGGGGGTCGTGTTGAGGAATCAGGCAGGAGGGGGGGGGGGCGTTATCAAGGCGTCCGCTGTTTGCATAACATGATATTCGTTAACAATGTCAAATAGGCCCGTCATGCAAAATAATAGTACATTGATCTTTGACCCATTATCGTATACGTGCAGTGACCATATTCAAAGATCTCCAAAGCATAAGAGCATCGCTTTGTAATAAGCAAGTAAAATAACCCATGTGGTCCAAGTTTCAGCAAATTCCGAGGTATCCAAATACATGACCACCTATGTGAGATGGTCGTTTTCAAACATGTTACTTTGTTTCAAAGGTAAGTTGACTACTTCTTTTTGCGCTTAATACAAAGAACTACTATTTCTTTGCTCATTTAGAAATCCTACTTCAAATGACTTCCAAATTAAGGAATTAAGAGCGAGCCAAAATCTCGTTATTTCCATTTTCATTTTCAATATCTCAGGCAGAGAAGACCAATCAGGCTCAAATCACTTTTGTAGAATACGAGGCTTAGGCTATCGAATATATACATTTCTGTCGCCTTCCCTCGCGATTTCGTAGTAGCGCAGGCTTAGCATGTCACCGTAACCCAATATTTTCGCAGTATTTTACTAGTATTTTACATCTGCATAGGTAAGGAAAAACGATTATATCTTGCTTTCGAAGAAACGTTTTCATATGAAACTGCTATGTAAAGAAGAAGGTTAAGCAGTAAAAACGATGTAAAAAACGCAGCTATTTGATCAGTCTGAAGGTAAGTTAATGGGGTGTGGCACCACCCCTAAAAAGTTGTGGCAGCCACAGCTTTCAAGGGTGGTGCCACACCCCATTAACTATATCAAGAAAACATTTTTAGCGAACGTTATTCATATTAATCGACAGCCTAGACCTCGTAGATTTCATAGGAGTGATTTGAGCCTGATTTGTCGTCTTAGCTCTGAGTAATATTTGGTGAAAGCACAACCATTAATAGCGAAAAATAGGAAAAAACAAGATTTTGGTTGGCTCCTAATTCCAAAGTTAGGAGGTCTATTGAAGCGAGATTTCTGAATTGGCCAAAGATGGAGTAGTGCTTTGTTTTGAGTGCAAAAACAGCTAGCTACTTCACCTCTCGAACAAAGTTAATCATGCTGGAAAATGGCGATTTCACTTAGGTGACCCAGTATCTTGAAACTTCGGAATTCGCTCAAACATTGCCTAAGGGGTTAATTGACATGCTTATTATGGATATGTTGCCCGTTATGTTTGACAGGGCCTTCAAGTAATGCTATCTTAGGTATATAGTTAGGGGGTCTTATTGAGACAGCAATAAGAGGGGGGGGTCGTAAGCGATCGTGTACCACACCCCTTGCTTGACCATGAATATGACTGTTGCCTACTGATGCTTGAAAATCCTGAATAGTTGTTTGTGGTAGAAGAAGCTTTGAGTATTTCCGCACAAAAAAATTACGGGAGAAAAACAATTAGGAGTTTTGATGAAGATTCTCATGCCAAAACGAAATTATTCTTTAGCTAACCTGATTATTTCAATTCCATGCAGAACAGTGACAGAAATAAGTAACGACTTTCAGTAATAGCGCGACAGAACTTTCGGTTCGAGATTTCATAATTCTATGACTTACCTGACCACTCCTACACCACAAAAATCCAATTGCTCAGTGAATGCAACATCAAACCCATAGTTTTTCAACACTTCTATTTCACTTCTCCTCGCCATTAAGGCTGAATTACACAAAAAGCGAGTCAATTTATTGGCCTTTCCTGTTCCACTCTGTGCCTACCTTCGCACATCTTGGCATACACGGACTCATAGTCATATCTCTCTGAGAGTGGCGTGTGGTGCCGCTCCATCCACTTCCTCTGCTCCTCCTCTGTTAGCAGTTCTTCCGCATCCGAGCCTGCATTATGTCCATCGCTGCTTTCCCGTGAAGTGTCATATCAAAAGTTATGTCCGCTTATCGCTTCATAAATGCATGCTCGCACTAGAAGTGCAAGATCGGAGAGGGATTTTGTTTTAACGCGTTGTCAACCAAGCCATTTTGGGCGAAGCTCCCATTAATCTTTCTTGAGCATTGCTGGCTGCATACGCCAGTCACGCAAATTCATTATGTATCGTCGTCTCCCCGCGATAGATGGGGCGTGTCGTCTGCAAAGTCCGTAGACGTGCGTATTTCGTACGGTATTAGCCATGGCGTGGCATGTATATACATGCCACGTCTAAATACTTGTTGAATCTTCATCATATAACATTAGTTTTCGTACTCTCTAACTGCCAAAAACTGCCACGCGCATACGTTGGCAACGTTGGCAAAGCCACGTCGGCTAGCACCGTACGAAACACGCACATCTACGGACTTTGCAGACGACACGCCCCATCTATCGCGGGGAGACGACGATAGTAGTATTTTAACACTTACATACAAAGCATAAGTGTTACACTAAAATCACATAGAGTGCAACTCTCCGATGAACGACCACCATTCGAATAATTTGAATCCTGCAGCGATGGTTTATTTACCAGCGTGCCCAAATTTGCTTTCGGAACTGCACGGTAAAAGCAAGGTAAGTGTAACCCCAGATGAATACTCTCCTAAACCATTAAGAACAAGATGGAAACTTCTGATGTCGTAGGCGTTTGCTTTGAGGTTTTTTTTTTCATAGAAAGTAGAAAAAATGACTACAGTTTTGGAAATCCACCAAACTCTCATCGCCCATAATGCTTCTGAACTCAAATTGGCTATAGCAAAGATTCAATGAACTCAATGAATGAACTTTAATGGAGAGATAAAAGAGACGTCCTCATGTTATTATTTGTGCACGAAGGGGAGTTTTTGGGGGTGGAAAACCGTTATTTCTGACTTCCACGTAGGCAAAACCTATCGGACCAAATGTTTGCCTATGGATTTTTCTCTAAAAGACTAAGAGGTGGTATCTTCTTGTTAGAAACTTTTTTAAGCGGTGTGTGAAACCGCACTCTTTAACGCTTGGCATCTCTAAAAATACATTGGAGAATCTATCAAAATCATCAGGATTCAAACTTGCTGACATTCTAAAGCCCTATTCCCATTCTATCACATCAATCAGTTTAATCGACATTGAAAGCACGAGACAAACGAAAGCGTCTGCGTGTCAACTGCTATCAGACGCTATCCAAACGTTTGATCAGATGCAGCTCGAACGCAAGCCAGTCAGGTGAAAACCAAGTGCCGTCCCTGCACTTGCCTATTACATCCGTTTTACTTTGCTTATAGCACTCAGGCCACTCCTAACTGCTTAAAAATTACTGGACTTCTTGTCTGACCCTGAAAGATTGACGTGCGTAAGTACGAATGCACGGGCACGAAGTCCCAAAGTGTTAAAACTCTCAGAGCAAAAATAATTGGTAAAGGGCAAATACAATATATTCTTCTACAACATGTTGAAGATAGGCTATGCTTAATACCTTCTGCGGAGGCTATGCTTAATACCTTCTGCAGCTCTTTGTTCCTTCATTCGATAACTTTTGGAGTAAAACTTTTTTGATTTTTCTCTTATACAAGCACGGACTTTTTGCTACAGGCTTCTCAGAATGTCACGTTAGAACAACCCTGCAAAGTGCATGAGGAGACATAACAGGTATGTTCCTGCGTTCCATAGCCCGCCATGCGTGCCATTGCACGCGCGAGCGTGCATTTGCACGAGTCGGGTAAGCCGTGCGTGCCATTGCACGCACTGCGGGCCATTGCACGCTTTGAGTGCAATAGGACGCACCTTCGATCTTTGCACTGAATGCAGATAAAAAGTCAAAACTTTCTATATGCATGCTAGCTCGTAATCGTAATCTTTACCCCAATTTTGGACTCAATCGTATAGGTGTGAACCAATCTAATAGTTTTTGAAAAAGAATGGAGCTTGATATAAAAATTCAGAAAAAATGTGTTCAGACGCAGTATGTATGATGAAATTTAAAAATATTATGGGTTGCCTTCTTAAACTTTCTATTTGATGCGAAGTTTTGGTGAATTGTAGGTGATTTTCAAAAAAATAGAATTTTCAGAAATTGGCAAAAACTTGGTTTTTCAGATAACGGTTTACGGTAAAGCTGGAGGTCTGCAATTTTGCATGCATACATCTAGTCTATGCCTAACTATGATATTATTTTTTCAGAATTTTAGGATCACTCTGGAGCGAGTTCTAAAAAACCCGGTTCAAAAACACGCCATAACTCGAGAATGGGCGGAGCTAGGGGGGCGGGGCTATGACCAAAAAATTTTCCATGTCAAACTGGTCCGGGGGGAGCTTGGCCTGAGGGGAAGGGATTGATGCGGGGCCCGGTACGGCGAGGTAAAGATTCCTGGTTGAGCTATTCAATTTTCCAATGGGTCTCATCCAATAAATAAGAGATTTTGCAATATATTGTATCATCGTGCAATATATTGCACAGCCTATAATGGTGAATTTTCGCTGGTTAACGCGAATACATTGGGAGTGAAAAAATCACTTATTATTATGTAAGTGACGGACCAAAATTTCAAAAAAAATTTTTTTAAATCGGGAAAAATTGGGGAATGTCGGGAAGAACAATGCAAAAGAGATTAGGACATGCTAGGGCCTTAATTGAAATAGTTAAGGCTTTTGAATAATGTTCAAAACTGGTATGTTCCGAATGTTCAAAAAACTGTAAGGTAATACAAAAGTCTAGAGAAATAGGTAAGTGTTGGGAAGATAAGGCAAGAAGGCAAAAGGGTCTAAGAGATGCTATCGCCTTAGTTGGTGTATCTAAGGTTTGAGAAATAGTAGCTTGCAGATTTTGAATGATCGGGGACCATCAGTCGTTCTGGAAAACTTTTGAAATTTTTTTAGAATGTCTAGGAAAATAGGGGAATGTCAGAAGGATGAGAAGGGCCCTCATAAAGCATGTCAACGCCTGAAAGGTATTTAGGTTTATGCATATACAGTATATACAAACACATAACTAATAACACAAATTAGCACATACAATACAATATATACAAACACATAACTAATAACACAAATTAGCACATATACAATATATACAAACACATAGCTAATAACAGAAATTAGCACATATACAATATATACAAACACATAACTAATAAAACAAGTTAAAGTTCAATCTCATCGGAGTCGGAGCTGTATGTGACAATCTGTGGCTCCCTTTCGGATTTTTGCACTAGTGCTTTGCTCTTCTTTTCATCTGATTCCTTCCTGAGGCTGCTCGTTTTGGAACGTTTCCTCGGCGATTGCTCAGCGTCTGATGTTGATTCCGATCTTTGTCGTACTGCATCTAAAATATGCTAGTCACCCACAAATTTGAGAGGAGTTAAATGTTATGTTGAAAAGTCCTCGACTCCTTTCCTGAAAGTTAATGCGTAACGCACCAGGGCGTGAAGAAGGCCCGGGCATTTGCTCCTCCGGCACGTCTGCAATTTCGTGCTCTTCCTCAGATTCAGAAGACACATCGTTAGAGTCTTCTAGTTCCAGCTCATCTACGACAATCTCGGGTGCAACATTTTTACAACGACGTGTCAAACTGAACCAGAATGCAGTAAGCAACCATGGAATGACGATGCCACTCACTTTGCAAGCTTGAACATGCCCTGTACTCGCCGAATTGTATCAAAATTCTCCGCCTCTTCCCTCTTGGCAAGCTGCCGAGCCTTCACATAACCATGAGCGCAACTGATCATGTACTCATTTTGATACGCTTTTAGTTGAATCTTTTGCGAATGTGCTGAAATTTTAGATCTAATCGAAGGACATTAGCACTATAGTTGGTAGAGGTTAAAGTTAAGAATAACCTCTGTTTTAATGTACCATTTGCGTTTCCTTGACTATGTACATGGCTCAATCTTTGAACTTAGCATATAGCGTCGACAGAATCAATCACTTATTTGCGCACTAAAGACGTACACGACGATAACACATGGCTTGAACTGCAAGCGCGAAAGCATTTGGATTTGTTTGGAATGCAATAATTTAGAATGGCAAGCGATGAGGTGTAAGTGAAATTTGCGAATCAAAAACGATAATTCTCTTTAATCCTCTGATTTTCCGTTGAACTTCAGCAAGCGCTATAACGGTATCTTAGCTTCGTTAACGCACCTGCCATTCTCGCCATATCCTTATCAGCGCCCTTCAGTTTCTCCATCTCCCGACGGTAGTAATCCTCATACTGTCGCGAAGCTACAGCGTGTCTTGTCTGATAACGAATTTAGAACTTCAGCTTCGCCTCATACAAAAATTCGTTCGTTACAAAAATTGTAAGATATACTGCTCACCATATTACATGAGAGGTGTAACTCTGTAAAGCCACTATCACGCAAAAATTGCTTCATCAAGTGCGAAACTGTTGACTTCTCCACAGGCTTTCCTCTATACTGAAGAAAGAACGGCGCATCAGGCTTTTTCATGTCTACCAGCTCGTGTTTTTGTATCACACTAAATGAATTTCAATAGTCTTACATGAAAACATGAGTAATGTAATGTAATGCAGCGTACAAATCTCTCAATTTTGTATAGTAATCGATCCACTTCTTCGATTTCTTGTCCAATACAAAATATTGACCTCCGTATGCTGTTTTTTGATAGGAAGCCCTGATTTTTGGGTAAGGGTAGCACCCTACCTGAAACGTATACTTAACTTTATGAACAATCAAATGAGGAATTAAATCATTTGAATCAAGTTTACCCAGAGTGTTTCCGTGATCTTCTTTTTATTGCCTTCCTTTCCTTCGTCGTCCTCCCAATCTATGTTTATGCATTGCAATCCCGTAAAATCAATAGCTTGCCCGAACTTTGATACAGGCCTTTTCCTCATTTCAGGTGCATGTATGCTTCCATACATCATTTTATAGATGACTTCATTTCTGCTGGTATTACAATGTACTATGTATGC